CCGTGTCTGTTGTGACGTTTTGGATTTCAATGAACGTAATCTATGTATTACTGGTAAATTTTAAAGTCAGGGATTTCGTTACCACAAATTACTTATATATATAAAACCTTTACTAAATTCTTCCATAGATACAAAGATTTAGTTTGGAAGTTTGGTTGTACCTGTAGAAAACTTATTTTATATGCACATTCATGGATCCACATTCTGTCGACACCTGTATCTTAGCATTGCACAAGTTCGTGTTTTTCTCTGACTGTTAATGACGTCTTTACACTAAATCCATTGGTTGTTGGATGTGAACTGATTAGTATTTTAGTCTTAGATGCATGATTTTTTTATTAGTTGTTATTGGCTTTGTTGTTTCGATAGGTCTTTGCTGGTTTTAGTCATAAATTGTAACTCGTAACAATACAACAGAAACAGGTCCGCAATAAGTGGTGCACAGTTAGTCTCCATTGGAATTCCGATAACTTAACGATATACGGAATCTCCATAGCGAACAAAAATGTTATCTAGTAAAAAATCAGGTGCAGTTATCGTATCAAAGCAGGTCCAATTGACATAGTTCTTTTGTTTGATGTTACTAAAAAATGACCTAAAAGAGTTTGGAACATATGTATTCGCATTCTGACTTTTTAAATGTTCATTTAATTAGATGTGTGTTTTTTTCTTAGTGAGATTATGAGGCAAAGTGGTATATAGGGTAGAAAAATCAACAGTGGGAAATCTAGTGAAAAAGAACAAAAGAAAATTACCTCTTCCGATGATAGAGTCGAGAAAATCAATAATAATACAATGCCGGTGACGACACTGATCAAAAGTTATTTCCAAATAACAATTGTACATTTTAAAGAAATTATGTGTTAAACTGTGTTATTAGAAATATACATGCAAATACACGATGTTTTATGTTCAAGATTTATCGAGATAATTGCATTAGAAGCTTGTGAAACTGAAATCTAAAAAATGCTAATCTTTGCTGCATATTGATAAAAAAAATTGGAAAAAATCATGTACTTACCAAATCTAAAGATCTTTCGGGTCACCAATTTTTGAAGTGTTCCACACAAAGTCCTTAGCATGTTACAAATTTCCCAAAATATGCTTATATAAGTTTTCGAGTACACCGGTCTGCTCTTGTCACATGAAAATTCAATATAGAAATATTGTCTTTTCGTGAATATAACTATATAAAAGTCTGTCTGTGCAGGTTAAAAAATTAAAGATAAATATTCTCATAAAGTAGGCATCTTATTACTATTTTTTATACAATTTTAAGAAACGGTTGTCTCGATTTTTGTACATGTACATGTATATGCGGTCAATGTTTACATCGGGATAATGTCCGTTTGAATTTGCATAGTAACTTAATTTCAAAAGTGACAATCATTGCTGCATATAAAATTATCGAAATAGTCTTTATTAAGCTGAGGAAAACCCATGCTTTGCAAATTTAAGGCGGGCGCACGCCCGCCATGCCCCCGCCTGAATCCGCCCCTGGCATAGCAACATTTTAAACCAATTTTACACTAAGCTCCTTAAAATTAAGTCTGCTGTAGTTGTCTTTTTCTATTTAAGGAGGGAAATGATAACATTTAATGGAAGTTTTGTTTTTATTTCAACTTATTTCTATTTTTATTATATACCAGAACGTTTTCCCATGAGGAAAATATATAGTTTTCAGTGTTTACAGGGGAGGTTATATTTTGTCACTAGATTTTCCACTGTCAAAACTTTGAACAGATCCGAAATTCGAATTTATCAAGTACTTCCAACGAATTTTTGACACTCTAAAAGTTATTAATTCCACTATTTTCAAAGGCCTTATTTGAACAATTTATTAACAGGTTTTTGATTGTACCAAGTGTACTAGTAAGTATAGAATAGACAGTTTAGTAGTGGAACAATTGATTGAAGACGAAATAAATATATTTTAGCCTCCTCATGGGGTTTTTGATTATGTGATTAATTAGCCGTTTTAATTGTGATTATTTGATTACCAGACAAAATATTTCATGATTATTTGATAATCTAGGACTGTATTTTTGATTATTTGATTATCTTGTTTAAAAAAATAATTAATGATTATGTGATTATATTGGCAAAAAATTTGTGATTATGTGATTACTTGGACACCCCCATGAGGGGCATCATATTTGTAAGATGTTTTGTGCAGCTTTGGAAGCCAGTACATAGTTGGAACTTTCATGTTATTCGGTGCTGCTTGTAAAGAGGTGACTAAAAGTTTATGTTTGTTACAGATGTCATTTTTCCGCAATGTCTACAAGAAAGCCAATACATTAGTTCCTTGTGAAGAAACCTCAGAAATGTAAAAGAGCCATGCCAAAAACAGCATATATATTCCTATTCTGAAATGTTATAGAATATGACGCTAACATGTTGAATCAGAACATTGACAAATGGAAATAATACAAAAATGAGCTGTTAATCAAGAGAGAGACAATAGATACAACAACGAGGAAGGAACAAGAACTTGCATCACAGGAAGAACGACCAATCCGGCTTATCCTTCTATAAAATGTGTTTAAGGGGTTGATGTCACTTTTCCCACCAGTGTATTTGATTCTGAAAGCGATTTATGATTTTTGCCATCAAAAATGGAGGTTACTGATGATAGGACTGAAAATAAAATTAATACTAGACCCAAGGATTTGTATACTATACAAATCCTTGCTAGACCTAACTTTAGTCAACGAAACAAACTAGTGATGACTAAATTGTTCGAAGAAGTGTATCTAAACTTTTTATTTTTCCACACTCATACTGTTATTCTTCATCCTCAATTGAAACATCATTTACATATCTTTTCATTAAAAAGTGATGTTTCTACTGAAATGGAAATCGTAGTTACAATCTTCTTGTTTTAGGTCACCAAAAATCTGATTCTACAACATACTAGTTCTGTTTAATGGATTGACATTTCGACAAACAGCAAGTATTAAAATGGGTACTAATTGTGCACCCTACTTGCCGACTTGTTTTTGTACTCAAATTAAGCAAAATTCATACACCAAAGACAAAAGAAAAACATCTTGCTAAGATCTCAACTCCATGTTCAGTAATATTAGGTCACTCAATAACCAACATTTCAGCAACTGTGTGCATCTCATATCTCCCAGTGAACTAAACTTGAAAGGAAATACCAAAGCTTGAAGGTTTGCTTCATATCTAGATATTTTTTTCATGAAATTGATAGAACTTGGACCTCCGACAAACATGACAGCTTTAGTTTTCACATTGTCAGCTTCCATTTTCTTAATCTTCTGACTGACTTACAAGGCATTAACATATTTCAATTAATATGTTACACATGTGTATGTTTATATTAACAGGGGAGTGCATGCTCTATTATGTAAAAACTGCTCCAGAAGGGAAATGAGGAAGAGCGCCTATAATCTATACTTGACAATTGTACGTCACCATTGTGAATTAGTTGACCAATACAACACATCTAAACTCACAGTACCGCAGCATAACCCAAACATCAAACAATCTAAACTCACAAGACATGTTTTCATGGTCTTAGATCATTATCTACTAGAACAGTCATCTGATCTGTAAATTTACCTTTTTGTTACATGGCAGATGAAAAGTAAAATAGCAAAAATACCAAACTTCAAAAGTCCTTTATCAAATGGCAAAATCAACAGCTCAAACACATCAAACAAATGGAAAACAACTGTCATATTCCTGACTTTGTACAGGCATTTCCTTATGTAGAAAATGGTGGATTAAACCTGGTTTTATAGCTAGCTAAACCTCTCACTTGTATGACAGTCATATATGATGCATACATAGCAGGAGACAGTTAATATCCAATCAAGACATCCAGTCTCAATCATATTCGAGTTCAGGTTTTTATTCTTGCTTTGAGAATTCAAAATGGGAGATTTGAACATAGGTAAACTTATGTTGCCTGTTATTTAGCACTGCAAAATAAAATGCTACATTGAAGCTCAAGTATTATCATGGAATACACTTTCCCTGTTAAAGCAATTAATCTTTCGGTGCATGGAATTCCTTCATATTTTAATCTTGGTTTGTGTATCAAAAATGAATTTACAGGTTGAACATCTATAAAACAAATTGCCTCTTATTGTGTACAGTCAAACCTTTATATAAAGGTCACCTTTATTTCGGTTCTTCACATTTAGCTAATGATACAACTTATGAATTTTATAACATAACAATGAATTTTGATTGGTTCCTTTATAGACTTGTGATTTAAAGGAATTAAAAGTTTTTCATTCTGCCGTTGATAGCCGAAAACTAACCCTTCCATTATTTATCCCACCCAATATTTATGATCAGTAGTTTCATTCTCATTTTCTGGTTAAACCTCTCACTTGTATGACATGTGTTAAACCTCTCACTTGTATAAATGTTTTATTTTAATTCGCTTTAATCATTTCTTAGCATTTAATTAGTATTGCTTTGCATCCAGTTGTCTCATGGTTTATATATCTGCGTCTATTTACTTCGAAAGAGCAAATTTCTCAATCCACTTAAATTTCTATGCATAATGCTGTCGTGCTTATTTTTTGTCTTTTAAGCATATTTTTATCACATTGTACACAAGATCCAACCAAAAAGTATTTGGGGACCCCAACAGATTTCATATCAATAATCTAAAAATTTCAATAGGGCAATAACACATCTTTCTTTTTTTTTAAATCATAGGACAGAATTTCATGATTTAGCAATTGAAATTATAATAATTGAACTTTTTGTGGTACATGTGTATTCTATACATTTATACTTCTATTTTCTGTATATTATTTATCTCATCACTAGTTACAGATTCATATGCAATTCCACATGCTTTAGCTGCATGCAAAATTTCATAAAAATCCACGATATTTGCCATTAACCTCATGTTACTGTAAAGGGCCTAAATGACACCTTAATTCCATGTGAGTGATCATGAAAACAATTAAATTCCATTGGCAAGAGTTTAATATGAATAAAACAACACAAAGTATAATATTGCACATTATTTATCTTTTATTGGATGAACTCATAGAGAACATAAATTTCCAAAATAAAACATTTTCTGTTCATGATAAATACATAAAATACCAAATATGTGCACAAATTAATTCAGATACATTAACCTTTAAAATGAATTTAATCTTTCTTCCTATTTTTTCAATAAAATGCTTCTCCTGTCAAAGGTTAAGAGTGACAGATATACATTTATAACTCTCAAAATAATACATTTTCTAAAATATAGGTATCATTTACATCAGAGAAAAGGTCAAACACACCCTTTATAATATGAAAACAACAAATGCTTAAACATTTGTAAGTATGCTAATAGGAAATAATGGAGATAGTATGATATGAACCAATATTGGGTCCCTGAAACGGCTAAAATAATTATTAAACTCTTCTATCATTTCAAAATTGTTACGAGATAATGTACGATTTGGGGTCAAATGAATTGTATTTGAAATTTCCCGAATTAAATGTTAAATCAATGAACTTTAATAAAATAGTGAGGTTTAATTTTAAAACATTTGCCTTTCATTGGTCATACAGCCATGACAGTAAGGTAAATTAAGTAATATGGTGAATTTGCCAAAAATGACAATTTGAAACACAGATGCTGAGAAATATTGACCACATGTGTCACTTAAAAAAATATTAACACAGAAAATGTATTTTATGTTTATCTACTTGTTGAAAAAAAACAAAAATTTGTTACTTGTGCTCTATACTTAAAACACCTTATCATACCTTCTCCGTTAGCTCCTAACATCATAATAATCAACAAGCATGTATATATTAAAAGCATACATAGAGATCACAACCAATAAGCAATTGTAACGTGGCAGTCCCAATTGTGGTGAATGGTCTCAAGGTTATTGTATACATCAGTGATTATTATAACAACTTCATTTTGCAAAACATTGTTTCATGAAGTTATAGACTTTTTTTGATGATTTTGTGCTCAATAAAATTTTTAAAAATACAATGGTAATTATCCTGCAATAGTCTGAGGAATCTCTTACCTGTTTCTAAAGCTTGAACAAATAAGATTTATATTCTATATTTTCAGACAATGAATGTTTATTGATTTATACAACTTCTCAAATGATAAAAAATGCAGTTTGACGTCTTACCTTATACAATCCATATCAATTCACAAATCAACTTTTCATGAACACATTTTAAATCATTTGCAAAAAAGAAAAAAAAATCATAATGTAGAAATGACTATATTATAAAATAAATATTTATCAATGGTGGATAAAAGTAATGGCGGCAAAAGTTAGTTTACTGGTAATAAATCTACAGAATTGTCAGACAATTAGAATTAAATCCTTGATTTAATACAATCAATGGGAATGGTAAAGAATGGGTTGTGAACATAAAAATATTATATATGAAATGACCAGCTGTTTGCAATATTAAATCATAGAATTGAGCCATCAGCTAATATACACTATTTAATGACTCTGAAAACAGAAATATTAATTCAAGGAAAAATCAAAAATAAGTTTGATATAATGTAAAAATATACCAAAAACAATGCTGTTGTCTCATCAATAGTTAAAAAATATTCATACAGTGATATTGTTTAAATATAAAAGGATACAGAATACCAAAGAACCACTGACCCAATTAGGTCCACATTTTTAAGCCCTGTTCAAACTTGGAGAACAGACTCACTCCCACTTTTAAGTAAAAACTCTTTAAATTCACTTTTATTCAATTAAGTTTTGTTTTTCATTTTAAAACAGAATAAAAGTATACATTTTTACTTGTAGTCTAAATGCTTTTATTATATAGTAAATATTAAAAGTAATTCCAAGAAAGGTTTGCATCATTATAAACATTGGGTCAATGATCGAACTGCTCAAATTTTCACAACATTAAAACATCTATTAAACTTCTATACACATTTGTATTAAGAAAACAATTTAAGTCACTTGAATTAACCCTTATTGCATTAAAACAAAAACAAAAAGGCTAAAAGTTAAGAGTTAAAGATAGATTGAAGTGACAGACTAAATGTACATTGACTATATACAGAGAGAGAGAGAGATTCAAGTTTAAACAAGAATAAAATAGACTTTCTATAAAAGAGATAAAATATCAACATACATTACAATCAATGTTTTCTCTAAATCATTCACTGTTTATTCTATCTATATGAACTTACATCTTTACAATCATTCATATCAATAGCAAGCATAAAAGAGTACACAAAAATATGTTAAAAGGAAGAAGACTATTTCCCTCTCTCAACAGATAATCCTTACTGCAATAATAAATATAAAATACGGCATTTATTTCAGACCCAAAATATAAAGACACTTTATTAAACATGTATTACTCCTTCGTGGGTGAAAGCAAGATAAATTAACTATTTTTTAAAGGAATATTTAAAGCTAAAATATCAAAATATTGAAAAGATTTCATCCATGTTTCTTTAATATTAATATGATTGGATCAAGACGTAAACATGTAGGGTATTTTTCATTGAGGCAGAAACCCAAAGACATTTACATTTTTAGCTACATTTATTTTTACCTGTATTTTTCATAAAGTATATTTTATTTTGTTTTTTTTTCATTTGCAAAATTTACTCTGACATGTATACATTTTCTGATGACAAAGACTTGCATACATGCATCTTTTTTTTTAATACATCACAATATAATATTTACTGAAATCAAGTCAGTCCGTGACAATAAATACAAATAAATGCCCTTTGTGATGTACACTGTATATATGTGCTGGTGTACATTGTATATACAGATAAAATAGTATAGATACATTATGTACATAAGTGTATACACAATTCTCTGTACAAATTGTCTTGGCACTACAACTTCCCAGGACTTTTAGGTATGATACTACTTCTACAGTTAGCCTTGGCGTTTTGATGTACAGCTTTCTGAAAAAAAAAAAAAATAACCAATCAAAACATATGATCAAAATTCTTGAATAAAACTAAAACATCTCCATTCAAAATATTACACTATTAAATATAAGTAATGAATAATAACGAACACGCAATTTGGTAGACTAAGACACTATTTGGTCAAATTTATCATTTTAAATAGGGGCAGGTAAATGGGTTTTATTTGTGTTCATATCACTGTAAAAACCTAGTGCAAAAATAATACAGTTGATCTGTGATGTACTTTATTTGGTATTTTTCTAATTGAAATTATGGTTTGTAGTGGAATTGTAATCTAGTACTGTGTTTTCACTAGTTTTTCTAGACATGGCAATGATCATTACAGCTTGATATTTTATATTGCCAACGGTTTACAGTTTGAAAGGGTTATGTGGCAGTACTGAACAATGCAAACACATGGAATGAGGATATCTGATTACTTAAGGGCATACTATAGTTTTGATCCCACTGTGATTTTTAAAGAAATTTGCATACAAGCTACTTTTTACTGATGACTGGTCTCTGCACATTGTGTGAGAAAAAAAAATAAAATCTCTGGTCATTATGCGGAATTAAACTTTCACAGGCGACCTTAAAACAATTCAAATATGTAATAAAAAATATACCCTAATGTGCTAATTTTAGAGATAAAAAGGGTTGAAATTTTCGACATTTACTCAAAACTTCATTTTCTATGACATTTCTCACTTTGGATTGCCATAACTATTTGTTTCAAAAGATAAACAACATAAGTGGATTTTTGTAAAAACATTTGGTATATCTTCTTTACATAAGTATGTTCTAAATTTGTGTAACAATTCTTTGGAATTGTTCATTTTCATTAAATTTTGAAGATTTTAGAAAAAATCCAGCTTTTTTTGCTGCATATCTTATCTAAATTAAAAAAAAAAATTGGTACAAATAATTTTCATACATTACCATCCAAATGTCATTTTAAAGAGGGGTCCATGTACTCATTTTCAAGCTTATGATAAAATTCAGCCAAAAAAAAGCATCTTTACCCACAGTCACAGTTTGACAATGGGAAAAATAACATTTTACGCAGCAGGAGGAATGCTACTAGTTCACATACTGATTTCTGAATCAGCCAATCTGAAAGACTTGATTCCCAACTAACCTCAAATTCATGATACGATTCCATCGTGGATGCATTACATACTCCACCACTTTGCACACAGCTTCCCAAGGTTGTTTGACTAAATGTATCATTTTGATTGGTTGAAGTGGTATAATGATTTGTCATGTGACTATTGCCAAAGTTCACTTTCTCACCTAACACTTTACGAGCGATTCTCCCTGATCGCCTTCTGTTAACAGATCTACTAGATGCAAGCTGAGAAAAAGTCAAATTAATGTACAGTACACGTTCAATATATCTAGATCACAGATCATGTTCAAACAAACAATTTATGAAACATCACCTTTTCAAGGCTATTACTGTAGGTTCATTTTTATTTGTGTGAATTTGGTAGGTATAGAATTTCAGAGTTCAACAAATTATAGATTTGGTGTAGAATTTGTCAAAACCACAAAATCAAGTATTTAAGAAAATTGAATTTTTGCTCAATCAACAGTAACTGGATGAATTTGCACGAACAAATTCACAACTAATATAAATACATTTTTCTGTGTTTGCAAAAGATAGTGAAAGAGTATTTAAAGAGAAAACATTTATTCAAATTTTGAAACCAAAGTTAAATATAGTGTAAAAAGCTTTTTGTTTTTTCATAGATTTTTGTGACGTCATTATATATACATATAATGCACAACAGTTGACATTTGTGTGATGGTATCTAAAAATATCACCAATGCATATGACAGAGTGACCAAAATACATTATTTAGTTTAAAATATTTACAATTTTACTGGCTGACGCAGGAACACGAGGACGAGGAGATGCAAATACACTGTTCTGCTGTAATCTACCACACGAAGCTGGTGTTCTGTTTGTGTCATTCATCTGAAATCAAACAAAATATTGTCAAATAAAAACTTTTCTTTCAGAAGTGAAATTGGAATAAATATGTGGTAAAGTGGTAGTAAGTCTTATATCCAACCTAATCAATTCTGAAAAACTGGTCATCCTTTCACATCTGTATATATAATTATTTAATAATGTACAATGCTGTTTACTGTCATTCATTTTAACAAAACAAAGGCTTAAAATTGAGGCATATAAATAGCATATACAAAACTTACTGATTTTACTTGAAATAGTTTTGGGTTTATATGAGAACATTAGGTCTTCCTTTCTTATTTTGCGTTAGTAAACAAGTTAACATCTATAGGAAAGGTAATCATACTGATATAAAATTTGGTATGTATAACCAGGCAAGATGAAAGGAATGAAATATGTAATTTTGAAAATTGTACATGCGCAACCTTCTAAGAATGGTTACAGAGAAGACAACTTCATTCCAATATAAATTCTAATATGACAACCTTATTTCGCTTTGTAAAGAAAGCTGTATTCTAATAAGCACAAAATATGTTTGACACATGCACACAAACTTACTGTTTACATTCTTGTTATTTTCATTTTTATCGTCATAAAATATATATATTTTAGCTGCTTACATAAAATTTCATTATATGTTGTTACTAAAACATCATTTATTCACCCTGCTATCAGTTTTTAAACTTATCAAATATGAAAATGTAAATAATTCACGGGGAGGAAACAGGAACAGCCAAACATTCCTCAGGCTTTTTCGTACGCTTCGACTGATAAAATTACTGTATTGTCCCATTAGAATCGAAATACTTCCTTAAGAAAACTAGAAGGAACTTAAGTAGTACATAGAAATGTTCTAAGTAACATGTTTTAACTATATAGCTAATCACCAACAAATTATTGGACAATGAGTTTCCATTATGCTTAAACTATGATTAAATAAGATATTGACTGCATTTCAGCATGACAGAACAGACAGGGTCTGCACACAAATAATTGATTGTTGTGTGATTAACATTCAGTGGGAAATCATTTCAGCATGACAGAACAGACTGGGTCTGCACACAAATAATTGATTGTTGTGTGATTAACATTCAGTGTGAAATATTTTCAATGTATTCATAACTCAAACAAATTTAACAATAAGTCAATTAGGAAGATTTTGAAAATTAAGTAGGTCAAACATGACTGGTGGGAAATTTGAACCGCCCATGTAAAAGAGGTAATGTTGTATAGGGTCAAAAATTTTGTCTTGCAATTGGTCACCTAAAGACCTTGAAGTCTTAATAACATGCAAAGATCAATCTACGATTTAACCTCCCTATCCCCACCAGATGGGGCTGGGTATTTATACAGCTTTCATAAACAGCAATCATCTGACAGGAAAAATCCAGGTTCATATTTTTATACACAAGTCAACTCTTGGGGTGGTACACACACATAAGATGCATTGATGCTTATTTTATTGGTCTACCAAAATAAAGGAGATAAGAAGTTATTCTGAAATAAACTTAATCAGAACACTTAACATCTTACTTAGTGAAAAAATAAACAAAATTGTTTCCAGGTTGTGAAGAAGAGCATTGGTTATTTCAAAAATCTTTGTTAGCCACATGTGTACTTTATTTTCTTTATCAGTTTAATTTTGTACAGATTTAAGCTTCCAACATTTGTCACAGGAGAGACAAACAATGTCTTTCCAGAGTCCCCATTTACCTGAATTCATAGAATCCATGCAAAAAAACAAACTACACATTAACAGAAGCATATTTACACAAACAATTTAATATTGAAATTATGAAAATCCATTATCATGCTAGTTACATAACAATCAACTCAATTCAACTCTTTGTAACAAATAAATGACCCTTACACCACTAACTCAATTAAATTAAACAAACTGTTAATTTTGATGATGATTCTTGCAAATCAAACCTTGCTCAACATTAGCTCTCAGAATAGTAAGTGTGATTACAGTTAAACATAAGGGCTGTTCCATAAAAAGATACATGTGATCCAGGGAAAGCACTTCCAAATCTTAACTATGGGTGGGTGTCATCTATGTTTTTGCATAGTGGAATTGTATGTGAAATTTTACTTTGCCTCTACATGTGGTTACCCCATTTTTAAAGTGCTTTCCCTGGGTACCATGTATGTTTTAATGGAACAGCCCTAACAAAGTGCTTGTTTATAGCTGTTCAATAAATATCTTAAAAAGAACTTACCAAGGACAAAATTTTTTTTAGCACTCCACAAACTTTTCAAAAGACCACATCTTAAGAAACATGGATAAAAGTGGCATGTAGTCAGTCTTTCTTTAATTGAACAGCCATATAAAGTGAGAAAAGTTTGCAGGATTATAGAAACAGGCAATAGTCAAAGGTTAGGGAAAGACAAGATCTATGGAAGAAGATCCTGTTTACCTTCACCTTTAAAGTGACTCGTAATGATGATGTCCCACTACTACAACTGCTACTACCAGTACTATTGTAATCAATCTAAATATAGCAGTAGAAAACTTATTACATCTCACTTCATCACTTCCTGTTATTGTAATATAGCAACTCTCTCATAAACATATCGGAAGAACGCAAAAGTGGATAGTTTGAGTTTTAACTGTGCAACTATGTATATACCTGTGATCATAAGATATGAATTTCTCAAATGCGACCCCCAAAACATTAGTGGTTATAAATTAAAATAGTAAAACCACCAATCCAATGACCTATTTCCTTGCCAAACTTGTTGTTTCTGGACAGACAATATTGCAGTCCTTTTATATTACTTAGTAAAAATTATTTGAATGTCTAACCAGGGTTTCCAACATTTTTTTTAGCCAGCCAGACATATTTTTGAACTCTTTCATATTTGTAATAAAAATATTCAGGCCAATCCAAGTAACGACTTGGATAAAAAGGAAAGGGAATTTTTTCACTGCACAGAGAGATTATTCAAAGTAGTTGGAGATAGAAATCTGTGTACATATTCAGACATCCTAATTTTGAAGAAGTTTTCCTAACATAAAATAAATTTTCTATTTATTGAAATCTTTCAGATGCATTATTACATTTCACACCTATGCCACACACACTTGACTATATAAAGATAATTTAGTTATGTATTTTTCAATTAAATCAGTTTTAATAGTGTTTATACAAACTAAATAATACTTTACTTAACCCTCTTTTCAGGCAAGAAAAAAATGCTGTAAATACAAATTATCCATACAACTTACTCTTCTTTGTTTATTATTTGGTGTCTTACTAGGTGTACCAATAAATCTCCTCTTGGCTGGAGTTGTTGGTTTACTGCCATAGATCATTTCTTCTTCCATTAACTTTGCTCGGGCCTTGTTCTGCAAAATAAAAATAATACACATGTGAAAACATTGGAATTTTTATCAACCAAAAAGATTCATTTTCAAAGGTACCAATTTTTCGTTGTTTAAGGAAACATGTATTTTCATAGATACTTAAATAGGTAAGTTAACAAATCTGCAAACAAGCCAATAAGAATTTCAATGTTGTTGAACACTTAAATATTTGTTAATCATTACCCATTAAATTATATTCTTTTTGTATATGCCAGCTTCCCTTCTTGAGCAAAGAATATTGTTGGGTAGTATAATTTCTGCACATTAGAACTTTCAATTGTCTAGTATAAAGTAAAAGCTGTTTATGCTTAAAATCCAATGAATATATTCATCATTTTCAGTAAATGTTAAGTTTAACAAACCCTTTCTTCTTTCTCTATAATTTTACTGCTTTGATGTGTTGCCCATTGTTTCTCTATATAGTCTACAAATCGCCGACCATCCACTAAGAAAGGTTTCTCATGTTGTTTTTCCCAATCTGCTATCAGTGTTTTAACATCCTCTTCAACCTATAAACATAAAACATACAAGATTTAACTATAACTGGTAAAAAATTCATGGCTTATGATCAATAATTAGTTACTTCATAGCTACATACTAAATATCACCTGAATATTTACCGAGAAAGAAGGCTGTCTGAGAGAAAAACTATGGATATCCCATAATGATCCGACCTTCTCTAGTATGTCTCTGCTGGATCTTCAGATATTCAACATTCAACAAACTAGAAATTTGTAAGACACTCATTACATTGTCTCTATGATCATTAAATTCCTAAATAATACTGACAGACTTTAAAAAACGCAACACATATTATGGTGATTTTTTATACTGATTAATCTTCAAATAACTTATACTACTATTCATGCTTTCTATACTTCTTTCTGTTTAGTAAAAATCAATACCTGACTTCCTTGAGGTAATTACCAGATTGTTGACAACGCATGAATTTCTTAAAGTGATATTTGAAACCCATAAATGATTTTTGAAGGTTTTTCTTCATGGATCATTTCTTTCAATCCATACCCACACTTAAATCAGTAGAGAAATGTTGCATTTCCTCATTGCCGAGACTGAGCAATGAAATCTGTATCTGACCACAAGAATATTACAGACAGGAATACGTGAACATGCTGTTGTTAGACAATTTCACATCAGAAACTCCTCTTACTGTCCTTACATCAACAAATTTGTTGATGACCATCCATGACCAAAATAATGTGTAGTGACAACCTCGTCAATAAAATTTGATTACACAATGTCATTTGCGAGAGATATTTACTGAAGCAAAGACAACTGTTATTCAAGTCATCAAAAGGTCAAGGCATACAGAGCCACGCCATAAATGTTTCCAATATACTGAAATGCCAAAGAATTGACTGCTGAAACACATTTTAAGCCTTAAAGTTTAAACCACATAATTGGCAAAACACACTGTAATCAGTGCATACCATATGATTTGAAGATTAAACATAACATAATCAAATCAAATTGAAAATGAGAATTAAAATGATAATTTAGTGCTGCGTTTTTAAAGACTGTCAGTATAGATTCTTTTAATAACACACCATACCTTAGGGAGCTCTTTTAGAACTTTTTTCCTTTCTTTCTCCTCTAGTAATAATTTTCCACCTCTGTTGTTGAATCGGTTTGGATCATTAGCTTTCCTCTGAAAAAACAATTGTTTCCTGGATAAGGGATGCAAGAACAATACTTAAGTAACAATAGAATGTTGTGAAAAGCATGTTTCACATGTATCATTAACTATCTAATGTACTTTTTGCAGAAAATACCCAAAACTTAAGATCTGGTATTCATTGATTGTTACGAGTTCGGGTTTTCATTCCAATAGTGCTAACTATCATCAGGTTTTATTTTGTTTTTATCTAATTCTTTAATGAAGGTTAATTTGACCTAATTTTAAGGTTGACATCATGTATCAAATGTCAAATTATCTTTTCACTCCATCATTTGTAGTGTTCAGCTTAGAAATGTGGAACAAAATTCTTAACCAAAGCAATATACTGTATGCATTAAAATGAATATCAAAGTGACATAGTTTTAGAATGGATCTTCGTCACTGAGCATGATGCATCAACTGACAAAAATCATTTTCTATCATTTGTATTAATTTAGATCTGGACCTAACACAAAACTTTACCATGTTAACAGAGACATCAAAAAATGAGTGAATGCAAGAAACACAATATATATAATTCAAATAGCAGTTATGATTATAACAAAAATAACAAAATTGCAAACACTGAAATGTCTCGACTGCTTAACTGATTATGATGAAACTTTATGTTGAAAGTCAACATCAAGGTCTAACTACAGTCAGAGGTCAGAAGCATTTCATCACTTGTAAATTCCTCCATATATTTATATAAAAACACACAAAAAAAATTCTCCACAAGTTATTTCTTGCTCGATTTAAATGATTTTTTTTTTCATGCAATAATTTTGAAATATTAGTTTGATTAAGCGTTTAAGGAAGTTAAGGAAATATCTGATAAAACAGACCAAATCACAAAAACTTAATGTTGACTAATGAACCATAAAAATGAGGTCACATGAAATCAATCCTATATGAGAGACATTAAATTGTCACCAGTAATGACATTAAAATTTAAAAAGTATTGGTTGAAGGGTTCATAAGTTATTACAAGGAAACTGTTAGCAGCTGCCTGCATGCCTACCATAATTCACCATTTTAATAACTACATATATTCCTGCACAAAATCCAGTTAAAAATAACTGCACTGGTCAATATGGCTTGCTACAGCGTGTCTGATTAGAGCTGTATATAATTTACTGGCACTATTTCACCTAGTACTTTCATCTAAGTCAAGAATAGGTTTAATACATCTTCAAACAATTTACTGGAATCAATGATATGTATAAGCACAGTGAGATATAAAATAACAATGCAATACCTTCCTGCCAAGTCGAAAGGGACCCTTTAATGACTAATTTCAATTTTTACCTCATGTTCTAACATCTTTTTAAATAGGTCAGCCCATTTACTTATATCTTCAAATAATTCTTGATGTTTTTCATAGTATGTTTTCATTCTCAAGACTTCTTCATCGTGTAGCTGTAACAATTCCTCTGTGAAATTTTCTGTAAAATTCAAAAAATATTATATTTATATTCAATATATTACAAAAAAATAGATGCTTTTTAAGATCATATGAAACAAGTTTAAGGTGACTATATTGTGTCAGAAGGAACTTATTGAACAAATGCATAAATTTAAACTGAACTAACACACACTATTAAACTGGTGAGATGATAGAGCATTGTTTATTCTTTTTTTTTAAAATATATTTTCCATGGCTTCCCATTTGTTAATTCATCTTTGTCATAACAGTTGTTAAATTAGTTGGTGTATTAAACTTTTCCTATTGAAACAGGTTGATAGTCCGTCCACATTTTACACTTGCGCTATGCAACTGCTAAATTTCTATCAAAAGGTATTATGACTAAGGTCACTGCATACAGAAAAGCTGACTGACAGCAAATTATAGTGCGGGAAGACAATAACTGAACATTTCTGATTATTTTTTATAAAACAAATGATTTTCTTTTTTTAATAACAGAAAGTCTATGTACACATATTTTATAGTAAAAACTATCCATTCAAGTATATAAAACCAATTAATCTTTTTTTTAAATTTAAAGGATAATGTGACTTTAAATGATATTGATGACAGTCAACATAATCTGTTTTCATCATTATGCTCAGTATTCCTTTCATGGCTTTGCTTTGTCAAACATAAAAATTGTAAGTTTTATTTCAAGGTGTTTAACATATAAATTCTAAGTTGTCTTTTTTTATGATCTATTTGCTCTGTCTAACATACATGTTCTAATGATTAACTAAGCCTTTTCTTTATCTTCTTAGTATTTGACTGATAAGTTGGCTCATATCATTCCATTAAATATTTGCCTAATACTTTTGTTATTTGATTTAATAAACTGTTAACACAGAGATATGTCTCGCCTATTTGTTATTTTGATATGGCAAATGTTGAAATTAAAATAGCAATACTTTAACATGTAAGCTATGCAAATATTCAAAGTCAATGAACCATGACTGAATGTACAGGGCTAAACAGTCTCCATGGAAATGAGATGTGCCAATGCTAATACAACTGCAAACCAAATACCATTGACTTTTCATAAGTCTTCCCTTTAAACAAACCTAAACACAAACATTACTGTAAATTCAGAAATTATTGCGATGTTTTTATTATTGCGAAAAATGCGACAGGGTTATAATCGCAATAATTTAAACTCGCATTTTAAAATTTTTTATATGAGTTAAACAGGATTTTTCTCAATATCGCAAAAATTAAAATCGCATTTTAGTTTAAAATGACAAAATCGCAATAATAAATGCACGCAATAATTTCTGAATTTACAGTACCTTGTAAACTATGTAAAAGTTTCAAAGTCAATGAACTATAATTAGGGGGTGGGGTTATATAATCTCCATGGAAATGAAACTTGCAAATGCCAATACATTTGCATACCAAATATCATTGACTTAACATTAGTGGTTCATCTTAAACTGACCTAATCACAAACTAATACATTGTATGTAAACTAAGCAAAAGTTTCAAAGTCTATAGACCATGACTGTTTGGTAAGGACCAAATATTCTCCATGGAAATGAGATGTGCTAATGCTTATACAACTTCATACCAATTATCATTGACCTACCACTAACAGTTCCCCTCAAACTGACCTAATCACAAACTAATACATGAAACTAAGCAAAAGTTTCAAAGTCAATAGACCATGAATGAGGGGGTGGGACAAAATAATCTCCATGGAAATGAGATATGCCAATGCTTATACAACTGCATACCAAATATCATTGACCTACCACTAGTGGTTCCCCATAAACTGACCTAATCACAAACTAATACATGTAAACTAAGCAAAGTTTCAAAGTCAATAGACCTTGACTGAGGGGCAGGGCCAAATAATCTCCATGGTAATGAGATGTGCCAATGCTAATACAACTGCTTACCAAATATCATTGACCTACCACTAGTGGTTCATCATGAACTAGACCTAATCACAAACTAATACATTGTGTACGCTGCTGCCAGAAACAGCATACCTATGTCTCGCTTTTTGACTCCGTCAAGGCGAGACAAAAATAACCTTCTAATTACCATATTTGAAAAAGAAAACTCGAGAATGCTTCATTTGAATTTTGATAAGCTCTAAGAAATCGTGTCAGACCAACAAACCTGATTTAAAAGCAGTAAAAGCCCTCTTCTGTTGTTGACTATAGTAACATTTGTCCCACCATTCTGTTAGTTCTTTCCTCATGCCTTCTACAAATCTTTGGATATTTTGAAATTTTAATTTCTCACACCGACTGATTTCTTCTTTCAACTGAAAAACACATATATGCCTAACATTTTTTGTCCTTCAATATTTTTTAAAACACATCATTATTGGTAATGCAAATCCTTAAGACATTTTTCTCGTCACTTCAAATGCATATAGGAAACAATCTGGCAATTTGATATAGCATTTTTTAAGCAGTACACAGTCCATTGTAATAGACAAATAGAGTGCACACGCTGAAATGTCTCGCCTTCTTTACTAACCATTGATTTTTATGTTGATAGTCCTAAATATAAAGCTTTATTACAACTATCACATAAACTTAGCATGATCCAAGAAAATGAGGTTAAGGTCAGATAAACCAAACTGGAAATACATTACACCTTACAATCATTTCATGCACCTAATATGCTTTAAATATAGTTGACCTATTGCAAATAGTATCTGAGAAACAAACTTAACCAGGAAAACTTAACACTGATCAATGAACCATGAAAATGAGGTCACGGTCAGATGAACCCTGCCAGACAGACATGTACACCTTACAATCATTACATGCTTTAAATATAATTGACCTATTGCATATAGTATCTAAGAAACAAACTTAACAAGGAAAACTTAAGATTGACCAATGAACCATGAAAATGAGGTCATGGTGAGATGATAATTTCCAGACAGAAATATATACACCTTACAATCATTCCATACACCAAATATAGTTGACCTATTGCTTATCGTATTAGAAAAACATACCCAAAAACAAAAACTTAACATTAAGCAATGAACCGTAAAAATGAGGTCAAGGTCAAATAAAACATGCCAGACTGACATGTACATGGTAAAATATTTTCATACACCAAATATAGTTGACCTATTGCATACAGTGTTAGAAAAACAGACCAAAACACAAAAACTTAACTTTAACCACTGAACCATGAAAATGAGATCAAGGTTAGATGACACCTGCCAGTTGGACATGTTCACCTTACAATCATTCCATACACCAAATATAGTAGACCTATTGCTTACAGTATCTGAGATATGGACTTGACCACTGAAACTTAACCTTGTTCACTGATCCATGAAATGAGGTTGAGGTCAAGTGAAAACTGTGTGACCCTATGTCAAGCTTTCTGCGACAAAAGTTGCAGGCTCAACAAAATTGGGGTCCATATGCATATCTTCTAGCTATTTTTATAAATCAAATTTACTGTCATTTAACCTAGAAAAAAAGGTATATTTTAAGCCAAAACAAAAATGTTTAAACTTTTATTTAAATACATAGATTCAGCATTTGATTCTGAAAATCAGAGGTGGTTTGAAATACCTCTACATGGTGCATATACCTGACAATTGCATAAGGCACAAAATAAAACATAGCTTTGTAGCATACAAAACTAGAATCAAATGGCAAATCAATATTCATAATATTTTAACAAGCATGCAAAGAAGCATTGTGGACAATCAACAACTTCTCCCTAACATGTTTAAAAAGAGGTCACATCTCCATTTGAAATACACATAGTAATACTTGTCTCCTTTGCCACACTTTTCCTCACATGTCAAGACAAAAAGCTACAAGCCAGTTTCCAAATGAAGCTTGGATATTATGTCATATTTTTGTAAATACGTTATCGTTTGGTCCTATTAGTTGTTCTTCATATCTAGGTTCACAATTAGTGCCTTTCAAGTAAGAACAGTTGATTTTTTTTTTATCTCAAATAACTTGCACTTTATAGTGTTGTTTTGTTCCTCCTACTGTTCTTTTTTTGTCATTTTACAGATAAAAATTTCACATATGTTTACTTACAACCCCCCCAGGCCCATTAAAAATGACTTACACATTTTTCAATTTAGAACATTTTGGTATGAATGTTACACTTCAAATCCAATTGACACACTCAAAAATTAATACTTACAGCTATAACAACAGGTTCTTTAACACTAGTTTTTCCTTTAGAAAAATTCGCTCTTTCACTTTCCCCTATATCTAGTCTGTCCCATAGTACATGTAATTTGTTCCATAGTTGATCTACTTTCTTTTTCATTTCTTCTTTCTCTTCCTCTAACTAAAAATAAAGAAGAAAACACATTACCTCAGTAGAAAGTTTTTTCAAACAAGATTTTAATAACGGAAAGAAAAGAAACAAAATTTAACAAATAACTAGATATAACAGTGTGTCTCCTCTTTGTACCCTAAGTTAAAGCTTTGTTTGCATACAAGGTTGGTTGCACTCATAATAGATAAACACAGGTAAGCAGGTACTTTTTTCAGTGTTGTATCAAAGCATGCATTTGTCTTAGATTCATGATTTTTTTTCATCAGATGTTATTGGCTTTGAACTAGCTTTCAGTAACTGTGAAATTTCTCAGAACCGTACTAGTGTCTCTAGTGTTTTTGTGCTTTAAATTTGTATTGATCAAATGAGTAAAGTCCTTTTTCATAGATTTTTATAAAGTTTGTTCTTATGCTGTGTTGTTACACCATTGTTCCAGTTTAGGGGAGTGTTTAACCCTGCCACATTCTGTATGTGCCTGTCCCAAGTCAGGAGCCTGTAATTCAGTGGTTGTTGTTTGTTGCTGTATATCATAGTTATTTTTCGTTTGAATTCTTTTACATATTATCCTCTCTTGGTCTTCTATAGCTGACTTTACTGTATGGGTTTTGCTCATTGTTGAGGCTGTACTGTCACCTACAATCTCTTTATTTAACATAACAGCAAATCAAACATATTTCACATGTTAAAGACAATTTCATAATATTGTAATTTTTGCAAATGCAGAGAACAAAACGCAGAGCAAGAAACATACAGTTATAATATTTGATTAATAGAATGATATCATCCTTTCAGAGCAAACATAAATATTCATTGAAGTAACAGATCTTGGTAAACTTTTTTTTTATTGGTGAATGTGATGCAAAATTAACCATCCAAAAGTTACTATAATTATAATAACAAGAATGTTGACCTCAATATGTTTAGAATGGCAAACTGCAATTATTTTTTTAACCTTTATCAGGTTTTTTAAAGATGTCAATCTAAAACAGGTATGTCACAGTCATCAACTGTTGAAAGAGAATTAATTATTCTGAGGATAATGCAAAATGAATTTATTCATTATTTCATAATGATATTTATGTGATCATAAAACTCAGTTTAACCAATATTTTTTTTTCTTGAACACTAAAAATTTTGAATAATCATCCAGTTTTGATAAAAACTGGATAAAAGTTAATACAGTTGTTTTCTTGTCTATCATTTTTGAAGTTTCTTTTTCTTTCGCACAATTTTTTATAAACTTCTCCATTTATAGCTGAACTGTCCAATTACATACCTCTACTTTTAACACTTTTAAAGCTTTCATATTTTCTGTGGAGAGCTGGAATGTGGAGTCTGATTCACAAACAACATCACGAGCAAATTCTGTTTCTGGAGATCTTTCCATTTCCGAGAATAGCTTTATAATTTCTTTTTTTGAATTCACAAATTCATGGAATCTTTTATCCTGGAAATAAAATGTAAAATTCACTTCAGGGTTCTCACTAAGATGAATCCACAAGTCCAGGAGTCCAATGAATTTAACTTGTGGCAAAATATTCGAAATATTTAACTTATTGAGGCCAGTTGTTTATATTTTAATCTATAATTAACTGTGATTATGGATTATTATTTATTCAAATTACACCATTTTCAATAATGAATAAAAAAAAAATGTACTTTCACTTTATCTAGTAACAACCAAAGAATTAAAGTATGTCTAAATAAATTGATTATGACAAAGTATCAATTGGCCCTGTATTGCAGATTTTCATTAAAATTTGTAAGCATTTAGAAATTGTTAAACTCCATCTGAACAACAAAAAAAAAAACAGATCATATACATGTATGTAGCATTTGTACTTCGGGAATCCCTGTCTCAAATTCAAGAACATTTTTCAATTTGCAGACAAAAATTTAATACCCTTCCACCTTCACTTTGATGATTGTTGCTTGCAATGTCAGATGGCAAATATTTAATGCATATAAAGGAATATTTTTCATAATTCAGTTTATAATTATAAAAACAAAACAAAAATCCATTTACTAAAACGGATCATGCTGATAAAAGATTATAGTTTATTTGTTTTTACCTTTTCTATTTTCAATGAAGCAACATGATTTTCCAAAGCTTGGAGCTGTTCTAAGGTGGGAGTACTTCCTGAAGGAATGTAATACGGTGTTAAGCACATTATATCACATAGGTGCTGATCTTGGTCTTTGAAATGGTTGAATTTTCTGAATCTCTCAGCTTTTTCATTAGAAAGGGTTTCCATTCTCATTTTCAAGTCTTTTTCTGTCTGTAGCATTGAATATGATTTCTTGTACTGAAATATATGCAAAAATAAAATAAACCAAATCTTGATGAATAGGAAAGAACACTGCATAATAGTGTATGTAAATATTTGAAGAGAACAAATCAGTTGTTTTATCCATCATGTCCATCAAGATATTTTTTTAGTTAAATTTTCTAATGACATTTTTCATCAGCTACTGACCGAAGATATCATGTTGGTTCTTCTTTCTGTAAACCAAATTTCTTGTTTGTAACAAACATCTTTAAACCATCTTTTTATTAATATATGACAAAACTTTCTAGAGCATATATAGTATGGTTTTTTTTAAAAATCTAGTAAAATCAGTGAACTGTGCACATATTGGCTAATTCCAGTTCATCAAACGGGCTGCAACAAATCATTGTATTATATTGCATTTGAAAATGAATTACTGCATTACAGTGTATCTTTTTAAAAATAATATTTTTGATACTTAATTTTTTTTAATTTAAAAGTGTTACTACATAATCTCCAATTAATATATATACTGTAATATAAAATATAAGGATGGGGGTGTTATGTTAGAATCTATATACATGTACATGTATAAACATTTTTTGGGTGATAATTATACCTGATAATCAGGATAAGACATATCTTGGCATAATTCTCTGACTTCTTTACTATATTTTTCTATTCTGGTTCTGATCTGATTCCTCAACATTTCTTCCTCTTGAACCATTTCCTCCAGTAGGTTGCGGAGATGTTCAACAACAGTCTCAGAGCGCTGCTTTTGTTGCGACTCACATATTCCAATATCAACCCAAATGTTATGGAACTTTTGCATGGATGACTCCAGGCATTTTGCAAGGTCATCTCTTAACTGGCTGTAAACATGGTAAAAGTCTTATCATAAAATGAAACAGGCAGAAAAATTGAATATGATCATGAATTTTTTTAACACACAAAGCATAATGTGAACTTTGACATTAGTTGACAAGGCAGGTTACACTACATTGTAGCGACTGTTGAAATCAATGAAACCGTAGAGCATGGTAATTGCACTCCAAATTTCATCATTGTACCAGCTAGGATTCGATCCCGACACAGCAAGCCACAGCTACAAACTGAGCTAAAGGAGTACTCCACTAGCTCAGCTTATGAGTGCTTATTTTATAAGGTGCAACATAAAGTGTGACATCAATGCTGCTTTTTCAAATTGCATGAATATTTAAATGAATGTGCTGAAATTGTAGGAAAATCATTAAAATTTCAATAAATATTAAAGGAAAGATAACTTTATCATTGTCTATGAGTACAATGTACATTTTTTCAGGGCTAAATGAAGGTACCAACGCTAGGTGTTGGACGAACAAGGGCAGACAAAAATGATGAATACTCAAAATAAACTACTCTTATTTACCAACCTAAATTGTTTTTTTATTTGTTTTCTCTTCTTATTTAAGAACATTTCAATACAACTTGTGCAGAAATCAATGCAAACAATACCAATGTATTTTTTCAAAAAGTGTCGGACAAACTGAGACAGATTTCATGGGAGAAATTAAGCATTTAGAAATGAACTACATGATATGTTTAAATAAACTGAGTGATTAAAAAAAATAACGATTAAATAATATTTTCGTTAGTTAAGGATTTTCATTTACTCTGGTGCTCCAAAAAATGAACAAGAAGTTTATAATTGAACATAATAAAATGCTTCGCTGGGGCGCAGCTTGATACGACCGCAGAGGTCGAACCCTGAACAGTTGGGGCAAGTATGGACACAACATTCAAGCTTGATACAGCTCTGAATTTGGATTGTTATTAAATATTTGACAAAGCATAGGTTTCTGACACAGAAAGAATGTGGTCTAAGAACTTGAATGTTTTTAATTTACCTATTATGGTCCAATGTCCAAAATCAAAATACATGGTTAGATTCAGCATATCAAAGAACCCCATATATTCAATTTTTGTTAAAATCAAACAAAGTTAAATTTTGGACCCCAACTTGGACAAACTTGAAAACTGGGCCCATAGTCAAAAATCTAAACACATGTTTAGATTCAGCATATCAAAGAACCCCAAGAATTCAATTTTTGCTAAAATCAAACTAAGTTTAATTTTGGACCCTTTGGACCTTAATGTAGACCAATTTAAAAAATGGGACTTAAAATTAGAAATCTAAATACACGGTTAGATTTGGAATATCAAAGAACCCCAATAATTCAATTTTTGATGAAGTCAAACAAAGTTTAATTTTGGACCCTTTTGACCTCAATATGAACCAATTTGATAACGGGGTCCACAAATAAAAAATCTAAATGCATGGTTAGATTCAGCATATCAAAGAACCCCATATATTCAATTTTTGTTGAAATCAAACAAAGTTTAATTTTGGACCCCAATTTGGACCAACTTGAAAACTGGGCCAAAAATCAAAAATCTAAATACATGTTTTGATTCAGCATATCAAAGAACCTCATATATTCAATTTTTGCTAAAATCAAACTAAGTTTAATTTTGGACCCTTTGGACCTTAATGTAGACCAATTTTAAAATTAAAAATCTAAATACACGGTTAGATTTGGAATATCAAAGAACCCCAATAATTCAATTTTTGATGAAATCAAACAAAGTTTAATTTTGGACCCTTTTGACCTCAATATGAACCAATTTGATAGTGGGGCCCACAAATAATAAATCTAAATACATGGTAAGATTCAGCATATCAAAGAACCTCATATATTCAACTTTTGTTGAAATCAAACAAAGTTAAATTTTGGACCCCAATTTGGACCAACTTGAAAACTGGGCCCATAATCAAAAATCTAAACACATGTTTAGAATCAGCATATCAAAGAACCCCAAGAATTCAATTTTTGTTAAAATCAAACTAAGGTTAATTTTGGACCCTTTGGACCTTAATGTAGACCAATTTAAAAAACAGGACCCAAAATTAAAAATCTAAATACATGGTTAGATTTGGAATATCAAAGAACCCCAATAATTCAATTTTAAATGAAATCAAACAAAGTTTAATTTTGGACCCTTTTGACCTCAATATGAACCAATTTGATAATGGGGTCCACAAATAAAAAATCTAAATACATGGTAAGATTCAGCATATCAAAGAACCCCATATATTCAATTTTTGTTGAAATCAAACAAAGTTTAATTTTGGACCCCAATTTGGACCAACTTGAAAACTGGGCCAAAAATCAACAAAAATCTAAATACATGTTTAGATTCAGCATATCAAAGAACCTCATATATTCATTTTTTGCTAAAATCAAACAAAGTTTAATTTTGGACCCTTTGGACCTTAATGTAGACCAATTTGAAAACTGGACCCAAAATTAAAAATCTAAATACACTGTTAGATTCGGCATAACAAATAAATAAATGTGATCAAAGATTTTACAAATCTAATGCGCCATACTGTGCAATTAAAGATTACTTCTTGAAATTTTCAATATTTGAAATTTGAAAAAAAAATATTTGAAGAAAAATTCTTTTTAATTTCTGAAATCTGAAATGAGAAAAAATTGACCCCCCACAATTTCTTTTTATCCCCCCCCCCCTTTTTTCCCCCAAAAAATTCTTTCCCTCAAGATATGGTCATAATTTCAATTCAAATTTCCAATGGAGTTGGCAACCATAATTACCCATTTAAATTTACCATAGTGCTAACTTAATCTATTTTATAATAGAATTAAAAATATAGTGTCAAATCTTTCATATGGATTTTTTTGTAAAAAAAAAAGATGCAACATTTGCAGATATTTTTACTGGTCTTCCTTTATAAATATGCATTTCTTTAAACATAATTTAAAAACAGTGTAAAGGAAGTAACCAAAACGTTGTATTTGGATTACTTCCCTTACACTGTTTTAAATTATCTTTATTGTTCATTAACCATTACTTTATACATAATTTAAAAGCAGTGTAAGGGAGATAATTTCAATGATGTATTTGATTTATCTCCCTTACACTGCTTTAAATTGTTTTGTACTAAAGTATTTGTCCATTAACCAGGACAACCTTGTTTTTCCCCCTTTTTTGCCCCTAATTCCTAAACGGTTTGAGCCATAACCCCCCAAAGCAAATCCTAACCATCCCTTTGTGGTATGGAAACTTGTAGTATAATTTCAAAAGATCCATACACCATTCCACAGTTATTGTCTGGAAACTAGAAAATGCTTATTTTTGGCCCCTTTTTGGCCCCTAATTCCTTAACTGTTAGTACCATAACCCCCAAAATCAATCCCAACCTTCCTTTTGTGGTATTTAACCTTATGGTCAAATTTCAAAAAGATCCATTCACTTAAACTAAAGTTAGAGTGCGAAAACCAATGTGTCTTCGGACGACGACGACGACGACAACGTCATACCAATATACGACCACAAAATTTTTTGCGGCCGTATAAAAATTACCGTTCCTACTCGCTTATTAGTCGGAAAATTGGGAGTAAAATTCATAATCCAGAGAGGGGGGGGGCGACTAATAGACGAGATCTAGCGACCAGAGGAAAAATCCAAGCTTGAGAAAAGTGGTCAGGAGTGAATTTCCAGGTCAAAACTACGTTTTTGATTGCCAAACCTACATAAATCAATAAATAAAAAGTTTTTGTTGAAAATAAATGACTTCAATACTGTCTTTGTGTTTTATTTGTTCTTTGGTAAACATTTTCTGCAAATTCGTGTTGAAATTCTACCGTTTCCGGTTTGTGTATTGATTTTCATGGTCACATGGTTTTCCTATAAACCCAAAAGAAGAGCCAAGAACCAAAAATGAAAAGGAGATAACAATGTACCAAATATGTGAAAGGATGTTTTCAGCGGAGTTATTGTGTCATTATTGTGATATCATGATATCAATTCAATGCTTATAAATCATATAATAATCAAAAAATAATTTTAAGATTCATTCCCAAAATCAAAATATTATTCATTATAGTGTCTCAGGTAAACAAAAATTACAAAATTGATTGACAAGCCAATATAATCCATTGATAACCCCAATTAAGAGACAAAGAGTTGTATTCACTAAAGGTGTGAAAACTATCAGTGATAGGTAAACAGATGACACTAATGAGTTGGAGTTAGTTATTTTAATATATTGATTAGCTTCACTTAATTTTTTTAATCCTTTAATCATCACAATATAATAAGAATTATGAAGTGTTCATGCTCATTTAACACCGAGTTATGTATGCTGTGAAAAATATTTTCATCAAGTGTTGATTGACTTTAAATTTTTCAGGTTCATATTGGTTTATATTCGCTTTTCTCAAACAATAGGTTGTTAGTCATACCCTACAAAATCATTGATGCATTACGTAAACAACACATGGCTAATCTGACATTTGAACAGTGAACAAAACAAGAGAAATGAATACATCTTTATTATTAACAGCAATATAAAATATCATGATGAGCATCAACTAAATTCAAACCAAACAAACATTAATGCAGAAATGAATATTATTCCTGGATTTGCATTGGTTTTACCGGCGTTCAGTTACTGTCAGCTGAAAAAAAAATGCCCAAATTTTGTCCGACTTATACGAGGGTCAAGACTAAATCCTTAGAATTTGGAGCTGAAAAGGGACCCCGACTTATAGTAGGATCGACTATTAAGCGAGTATCTACGGTAATGAGACGATACAAAAAATGAGGTTAAATAAATGAATGGGATGTATCCCCTTTTTTTCATACAACAGATTTTCATTTTTGATTGAAAATATCTGCATTGTCACAGTACAGCTATATTTTTTTATAGAAAAGTGACGATCTGTTATTAGATATTTATAATCAAAATTGATGTTGTTCAACAAACATTGGACGGACAGCAGTTCTGCTAGTGTTGGGACGAACAGTTGAACAGATAAAAAGACATAACTTACATTATTACAGAGAAATAAACAGTTGTATGTAGTAAATTAAAGTAGTATAATATTCTTTTTATATCTTCATGTTAATATTGATTTTAAGAATACTAAATGGTCCGTTAGTGATTTCTTTCTCTTTTGAGTTTTGGGACGAACAGAGACAGACTGTTGTTTTTTTTGTGTTGGGACAAACAAAGACAGAATTCATATAAATGAACAATATAAATTTGTTTTTCAAAATTACTTTAAATAATAAAATAAATGATTCAATCGTTTTTGATTTGATTTGATTTTTGGTGTTTTAACGCCACTTTTAAACACCGCTTTTGGGCTATTTCGTGGCGGCCAGTTTTTATTGGTGGAGGAAGCCGGAGTGCCCAGAGAAAACCACCGACCTTTGATAGGAAAACTGACAATCCTAGTCAATTAAGATTGGAGTCGAGTGCACCCGCATGAGTGGGGTTCGAACTCACAACCTCAGTGTTGACTGGCTAGTGATTACAGTAGTGACTACTTAGACCACTCGGCCACCGAGGCCCCTCAATCGTTTTTGATACTGAGAACCTTCAGGACTTATTGAAATATACTCATAACTAAAAGCAATGAAAAAAAAAAGCTTTTTGATTAGTGTTGGACTAACAGCAAATTGAATAGTGTTGGACAACATGAAGACATATATATTCAACTGAATTTATTGTTATAAAAGGAAATAAATTCTATGGTGGATTAAAAAAACAATCTGTTTACATTTCAATGTAGATTAATGTATAATTGAATACACACAGTCAGGGGTACTACTTGTACAAGTTATTTTTATTTACTTGAAGAAGTAAATAATAATATACTTATATAATTAAATTTGTTATGTTCATATTTTCTTATAAGGTTTGAATAATCTCCCCTTAATTTTCTCAAAAAAATTACTTGTATAAGTAATTTTATTTTACAATCCCTAAAATTCTCAAGTTTTGGGATGTAAAAACATGCCTTTAACAATTTTTCTCTGGTTAGCTCATAATTTTTTATTAGAGTTCAACATTTCATCTCAATAATTCAACAAAGAAACTAATTGAGCAAGGCCTTCAAAAATTGCCCCTTGGAGGCTTGTAAATGAGCAGTGTTTTGAAGATAACAGACAAATGAGATTTTCATTGTCCATGAAATTACACTTAAATGATAAGTAAATACATCTGCAAAGGACAGACAATTAAAAATTCTAATAGAGCAAAGAAGTCCTGAGAAATTCAAGAAAAGAAGATAGAATCATGACTTTTTTACTTGTATAAGTAAAAAAATTGAATGTCTAAGGGACTAAGCCATTAAAATAATTTACCTATACAAGTAAATAAAATACACTTGTATAAGTATCTTACAAATTTACTTATATAAGTATATTAATATTTACTTCAAGTAAATAAAAATAACTTGTACAAGAAGTAACCCTGACTGACACAAGCCTGTAAAGACAACTGATAAAAAATATATATTGAAAGTGGTGTTGGGACGAATCAGGACAGACTTCCTGCAATAAATAGAGGACTTTGCTTTATGAAACAACCACTGTTACAATAAAACACATAAATTTAACTATTCTGATGTACAAAATTGTCTTGTACAAGTGAAACACTGTTAAAATTAGACCAACAAATGACAGACTCACACTGGTGTTGGGACGAACAGAAATTTTTTTAGACAGACACAAACTTATATTGGATGAACCAAAGATTTTATAAGGACAGACACACTTTCTTTTCCATGTAAGCTTCCATTTTACAGCTAATTAGCATATCATGGAATGCAATGTGAATATTTAACTGAGTAGATCATCATAACTGTCATTGTAATAACTTTAGACTTGGCATACTCCCAAGAATTCATTTCTACATATTAAAATGTTATCCGTTACATGAGACAGACATGGAGCAAGATTTTCATTTTTATGTATTTTTATTCGGATGTCAATGATTTTCTTCTCTTTGCATATGTTCATTTTCTTTTTAGAACAAAAGTTGGTCAAATATTATATTGAGAAGCATTTATTATAATTATTTGTTTCTATAGGTCACTTCAAATACTAAAGCAAGATTTGGACAGACACTGTTACATCCAACCCCTTATTTTTTTTTCCTAGTTATTGCGGCAAAAAAATCAACGAAAAAGAAAATATTTAGTAATCAAATAATTTTTACACATTCATTTTTCAAAAATGATTCATTTGACTCATGTGAACAGTCGTATAACTGCATTTTGCTCTTATACATTCTTCAATGTAACATCCTGTCACAAAATTGAGAGGGGAAAAGCCCTTAAAATGACATCAAATTCTAAATTTTCAAATTTTCTTACCACTTGTAAATGTATATTTATTTATTTTGTCTCTTTATATTATAATGAACATAAGAAAACTGAAACAGTATGAAAATAATCATCCAATTATTTCCTAAATCAATCTTAAGGCAACTACACCAAAACATTGCACCTTAGCAAATAAGCACTTTTATATCAATTTCCTCCTTTATTATCTACTAGATAAGGGGAAGCATTGCTGCATCAAAGAGGAACTAATGATAAAATACTATGTTATGACTCTGCATACTTCAATTATCATAGGAAATAATCTGCAGTGTTTTCCTAAAGAACCGGCCGCCAGCCAAATTGACTGTTTCAGTTTTTTGGCCGGTTCAAATGTCATCAGCCAAAAAAATAAATGGGTGCATATATTACTTATTGGATTATTTTGAGCGTCACAATTATCAATATTGTTCTTGGTTTATATTTACATTTGAGAGTTCCTGTTAGTATTTCTATCAGAACAATCGGCTGTTATCCATCGAACAAGATTTCTTAGGAAAATCCCGAGAGATATCGAGTATATATACAAAGTCGTGCCATGTGATGAATGATGACACGTTCAGAGATTTTTTCCCCGCTAAGCGACACAAAGTGTGCATTTTTACGATAATATATATTGATAACATTTGCATGCATGAGTTTGATTGTTTTTCAATTTGTTCTGTTGTGTTTAGTTTAATTCGCGAATGAATCAATGGCATGATAATTGATTTGCATGACGGTTCGAATAGACCCACCAAGGCCTGAAAACTTCAAACAAATGCGGAAAATTTCCTGATTTTAAGTGCAGACATAACTTTTAGAAAAAAGTACTGCTAATAATATGTCCATTTGACAAGCATGAAATCTTTTTCTTAAAATTCACCAGATGCCACGATTTTGAGTCTAGATTTCAAAGTTTTTTCTGCGACTGCCTACTTATTCATGAATAAATGGAAAACCCCGATCTGTAAGTGATTAAAGGGACCTCTAAAATTCTGTGTGGTCAAAAAAGGACAGAATACAGAAAAAAGGAAATATTTAGTTTCTGTCAGGGGATAAGAAATACAAACAAATATTAAGGTAAACTGGCCGCAAAGCAAAATGTACTTGTGAATATTAAGTTGGCCGCAAATGGTTTTGGAGACCCTGTGTCTCGCCTGAAATCTATAGAAAACAGTCGATCAGCACAACATGATAAATTGTTTGGCTTTAAAAAGAATATTACCATAAAAGATTGGATTTAATATACCTAAACGTAGTAGAATAGACAGTTTGGAAATGGACCAATGTCTTGAAGATGAAATACATTTATATTTCTAAGGTGTTTTATGCAGCTTCGGAAGCCATTACATACTAGTAGTTGGAACTGTCATTGTATTCAGTTCTGCTTGTACAGAGGTAGCTAAAAGTTTATGTTTGTTACAGAAGTAATTTTCCGAAAATGGAGTCAGTTGGAATATTGGTGAATTGGTGTTTTCTTTTTGCAAAAGCTGCCGACTTTCAATCCGATCACGAGTCTAAACGATAATTTGACTGTTCTTTGATTTATAATTACATTTCATAATGCGAGTGGTATGATTTAACGTGTTTGTGTTGTACAACTTACGATGGGGATGACATTTTTGCTCAAAAATTACATTCGACTATTCAAAACATATTTCAATGGCGCTTCTTGGTTTAAATTCGCTTTTTATGTTAGAGTATTTTTGATTGGCCCATGAAGTTGAATCGACATCATCGATTAGTCAGTGAAAACTAGGGGACGTAATTTGAAAAACTGGTTTCTAAATTCTAAGGAAAGGTTATCAGTCACACTTGGGGTTCAATCGTAACTACTCGGCCATTCTCGGTACGCATACATTGCGTAGCGAGAATGACCGAGTAGTTACGATTGACTCGGGGTTCACACTGACCACAATGGAATCTTGTATATGAGGGTCTGGATGGGGTTTACAGAATAGAGAATAATGGCCAAATAATATATAGAAGAGAGAAAAATTACAACAAAAAAAGAATAGAGCATAATGGGGTGCATAAATATAAAGAATAACTGTGGAAAAATAAAAGAATTAGGCAATACAATACTGAATGATTACCACAGGCACTTGTCTCCGAAAAAAATGTCCTATATCTACCTTCATATTAAGGTATAAGGAAAACAAATATTTCGGAGACAAGTCAGTGTCTGTGGTGATTACACAAATGAACGATAAACAGAACAAAGAAATCATATAATTGCAGAAAAATTAATTTTAAAAGCATTTTCATGGGAATTTTACAGAATAAGCGTTATTCATAAAGATAAAGAATAAAGCCCTCAAAATTTAAAGAATACATGCAGACATTAAGGATCAACCCTTCCAGACCTCTTATATAACTAATAGTTTCTCTAGTTACATGATGTTGGATAGTGTTAGTTACATAATGTTTGGTAATGTTTGGTAATATATGTTCATCATTATTTAGTTGACGTGATAACTACATTAAGTGTCGGATCTTAATTATGTGTGCAGCTTTTCTCTACTTTTTTTTTTATAAATACGGTGTTGTCTGTCCTATTTGTGAATTCAAGTGCGCCGGCTTAGTATATTTATTGGGTCATGATCTTTTGCATGGGACTGACACATTAGTATCTATTGTAATCGTCCTAGCAGAGACATACTTACGAATGGTACAAGCAAAGATAAATTTTATGTGAGCTTTTTCAACGGTTGCATTGAATTATATTAACGACTGTAAACAGATATTAATGACTTGATTAGATTAACGAAAAATCTATAGTCATCAGACCTTTTTAAATTTTCATAACTACATTAAGTGTCGTACTGTACAGAGTAGGATGTTATACCTTAAACATTGCGAGAAATGTAACCTTTCAAGTTGACAAAAAACGAGAAAGTTTCAGATGAAACAGTTATAAGCCCAAACTGAGGTATTTGGATATTTTTTCTTTCGTAGCGGGGACTACAGCTTGCACATTATGCATTCTTCTATTCTTTTAGATAAAGAACGAGACTGTGTACTTGTGAAACACGTTGCATTGAATGTCAGGATATTTCACGTCAGGCAAAAAAAAAGTTGCACAAACAATATAAACTGGAATAAAGGGATACTTTTGGGGTGGGACTGCAACCCAATGACACAAATGACAATGAGACATCTAGATGTCAACATACAGTTTTCAGAAAGATAGGTGTCTAAACAATATGGTATATGCCCCACAACCTCTTTTATTCAAAGTTAAGTTTGTATGGCAAGACGAATAACTTTATACTGTTTATTGTATCCTTAAACACCCTCTTCTTGTCTACCGTGAAAATTTCTGTTAAAGGGGTAGGAGTTGTCATTGTTATCTCTCTTTATAGCACCCACGTCAAAATACTGTCGAATCTTGACGAAATTTGGATTTTATAGTGTCTGAACTGAGACTTCACGTGTTAAAGTAGTCTCAAGCCTGCTGAACAACCCATTTTAAAGGCTTTTATCGAAACATTTGAAGATAATATAATATTAAATTTACTGTTGCGTCGAGATTTTTCCTCATTATTATGCATTATGCATGTCCTAGGTTTAACTTTTTATATAGACACCAATGCATTTACCATGTTTCCATAAAAGCATCACAGTTTGTCTTGAAATTGGAATTATCCTTTTTTTGTTTTGTTTGCTTTTCTATCATCGCCCTGTTCTATCAGGTGAATTTTAATCACAACTCTGTGTTATGTGCATACTCATACATCCATTATATTGTGTCTGTTGTTTCCGACGCAACTGTTTAATACATTTAAGTTTATATTATATACTCTATCTATCTATCCCATATCATATATTCTACTTTCTTTTCATGTGTTTGTTTTCAAGTTTTCGTGTTCCCTTTTGTGCCTTGTATATCTACGATCGTCTACCCACGATATAAGCTAAGGAGATAAGGTATGATTGCGAACTTTCCAACAGAGTTGTTGATTACAAAGAACACACATATATTAAAGTGTTTATTATATTACATGTCACAACATACACTATATACATATAATTACAGTTCTAATATCACAGTTATGCTTTGAATCTGACTCTTTTATGCATAATTAATAAATAATAAATAAAGCATATTTATTGTTCCAATTCAAAAAACTTTTGTTGATAGACCACATGACATCAGAGACATATACTAGTAATACAAATATCTTGTGTTATACGTCTCTGATGACATTAACATAAAATGAACTCAAAATATAATATTGAATTTTACGTAATTAGTTTATAGAGCCCTACACAATATACACTACGAAATCCGATACAATGCTAAGGCTAACAAAATCAGAGATATCTTAAACGACATTAACTGGTTTTCCTTTCAATTTTGCAAGCATTCTGTCAATTATACATGTTTGAATTAATTAATAACTTTCCCAAATTTTTTAGACTCTGGACAATTTAGAGCTCGAAATATTGCCAATCAAGAATGTGTCCATAGTACACGGATGCCCCACTCGCACTATCATTTTCTATGTTCAGTAGACCGTGAAATTGGGGTCAAAACTCTAATTTGGCATTAAAATTAGAAAGATCATATCATAGGGAACATGTGTACTAAGTTTCAAGTTGATTGGACTTCAACTTCATAAAAAACTACCTTGACCAAAAACTTTAATCTGAAGCGCGGGGACAGACGAATGATCGGACGAACGAACGCACAGACCGAAAAAACATAGAATGCCCTCTACTATCGTAGGTGGGGCATAAAAAAGATCTGTGTATATTGTTGACTTTAGATGTTTTTTTTATGACGTTGGCTTGTTAAAATGCCGTATACCCTACATCTCTTTCACTGCAGGCCTTGTAAATTTTAACAGTTAATTAAGAACACAGATAAATTCCCAATAGAAAATTAGAAACATCAGCTTAACTTAAATAGTCCAAATAAGGAAATACCGTGAATGTCACTTCAAGTACACGTGCTTGAAAATTCAGTCCCCGTTAAACTATATTTTGGAACATATTTTCAAATTCAAATTTTGCAAGAATTTCAATTTAAGATGACTAGAAATTGATGCAATATAAGACCCTTTATACATGTAGAGTTGTTGTTGAAATTTGTAATATGCTATTATTTTAATAAATATATTGTGTACAAATGATAATTCAGCAGAATCCTATGAATGTGCATTAATGCAAATAAGACATATTAAGAAAAGCTCTGGGTTTGTTCAATTAAAAGTAAAATCGCCATAACTTCAATTCATGGCACAATGTTTTAATACCGACCCGAATAGGAATAAGTCGGCCTATAGCCGTATCCGAGCGATCGTTGTTTGCTTCTAGAATTGTCCAAGTTCCGAAAACCACGTTCATACTGATAAGATTCGTCGTCTTGTGTGCCATCATGCTCAGGAGCTGCCAAAGAACGAAATTGGTACGGCGATTTGGATTCGGATATTTTAGAACGGGGTCCAGACATGAAGGAGTCCTCTTTACTTGTATTCAACGTGTCTGATAACATTTGAACAGACCGTTCTGAAGGTTTTTCTTTTGTGGGTTCAAGATAGTCTGAAAATAAATAAAAATAGATTACAACTAAAGTCAATACAACCAGAAGCATTAGCAAATTTATAATCTCCATAAAAGAAATTATCAGTGAAGGTCTACATTATTCTGAATAAGCTATAAATGTAAAGTTTGTCCGAGTCCTTTCAGGAGTTTTAACCTTAATATTCACAACTTGGTCATGACTATTGCTCAACTCTGCTACATGTTTTTTCTATACAAAAAAGCATCTTAAATGTGATAACAGATGTAACAAACATGCATGAAAATTGTGTAGTCAATCACATGCGCCCATGGAACTAGAACTTGGCTTTGTTCAGCGGCGAAAGAAAAACGTTATATTAGATTTAAAAATAAATCAACTCAACGAAAATGCTGATGAATTTGTGTAATTTGAAAATGTGATATTTAACTAAATATAAATTAAGGAACATGCTTGTCAGTGTTGTCTTACCCAAATCACTTAAAGTCAAGGAATCGTCTTTTCTAGATGACAGCCCTGAACTTCTAGATTTGGACGAATTTTGATGTTTTTGGTATTTTTTAATCTCTTCGTCTTGTTTCTGGTTCAATCTTTTGATCGACTCAAGCTCTGTTCTAAGTTTAGAACACAAAGATAATGCACCTTGGGCTATGTGTACCGCTGGTACTATGTTAGTTGTTAGTGCTCTTTGTAAGGTCTCTTCAGTGACCAATTTAAAATCTATAGTGTTGATAAGTTCTTGTCGTTGTTCGTCATTTAAGTTATCTGTTTCTGTAAAAGAAGGAAGTCATTTTTGTTCACAAACATTCAGTTTTATCCTTTTATTTGATGTTAATGGTTAAAATGGATCACAATACACAACAGAGCTTCGACTTGTTTAGATTAAGCGTTAACTTTTTAAAACAAATGAATAACAATGTGAAGAGCTGCAGCCGGTTGTACGAGCGTGTCATTAGTCTAATGAGTCATTAAGTCTTCATTAGCCTAATGCTTAAAGGCTTAATGAAGACTTAATGACCCATTAGGCTAATGCCACGTACGTACAACCGGCTGCAGAACTACTACATCGACATTATATAAATTTATTCGCTAAATGGAACAACTATACCAAGTTCAAAATATACTTAAGTTCAATACGCACTATTCAGCTGTATTCCTAATACATGCAATTTACCCAGATACACAATCTGCTTTTTCGTTTGGTAATTTTCAGGGGTGGTAATTAAAAATCATTTACTTGAGGACCCTGGTCCAGAATTTCCAGAAATTCCAGAAACATTGTTCGAACAGAGATCATTTAAAACATATCCCGATACTGACATGGTATATATTCTTATTTTATCTTAAAGATAATTGAACATTGTGCACTTTTAAGGTTGACACAACTGCTATATATATATCAGTGCGTCCTGAGTTATATGCCCTTAATACTGTTTATACGATTTATCCCTGATCATCCCTGGGGTCACAGAGGGTTCTATGTTATATATGTCAAGCTTAAAATCGTGCTCAAAGAATATCCAGACGGTTTAAAGTTCTTAAATACATTGGCAATATTATGTTACACGTTGCAAAATCTAAATAACAGGATTAATTTAATTTAAATGGTTGTAATATTAACTTACTTAAAAAGTTAAGATTATATTTAAATTCTACTAATAATTACACGAGACAATGATAATGTTACATATTATATACAGGTATAGTATTATACCAAAACGTGCACACAATTAAAACAAGATATATGAATGAAAGATGATAAGGTCGAATAGTCGTGATAATGGCGTAAACAAAATTGATACACTATCATGAAAAACACAGTAACTGCTACCAAAAGTGAGGATTTTTAATGCACCACATACGATCATATACGATTCATGTACATGAAGTGAGCTTACTAAAAGGTCAGACAAGAGGCGTTATCATTCGAGAAACGAAAATAAAAGATGTACAATAGTGGCGGATCCAATTAAGAAGGGGGGGGGGGGGGGGGTGGTTCCGGGGGTTGGAACCCCCCTTTTTTGGGACGATCAATGCATTTGAATGGGGACATATAGTTGGAACCCCCTCCCCTTTTATCCTGGGTTGGAACCCCCTTTTAAAAATGGCTGGATCCGCCCCTGTACAAGCAAGCATAAATTACAAATTGAATTCTCAAACACAAAAGACACACAATATAATTAGAATATGTTTCAGTGTATTTTAGTTCAATGTACGTACAGTTTTTGTCAATATTTGTATTATTTTGTAACTTTTAAAGTGAAAAGTCCTTTAACAACAACTGCCTCCATCATCTCAACCCACAAATAACTCACAACTACAGAAAATGTCAACTTACCAGAAGACAAAACATACTCCAGAATTGTGTACATATGATCTTGATTTGTTTTAGCATCAGACGGCAATGCAGTAGCCAACAACTTGTAAGTCTCCGCGGTTAGTACTCCTTTCCTGACCATTTCTGACATGTATGTGTCTACAATATTTGACGCCTTTTCTGCTTGACCATTTTCATTGCAGGTTTCTAGCACTATGTCATGCAAAAGTGATGGCGAAACAATACACAGATCTTCAGCAGATAACCTGTTCAGCATTTCTCCAGCAGCTTTGACTAGCAGACGACGGCACGCGCAGCCATGTCCTGTAGCAATACGAAGAACCTTTGTAATCCAGTCCATAGTAACAGCATCATCATACAAGGCGTCCTCGGGAATCTCTAAAACAATGGAGTCTATAATATGTCCAATGTCTAATTTAGTTTTCCCGACATTACTCCCGGAATCTCCCGGACTCAGCTTCGATGTTAGGTTTTCTGTTTTGTTGTTATTCTTCTCTTCTTTTTCTTCCTGTTCAATTATATTACTAATAAACTGAGTCATTAGCTCAGCTAAATGAGAATGCCTTACTCCACGATCTCTAGCACTAGTAAAGAGCTTCAAAAACCACTCAAAAGGAATAAGTAGTAACGACTTAATAGACTTGTCGCCTCCTTGCTTTTTTGAATTTGTTGGTGAGCTGAACTTTGTTGGTGGTTTGAGCCAGCACTCAACCAACGCATCAGAGCAAGATGAGATTATTCCACATGATTCTGCCAACGAACTCATAGAAACACAAGAGCGAATCATGGAAGCCACAACACTGCTAGAACGACTCATTTTGGCCGAAGTAATTGTATCTTGAATGAACTTGTCACTGACTTCAATCAGATTTGCAGACCCCGTCATCTGTAAAAGCTCCGCAGCACACCTCAAGGGAACAATGTTGTCCTTTGTTGTCTCAATTTTCATGTTGTAGCAAAAGTCGGCAACAAGCCCAAAAACTTCATCACCGCCTGGGAAATCGGTCAACTCCACCCGGCCTGACTCACTTGGAGTATTTTTAGCAAGTTTACAGAAAAATTCAGATTTTGCATAAAGTGGAAATTTGTGAAGTTTGAAATCATTTCCTTCCACAATAACTGTTATGTCTGACAGTTCTCCTGTTGTTCTAAACTTCGAAAAATCCATCTTTTATGTCAAAAGTGTCTAAAGTAAGCTGTACATTCGATTAACAGCAGCAGCCACAAGTGAAGAAAGAAACTCTTATACGACGAAGTAAGAATTTAATTATATAATTAACAGGTAGTTTTAATTACACCAATACACCACTTATATTCCTTGAATATAAAAGCTCCCTTGTATTGTAACATTGTATATCGAGGTTACTACTTCGATCGAAGATATAATGTTTACCTTTTTACGTTCTAACATTACCTCGCTATAAAACTAGTCCTTACTTGTTTTGTGTATTGGCCTGTGTGATCGATACTTTGATCAAAGATAATTTTTCTGTTGTTGATTGATTATTGATTTAAAAGTGAAAAGAATTTTGATAAGGAGTACTTTTAAAATAAATAAATCAAATTTCAGTTTTAACTGTACAGTGTATAATTTACTGTTGTGATAAAACGGTTATCTGTCACGAAATTACATAAATATACATTGTATTTTACATATACTTCTAAATTTAAATGCTCATAAATATGAATGGGATTTACGACAGTCAGAATTTTCAGTGATGACAACGAGGAAATAAACCATACACTTCAGATTTTATTGGACATATATAGCTGATCGAAATAATTAATAGTTCTTATGCTAAATAGATTCACTTTTTTATTATCATATTTAAGAATAGGGGTAATCTAATTTTGAAAACTACTTACTTTTGTTCAAAATCTCTCCATATTAATATAAGGCATGAAAGAAAGCTGTACAAAACACTTCAGTGTACAGAGATCTAAGACTACTCGTCGCTTTGTAAGCCTTATTTAAAATTGACTCAATATAAATAGAACTTAGTTACATATTGCATTTTATTTTTTAAAGTTCTGTTTAATGTCACGTTCTCATGCTTTGCAACTTGGAAAACCAGGCCTATAATGCGATATAAATAAAAGTGGATTTGGGATATTTCAACCATACCACAACCTACCGACAAAAAAAGCCAAAGATGACTCAATGCACGTGTTCTCAAGTCATGTTAAGAGAAAAATGTGCACCAGACACTAGGAACATATTACGTATACACTGAAATGTTATATACGCGTTGACAAAATTGGCACGGCATGATCGATGTCATAAATGTTTTCAGTCCTTACTGACATTCTGTATGAATGTAACCTAATATGAATTGATACATGGACAAAACAGACAAGGTACATGTGAAGTGGACATAATAACATGGTCCTAATGCACTGGTCATACTGACACGATGCTTGCACATCGACAATATTGTCATGATGCGACCGATTCGGTAAGCAGAATAAAAATAAATTAATCAATGGTTTTTTTTTGTGTATTTCTTGTCTATTGAGAAAAAAAGATTTTTCTGTATACGGATATGGATAGTAAACTGCACATTGCTAAAAACAAAGAAATATTAATGCCAACATTAAATGCATTAACAATATAATAGACTGGAAAACAGGAAATATAAAAAAAACACAAAAAAAACATTGATTTTTTTTCTGCTATCCGAGTCCCTGTGCATGATGTATGCATACTGACCATAGCTGAATGCACATTATTGAACATATTGACATGCTGCATGAAACTGACCATTCCTGGGTGTCGAACGATACACTATGACCATACCGACACGCTGCTTATACACTTACCATATCGACATGTTCATGCACACTGAACATATTGACATGCTACATGAACAATAAACCTACAGAAATGCTGCATGCACACTGACTAGCAGCACTCATAATGATTGTACTGACATGCTGCATGCACACTGGTCATATTGACATGCTTCATGAACAATAACCCTACAGAAATGATGTATGCACTCTTACTAGCAGCATTAATTATGATCGTACCAGCATGTTGCATGTACATTGATCATACTGAATTGCTGCATTTATAATGATCATACCGACATGCTATAATTATTGTACCGACATGCTGCATGTACACAAACCATACTGCATGATGTTGCACATAGACCCTACTGATATGCTACATGTACACGGGTCATACTGAATGATGTAGCAAATATACCCTACTGATATGCTGCATGTACACGGGCCATATTGAATGATGTAGCAAATAGACCCTACGATATGCTGTATGTACACAGGCCATACTGAATGATGTAGCAAATAGACCCTACTGATATGCTGCATGTATACGGACTATACTGAATGATGTAGGAAAAAGACGCTACTGACATGCTGCATGTACACGGGCCATACTGCATGATGTGGCACATAAATCCTACTGACATGCTGCATGTACATAGGCCATACTGAATGATGTAGCAAATAGACCCTACTGACATGCTGCATGTACACGGTCCATACTGCATGATGTACCACATAGATCCTACTGACATGCTGCATGTACATCGGCCATACTGCATGATGTAGCCCATAGACCCTACTGACATGCTGCATGCACACGGGCCATACTGCATGATGTAGCCCATAGACCCTAACGACATGCTGCATGATGTAGCACATAGACCTTACTAGTATGCTGCCTGTACACGGGACATACTGCATGATATAGCACATAGACCGTAACGACATGCTGCATGCATACTCACCCTATTGACATGCTGCATGCATATTTACCCTACTGACATGTTGCATGTATACTGATGGTACTGACATGCCAATTGAACACAGACTCTACTGGCATATGCTGCATACTTATTGACCATACCAACATACTGCATGCAAAATGACCATAATGAAATGATGCATGCACTATGAACATAATGACCTGCTGCATGCACACAGACCATACTGACAAGCTGTGTACTGTTCATGGTGACATTATTTATGCATATAGGCCATACCAACATCCTACTTGTTCATAGCACACACCATCATATGGCATGCAAAACTTTCAATACCAACAACAAGCTGTCAGTAACTGTGATTATTCTTAGATCGTTAATTTATGTCTTTAGTAATTTTTTTGTGTGGTTTGTCCCAATATGACAAGTCAAGCCTTTTTTCAGGTGTAATACCACCATTGATTTTCCCCTATTAGTCTTTGTTAAATTTGCACTTTTCAAAAAATTGTGCAGAATTTATCTTTGTTTCAATTAAAGAAATACTTGGCATGAGTAAAGTTTTATCCTGTCCAGTACTATAGAAAAAATTTCACATAACATTTCATTGCATATAAGAAAATAACCATCACTGGAAGTTAACCAATCAAATTTTCCCCCTTTTTTAACCTGTGTACAAGCTTTAGTAACCATGTAACCTCAAGTTTCCAAAATATTCTATAGAAACCCCAAATAAAAAAATAATGGTGCTTTGAAATACCCAAGATATATGTTTATGACCCAGAAATGTTTTACTGCAATGAAATGTAGGATCAATTACCTACAACTGTCAAATTCAAGGGAATATTTTTTTTCGACCTATTTTCGTATGCAACCGGATGTGACGTACTATGATTTGGTGGTATTACACCTTCAACTTATTTTTAGAGTTTGTTCTTATGTTGTACTGTTACACCACTGTCCCAGTCTAGGAGAGGGTTGGGCGCTTACAACAAACATGTTTGGCCCTGGTGATTTCTGTATGGTATGTGCCTGTCCCATATCAGGAGCCTATAATTCAGTGGTTGTTGTTTGTCGTTGTATATCAATTTAAAAAAATCAATAAATCAGGAAATTAGTTATCTCGTTTGAAATGTTTTACATTTGTCATGTCAATGCCTTTTATAGCTTGCTATGCAGTATGGGTTTTGCTCAATGTTGAAGGACGCACAGTGACATACAGTTGCTAACTTCTACGCCATTTAGTCTCTGGTTGAAAGTTGGCACATTGACAATCATACCACATCTTCTTTTTTTCATAATATTGTATGTGCATAGTTCATTTTGACATATCAAATATGTATTTACCACATAGACATATCATATGTGCAGTTCATTTTGACATATCAAATGTGTATTTGCCACATAGGCATATCATATGTGGCGTGTGCAGTTCATTTTGACATATCATATGTGCAGTTCATTTTGACATATTAAATGAATTGGCCAGTTAACAAGCATAATGTATGTGTATGGGTCATACTGACACACCATTATGAGCATTTGACACATATGTGCAGTGACCATTTTGACATCATATTGTATTTGTATTGGTCATACTGACACATCACATGTGCATTGTTCATTTTGACACATTGAATGTGTATAGTCATTGTCATTAATCTTTTTGGCATATTAAATGTATGTGAATTGGCCATGTTGACACATATTGTAAGTGTATTGGTTATGCTGTCTTATTGTATATGTGTTGATAATGTTGTATGAGCATTAGGCATATTGTCATTTTGTATGTGTATGTCACAGGCACTTGTCTCTGAAATTTTTTTTCATATATACTTTTATATATCACTATTGAGGTATATAGGAAAAATATTTCAGAGACAAGTGCCTGTGCCATATTGATTTATCTGCAGGAAAATATCTACCAATGTTGACTTCATTTTCTGCATGAGAAGAAGTTCCAAGTGTATTCTACAAATAGATGACAAAGACAACTGGCAAAATCAATATAAAATATTACTTCCAGAAGGCCATGGGGTGTCTAACTGTTAATGTCCAACTGTTGCATAAAAATGGAAGTTATATTCAGTAGACCATTTTCAAAAAAGTGTTACCAGTGAATATTTATAGGTTTAGGTACTTAGAAAAGGCATTTCTAGATGCTCAATTTTGGACAATATATTTATTGTTGAATAGTTGCCATGTCAAACCCATCTAAATCTAACATTGCCAGTGGGTATATAGGATCATCATATTAGTAATAAAAGTCCATATTTCCCAAACATTATAGTAAATAAAGATTATTCAGTTATTTTTTGTTTCACGAACATCAACCCTATATCTTTTAACTTTTATATATAGTCAATAAAAAAAAAGGATTTTTCAATTATTTTATATAAAACATCATTCACTTGTATGCAATTATTATTAAGCAATGTTTCATCCATACTTAAAATGCATTACAAATGGTAGGTTAAACATACAAACTTTATCCTTCTAAAATGGCAAAACATGTCCACCATTCACACAAAATCAACTATGGCCTATGCATATTTCATTCATAACTTTTTTTTCTTCAAAATCATGTAAAACAAATTCCTGCATATAAAAGCAGAAAAATTATAAATTACATTTAAATTTTAGTTTTTGAATCTATTTAAAAGAAAGCTTATCTAAGGCACTACTTTAATATAATAGTATGCCTACACCAGGTAGACTGAAAATTCCCACTGATTATAAAATATATATTACAATCATCAACTTACAAACAAACAAAAAAATATTTTCAACACAGTAAACATTCAACCTGAACATCAATTAATCAACTCTTACATAATAGAGTATAAAAAAGTATAAAATATCTAATATTAATTTTTTATCACATCCTAAATGAGCATTATGGAATGTAAACAAAAAATGTATAGAAAATAAATGCATTTACACAAAATACATTGCATCTGTTTTTATGGACCAATTGATATCTTGTGAAGAAACATTTATGGAATAGTCTTCTATGTTTACAATATTTTATGAAACAAATTTCAAATGAAAACAGTCAGTAAATCAACCATTTTGTTCACTTATTCTCCTTTATATACATGGTACCTGTTTTTTGAATCTCATTAAACTACATATAAAAAACATCTCAGTAAAATTTCTAGAGCAGTCTTAAGATCTTTCAAAAAGAATTTGAGGATACTTTTTCATGCTAAACTGTTTTTGTAACTGACTAATGAGCAATATCTATTTAAATACAAAATTAGAAAAAAAACTAGAGCTTGAACTCTGACCCTGTTCTACCAATATGTATGGAAAATTCAGATCAAAATCTAATCTACAATGACATTTATTCATATACAAAAGATTCTGTAAAAGTTTCATTCAAACCCAATTAAGGAGGGGTAATACCTACTCCTTTTTGCAGATAAGTTCATGCTTTGCAATGGGAAACTCCAAACATAATTTGGATAAAAAAAGATAACAGACTTAAAATCCAGAAGGTGTCGAATGTACAAAGCAACAACAGGAAAACTTTACAAATAAATGAACATAATTTTTACTTAATATGAATGCACCAATAGTAAATACTGTATAAAAGGTCCCTATTCAAATAAAATGCACCAACTCTCCGACTAAAAAATCACACTATATTTCCCAAAGAGTTGTCTCCCATTACAGCAGGTATTTTTTTGTCAAACCCTGCATCAATAAAACAATCTTACATTAATTAGCTGTATTTTTATGGTTTATGCCTTGGTACAAAATACAATGTTTCATCAATATGTTCTTCATATGAAATAACTGTAGATTTATTTGTATCAAAGATATGTAAGTTATCAAAGTCAGCTATACCATAGGATGATGTTCCTATACCTATAAAACCACTTAAAGGAGCTTTGTCTATTGTGTGTTCAAATGTTAACTGTCCATTTACACTTCCTCTTAATTGATATCCCTGAAATAAAGAAAGAAAGACAAGTAGAACATATATTTATTACAAGGCTCCTATACATTTAAACATTGAAACTGGAAAAACAACGACCAATACTATTATAGGAAAAGATACTCCATGTTCTGTAAACCAACTAATTTTCATGAGAGTCACTTGTTATGTCGCTATGTCATAAACATGTGGAAATTGACATATTGAACTACTATGACTATTTTACACATAGTTCTTGGACAAAATAGATATAAGATGAGGCCTTACACAAAAAGACATTTTACACACATCCTTCAAAAACATCTTGTAGCAAACTATATTTTTAGATTAAGCCTTTGCTTATATCTAGTTATTAATGACAAGTTCTTAAAATGAGGCTTTTTTAGCAGTTTTTGTTGTTTTGCACTAAATGAAAGAAGCCCTAAAGCAAATATGTGATACACTATTCAAAAATATAAATACCGATGTCTGGCAGACTATGAACATATCAGAAGGATGTTATTTGGGAGATTTAAAGGAATATTATCATTATGTCATATGCAATTATACAAGAAAATGTCTATATTCCTAAAGAATTTAATGAACTTTTATAAAACAATTCTGTGATATGTGAATTCTATTGTAAGTATCATATGTGGTTTTGTTTTATTTTTATTGTCTTATTTGTCTATGTTATATTGTTCATATATCTGTCTTCTCATATCACCATGTAATAACATGTTTATAATATCTATTTGTCCCCTTGTACACACATGTGTCTGAGGTTAATAAAACATTCCAATTTTGAATCTTAAATAATACTTTGATTTTCAAGTTTAAGGGGCCAAAAAATGTGGCGTTACCATTCTTTCTCCTTTATCTATTTTATTTGGTGTAACATTAACAAACAGTCTTATATCCAAATATAATTTCAATCACAGACGTCCATTTAAATTGTTCAATTGATACTGATGTTAATTTGAATTGTAATGCAACACTGATTGCAATGTTATCTTAAACTGGATGATGTCTAGAATTTCAGGGTATCAATTTAATGACTGAATTTCTGAAATTGTAAGCATAAATGCAGATGTCATGTAAATGATTTTAAAATATTTAGTACAACCATTTAACAGTATTTCCTTTCAGCTGTATTAAATTGACAAATCAGTATTTTATTTGAAGATTTGAGGGAAGCAATTTGTGATTTGATGGTCCCAAAATTCAGTTTATGGTGAAGTTTTTAAATGCCTTTCAGTACTGCTAGTGACTGTTAAGGATACAAATTTAAATTTCATCTATGAAAAATCTAATTGTAAAATACATCCATTAACCAAATTTCCTTTCTTTAAAAAAATACTGTGAATTTATTTATTTTCTTGGGTTCCAAATTTTGTGGATTGAGGAAAGATTGTATTTTTGTGGAAACTTGATTTTTTGGTTTTTCAAAATTTTGTATACAAGCCTTTACAAAATTTGTGGTTCACTTATACACATGCAAATTGGTACCCAACAAATAATTAGGAATCAACAGCAGATAAAACAATTGATAATATGAAAATGCCAAGCATATAACATTACCTCCACAATAAGTTCAAGGTTATTCCATCCATCTTGTATGTTTGATATTGATCCTTTAGCAACTAACTGAGTTCTTGCTGCAATAAAAAAAAAATCAATATATTACTGCCTTTATTCCTTTATTCATTTGTAAAGATAAATTTTACAATTTCCTGTTTATGTTAAAACAAGCATTCTGAGAGTATTGCATGGCAATACATAGTCCCCTACCAGTTAAAAATTAATTGTACTGGAACAAAATGCTAACTTGATCTATAACTTGTCATGGTGTAAACTATATTACAAATATCAAGTCAATATCTTCAAGCATGACGAAAAAAAGAGCGGAAAACTGATAATTTAAGTGAATTTTCTAAGTCCAAAGACCATAACTCTGCAAAAAATCATCAAACCGAAACAAAATTCAAACTTGGTCTGTAACTTGTCATGATAAAACTATATACCAATTATCAAATCAATATCTTCAAGAATGACGAAAAAAAGTGCGGAAAACTGATTATTTGAGTGAATTTTCTAAGTCCAAGGACCATAACTCTGCACAAAATTATCAGACCGGAACAAAATTCGAACTTGATCTGTAACTTGTCATGATAAAACAATATACCAAATATCAAATCAATATCTTCAAGCATGAAGAAAAAAAGTGTGGAAAACTGATTTGCCGGACTGACAGAAGGACAGACAGACAGACAGACGGACGGAGTGCAAACCTAAAGTCCCCTTCGACTTCCTCGGTAGGGGACCAAAAGAATTTGTATTACTTTGATGCAGAAAAGTGCAGGGTGTAAAATAAGTGAACAGGTTTATTCAATATGTAAATACGCATATTATCATAAATTTAAAATTTCACTGGATTGTTTTAAGACAGTAATTTTTACACAATATTTAAGTTGAGTTGCTAGTTAATAATAGGAGAATATGTAATATTAAGTGTACTTGATTTAAGAAATTAGTCATGCGTGTTATGAAGTAGCAAATTATCTCCCTTATTTCAAAGAAAAGTAACATAGGAATATGTGTAAAGAAACCTCTCATTGACATGAGAAGTGACTTACAGTAGAACAGGAAGTAGCAAACTTATTTCTCATATTTCAAAGAATTGTATTAGTAACTATTTTTTTTTGGAATTAGTGTCTGAGAAGCTATTATCAGACACTCATTGAAGAGACTTTTTTAATAGAAATTAATTTGCACTCACATTTTCTTATTAACAAATAAAAATTCAAACGTGGAAAGACCTTCAATTGTTTTCTTTCTTGTTTGTTAGTGTTAAAATGTTGTAATTTCTCATCTTTCCTAAGTTACTCATTCAAGGGGATACCTGACGGATATTTCTGTAACAGTATATTTCAACTTGACTTATGTTTCTCAGTTATGTATGATCCTTATTATCTTTATGTGAACCTTTAAGCGTGTACACCTATTTTTTTTTTAAATATTCTATTTTTATCCTTCCCATCATCGATACATGTATAAATTAAACTGCTATGATATATCATTTTAAATGCGTTTGTGTATATATTGTATTCAACATTATTTGCTCTTTATCAACTATCCAAACTCATAAAAACTACTTTATAGTTATATGCACTTCACTAATAATCAAAAAGTGTCTTCAAAATATAACTAAACTTTTTTGGTGCATTTAAATTAAGTCATCTTTCGAATTCTATATTCATTTATAAACAGTGTTTACACACAAACAATTCTTTAAATGTTGAATACAGTTAACAAGAAAGGTAACCTGATAACAAACAAGGAAGTAGAATATCTGTGTCGTACTTAAAAATGGTGTTTTCACAATCAGTCAGAAAAGGACAAATTCCTGTTAGTTGTGGATTATGTGAAACTGATAGACCCATCAAATGGAAGTGTTTAGACTGTGATCTTTTATTGTGTGATCATTGTAAGGAGAAGGTACATTTAAGAGTGAAAACTGCAAAGGATCACAGAATAATCGATATAAAAGAAATCGGACTCTATAAAGAAGAACTAGATTTTGCAAACATTCCCTGTAAAGACCATGCTGGACAATATACCTGTCTTTATTGTAAGACATGTGACACTCTTGTTTGTCCAACCTGTGTTTCAAAAATTCACAAGAAACATGATCTAACAGAAATTCAGGAAGGATATGAGATGAAAATAGACAAGTTGAAAAAAGGACAAAGTAAAATTCAAAGGGATAGGAAACAAATAGTTTCAAGAAAAGAACAGCTTAACCAACTTTTATCTTTGGAAAATTCTAAATACAACCAGGTTAATCAAGATGTTCTTAAGCATGAAATATCTGTGAAAGCAGCAGTTGAAATGTACTTTAAAAAACTCAGAGAAGAATTAGATCAGAATAAAAGCACTGTCTCTAGTACAATCAAATCTGATTTAAATGCTGTCTCAGACTTACTAAAAGAAGCTGACAATAAAAACAATGAAGTTGAGGATTTCATTCAAATAACTGATGCTTCCAAGTTCTTTACAGATATTAACAATTTAGAAAAATCTATAGACATCCAAATGCCCCAACTACAGTCAAATTATGTATCTATACCAAACTTTGTTCAAGGGGACATCACTCAGTCTAACATTGGGGTTTTGGAATTTGATGAAAATCCATCTCATGAACACTATATTAATTTGAAAATAAATAAACAATATCAAACTGAACTTGAGGTTGTATCATATGTATGCACATCTATATACCAGTCTTTCTGGATAAGTTCTGGTAAATATGGGTTAGTTCAAAAAGTGAAACCTGATGGCACCAAACTGAAGATACTATCCAGTTATAAAACCAGTGTTTATGGTATGACTGTTACTCAATCAAATAATCTACTATTGTGTTGTGAGGGATCAAGACTCCAAGAAATTAGCAGTATTACAGGTAAACTTACAGACTCGGTATATAATGTGTCACCATTAGTACCTTCAGCAGTCTATATCACCAGTGACAATAAAGTTCTAGTAGGAGGTGTTAAACCAGGAAGAAGTGTTGTAATACTAATGAATCAGAATGGAGACCATGAGAGAGTGTATGAACATAATCAACATAAACAACCTGTATTTACCTATCTCTGGAGAATAACTAGCACCAGTAATGGGAATATTCATGCGGTGGATAGAGTAAGTGAGGACAGACTTAAAGTAGTAGTGTTAGAACAGGGTGGTGATATAATCAATATCTATACAGGAGATACAGAGATCAACAAGGACAGACCGTTCTTTCCAGGAGACATAGTGACAACACCTAGAGACAATGTTATTGTAGCTGATATTTATACTCATACACTTCATTTCCTGAACAATGCTGGCCTGCTGATGACATATTATAAAACAAGTGACATAAACATAATGTTACCGATGTCTCTTGCATTCTCTCCAACAGGACAACTTTATATAGGATGTATTACACCAGAAGGTAGTACAACCAAGGAGGCAAAGATATATGAAGTGACCATATCAGGATGTTGAAGTATAAAAATATGCAACAGTAAAATTCTTAGAATGAGTACTCCATTCCTAAATTAATAGTTGCCTTATGCAGATCTGTGTCATTGATACATGGATTGTACTATAGTTAAAAGTAGATTTTATTCCATGTCATCAAATATGATTTATTTTTAATTGTATTATGTACCAGTTGAAATGAATAAATTTCATGATTCCATGGTTTTGAGAAATTTTGAATTCCTCATTTGTAATATATTATAGATAGTTCAGTTTAATCAAAGTCGAAATGTTTGAACCTAATTACATGTGTATGATTTTGTTTCTACTGAAATATCAATCATTCTGTGAAAACTATGTTCTTTTTTATCATTCCTTTTTATGTAATTTGTTTTTACATAAATGTGTCTTTGCATGATTTTTATAACCTGTTCTACTAGCTGTTTAATTTGATCACATCATTAACAAACAAAAAATCTAAAAAAATTTTTTCAAATTATGAAAATTTATAATTCTTTATAAGGTTTATAGTTATTGAATAAAAGTATCATTTCAAGTTATTCCAATCACTGTTATTTTTTAGGACATTTTATTATATAATAAAACAACCCCGTTCAAATATCCCCCACAAATGCACATATTTTATGTATCCAAGGGCTATAACTAAAAAAAATATGTTTTGGTTCTTTTAAACCTTTTCATAAATATCCTACAAGAAATGTAGACAACTGGAAGACCTAATATGGTCTTCAACAAGAGACAGCTGTGTTTAAAATAAATTAATCCGGCTTCACAAAATGCATCTGACTTAGTAATTTAATTGTGACATGACATAAGTGCACCATGTTTTATTTCAATTAGATAATGGCTTTGTTTACAAAGGAAAGCAGAGCATCAAATTGAAATGTAATAAAACATAGTATACACATAACTTTGGATAAATCTATCAGCAGCAGAACCATTGGCAAATGACTGCCATAGTCCTGACTTAGTATAGGCACTTATTAAGGAGTTAATCTATCAGCAGCAGAACCATTGACAAATGACTGCCAAAGTCCTGACTAACCAAAGGTACTTATTTAAGTGTAAAACTATAAGCATCAAATCCATTGACAAATGACTGCCAAAGTCCTGATTCAGTAAAGGTACTTATTAAAGGGTAAAACTATATGCAGCAACCATTGGAAAATGACTGCCGTAATCCTGACTTAGTATAGGCACTTATTAAATTTGTAGTAAATCTATCAGCAGCAGAACCATTGATAAATGACTGCCATAGTCCTGACTTAGTAAAGGCACTTATTAAGGGAAAATCTATCAGAAGCAGAACAATTGGCAAATGACTGCCATAGTCCTGACTTAGTATAGGCACTTATTCAGGAGTTAATCTATCAGCAGCAGAACCATTGACAAATAACTGCCAAAGTCCTGACCAACCAAAAGTACTTATTTAGGTGTAAAACTATAAGCATCAGAACCATTGACAAATGACTGCCAAAGTCCTGATTTAGTAAAGGTACTTATTAAAGGGTAAAACTATATGCAGCAAAGATTGGAAAATGACTGCTGTAATCCTGACTTAGTATAGGCACTTATTAAACTTGTAGTAAATCTATCAGCAGCAGAACCATTGATAAATGACTGCCATAGTCCTGACTAAGTAAAGGCACTTATTAAGGAGTAAATCTATCAGAAGCAGAACCATTGACAAATGACTCCTATAGTCCTAACTTTGTATAGGCACTTAATAAGGAGTAGATCTATTAGCAACAGAACCATAGGCAAATGACTGTCATAGTCCTGAGTTAGTATAGGCACTTATTGAGGAGTAAATCTGTCAGCAGCAGATCATTGACAAAGAACTGCCATAGTCCTGACTTAGTATAAGCACTTATCAAGGAACAAATCCATCAGCAGCAGAACCATTGACAAATGACTGCCATAGTCCTGACTTACTTAAGGTACTTATTAAGGTTTAAAACTATCAGCAGCAGAACCATTGACAAATAACTGTCATAATCCTGATTTAGTATTGACACTTATTTAGGAGTAAATCTCTCAGCTTCAGAACTATTGGCAAATGACTGCAATAGTCCTGAGTTAGTTAAGGCACTTATTTAGGAGTAAATCCGACAGCAACAGAACCATTCACAAGTGACTGTCGCAGTCCTGACTTAGTATAGGCACTTATTAAGGAGTAAATCTGTCAGCAGCAGATCATTGACAGAGGACTGCCATAGTCCTGACTTAGTATAAGCACTTATTAAGGAACTAATCCATTAGCAGCAGAACCATTGACAAATGACTGCCATAGTCCTGACTCACTTAAGTTACTTATTAAGGTTTAAAACTATCAGCAGCAGGACCATTGACAAATAACTGTAATAAACATGATTTAGTATTGGCACTTATTAAGGAGTAAATCTATCAGCTTCAGAACTATTGCCAAATAACTGCCATAGTCCTGACTTACTAAAGGCACTTATCAAGGTGTAGATCTATCAGCATCAGAACCATAGTCCTGACTTACTAAAGTCACTTATTAAGGAGTTAATCCATCTGCATCAGAATAATTGGCAAATAACTGCCAAAGTCCTGACTTACTAAAGGCACTAATAAGTAGTTAATCTATCAGCATCAGAACCATTGGCAAATAACTGCCATAGTCCTGACTTACTAAAGGCACTTATTAAGGAGTAAACCTATCAGCAGCAGAACTATTGACAAATGACTACATAGTCCAGACTTACTAAATGCACTTATTAACGAGTCAATCTATCAGTAGCAGAACTATTGGCAAATGACTGCCATAATCCTGACTTAGTATTGGTACATATTAAGGAGTAAATCTCACAGCAGCAGAACCATTGGCAAATGACTGCTACAGTCCTGATTTAGTATAGGCACTTAATAAAGAGTAAATGCATCAGCAGCAGAATCATTGGCAAAAGATTGCCATAGTCCTGACTTAGTATAAGCCCTTATTAGGGGTAAACCTATCAGCAGCAGAACCATTGGCAAATGACTGCCATAGTCCTGACTTTCTAAAGGCACTTATTAAGGAGTAAATATATAAGTAACAAAACCGTTTAGCAATGACTGCCATAGTCCTTATCTTAGTAAAGGCACTAATCAAGAGGCAAATCCATCACCAGCAGACATTGACCAATGACTGTCATAGTCCAGACTTAATAAAGGCACTTTATCATAGTCCTAACTTACTAAAGGCACTTATTAAGGAATCAATCTATCAGTAGCAGAATCATTGGCAAATGACTGCCCTAGTCCAGACTTTGTAAAGGCACTTATTCAGGTGTAAATCTATCAGAGGCAAAATCAAGGCAAATGTTTGCCATAGTCCTGACTTAGCATAGGCATTTATTGAGGAGTCAATCTATCAGCAGCAGAACCATTGGCAAAAAACTGCCATAGTCCTGACTTACTCAAGGCACTTATTCAGGAGTAAATCTATCAGCAGCAGAACCATTGGCAAATAACTGCCATAGTCCTGACTTACTTAAGGCACTTATTAAGGAATAAATATATAAGCAACAGAAGCATTTGGCAATGACTGCCATAGTCCTTATCTTAGTAAAGGCACTCATCAAAAAGCAAATCCATCAGCAGCAGAACTATTGGCAAATGATTGCCATAGTCCTGACTTAGTATAAGCACTTATTACGAGTAAACCTATCGACATCAGAACCATTGGCAAATAACTGCCATAGTCCTGACTTACTAAAGGCACTTTAAAAGGAGAAAATCTATCAGCATCAGAACCATTGGCAAATAACTGCCATAGTCCTGACTTACTAAGGGCACTTATTAAGGAGTTAATCCATCAGCATCAGAACCATTGGTAAATAACTGTCATAGTCCTGTCTTACTAAAGGCACTTATTAAAGAGTAAACCTATCAGCAGCAGAACCATTGACAAATGACTGCATAGTCCTGACTTACTAAAGGCTCTTATGAAGGAGTCAATCTATCAGTATCAGAACCATTGGCAAATGACTGCCATAGTCCTGACTTAGTATGGGCACATTAAGGAGTAAATCTAGCAGCAACAGAACCATTGACAAATGACTGCTCTAGTCCTGATTTAGTATAGGCACTTATTAAGGAATAAATATATAAGCAACAGAACCATTTGGCAATGATTGCCATAGTCCTTATCTTAGAAAGGCACTCATCAAAAAGCAAAGCCATTAGCAGCAGAACCATTGGCATATGATTGCCATAGTCCTGACTTAGTATAAGCCCTTATTTGGGGTAAACCTATCAGCAGCAGAAACAATGGCAAATGACTGCCATAGCCCAGACTAAGTAAAGGCACTTATAAAGGAATAAATATATAAGCAACAGAACCATTTGGCATATCTTTGCCATAGTCCTGACTTAGTATAGGCACTTATTGAGGAGTAAATCTATCAGCAGCACAACTATTCGAAAATGACTGCCATAGGCCAGACTTAGTATAGGCACTGATTAAGGAGTAAATCTCTCAGCAGCAGAACCATTGGCAAATGACTGCTGTAGTCCTGAATTTGTATAAGCACTTATTAAGGTGTACAAAAAGCTTCAACTTTGTAAGTGTTTTTTTTCTATGATGTTTAAAATCCTTCATTCTGTGATTTAAAATAAATGTTTGGTTTCTTGAACCCACTTTTTTTGTATATAAGCAAGACATAAATTGAGTTTTCTTCTTTAAAAGATGAAAAATATGTTTGTTAACTATAGAAGTTTTCCTATTGAAGTTAAAACGTTAACACAAGTGTACCTGATTACTAAATGATAATTTTTTTTCCAAACTTCTTATGACACAGAAAGTCAACTTATCAAATTAAATACTTAGAATATTTTCAATACACTGCACTTTATATCAACAAGGGTGCACACGCTGTAATGTCTCGCCTGCTTCACTGACCATTGATTTTATGTTTGTCTTAAAAATTAAGGTTTTACAACAAGTATTACATAAACTTAACATTTTTAAAGATCCATGAAAATGAGGTCAAGGTCAGATGATAATGGCTAGACAGACATGTACATCTTACAATCATTCCATACACCAAATATAGCTGACCTATTGCTTATAGTACTTAAAAAGCAGACCAAAACACAAAAACTTAACATTGAACAATGAACCATGAAAATGAGGTCAAGGTCAGATGAAATCTGTCAGACTGACATGTACCCCTTACAATCATTCCATACACCAAATATAGTTGACCTATTGCTTATAGTACTTAAAAATCAGACCTAAACACAAAAAAACTTAACATTGACCAATGAACCATGAAAATGAGGTCAAGGTCTGATGAAACCTGCCAGACTGACATGGACCCATTCCAATCATTCCATACACCACATATAGTTGACATTCTGCCTATAGTATCTGAGAAACTGACCTAATCACGTAACTTTAACCTTGATCACTGAGCCATGAAATGAGGTCGAGGTCGAGGTCAGGTGAACCCTGTCTGACGTACATGTAGATGTTGCAAGGAACCCATATACCAAATATAGTTATCCTATTACTCATGATAAGAGAGAAATTCACATGACAAAAAAAAACTGTAATTTTTATTCAAGCAGTCGCTTAACCATGACAAGAGTGCACACGCTGTAATGTCTCGCCTTCTTTACTAATCATTGATATTATGTTGATAGTCCTAAATATAAAGCTTTATTACAACTGTCACATAAACTTAACATTAACCAAGTAAACTAAACATTGACCAATGAACCATGAAAATGAGGTCAAGGTCAGATGAACCATGCTAGGCAGGCATGTACAGCTAACAATTCTTCCATACAACAAATATAGTTGACCTATTGCTTATAGTTTAAGAAAAACAGACCAAAACACAAAAACTTAACACTGAGCAATGAACCTTGAAAATGAGGTCAAGGTCAAATAAAACCTGCGTGACTGCCAAATAGATCATAAAATATTTCCATACACCAAATATAGTTGAACTATTGCATATAGTATTAGAAAAAAAGACCAAAACTCAAAAAACTTAACTTTGACCACTGAACCATGAAAATGAGGTCATGGTCAGATGACACCTGCCCGCTAGACATGTACACCTTACAATCATCCATACACCAAATATAGTAGACCTATGGCATACAGTATAAGAAAAACAGACCAAAACACAAAAACTTAACTATAACCACTGAACCATGAAAATGAGGTCAAGGTCAGATGACACCTGTCAGTTGGACATGTACACCTTACAGTCCTTCCATACACCGAATATACAAGACCTATTGCTTATAGTATCTGAGATATGGACTTGACCACCAAAACTTAACCTTGTTCACTGATCCATAAAATGAGGTCGAGGTCAAGTGAAAACTGTCTGACGGGCATGAGGACCTTGCAAGGTACGCACATACCAAATATAGTTGAACTATTGCATATAGTATTAGAAAAAAAGACCAAAACTCAAAAACTTAACTTTGACCACTGAACCATGAAAATGAGGTCAAGGTCAGATGACACCTGCCCGCTAGACATGTACACCTTACAATCATTCCATACACCAAATAAAGTAGACCTATGGCATACAGTATAAGAAAAACAGACCAAAACACAAAAACTTAACTATAACCACTGAACCATGAAAATGAGGTCAAGGTCAGATGACACCTGCCAGTTGGACATGTACACCTTACAGTCCTTCCATACACCGAATATACAAGACCTATTGCTTATAGTATCTGAGGTATGGACTTGACCACCAAAACTTAACCTTGTTCACTGATCCATGAAATGAGGTTGAGGTCAAGTGAAAACTGTCTGACGGGCATGAGGACCTTGCAAGGTACGCACATACCAAATATAGTTATCCTATTACTTATAATAAGAGAGAATCTAACATTACAAAAAATCTGAACTTTTTTTTCAAGTAGTCACTGAACCATGAAAATGAGGTCAAGGACATTGGACATGTGACTGGTGGAAACTTCGTAACATGAGGCATCCATATACAAAGTATGAAGCATACAGACCTTCCACCTTCTAAAATATAAAGCTTTTAAGAAGTTAGCTAACGCCGCCGCCGGATCACTATCCCTATGTTGAGCTTTCTGCGACAAAAGTCGCAGGCTCGACAAAAATTAGGTCAAGGACCATGGACATATAACAGACGGAAACTTCGTAACATAAGGTATCTGCATACAAGGTATGAAGCATCAAGGCTTCTACTTTCTGAAATATAAAGCTTTATACAAATAGTTTACGCTGCCGCCACCGTCGGATAGTAATACCTATGTCTCGCATACTATGACATTTGTCGCAGGAAAAACAAAAACAACCTTTCTCTTCCAATGGACTGAAACTCTCACCACTTGATCATTTTGCAATTATAAAACTATAGCTTGAAAATTATCTTAGTCTAGTATTGGTATTAAGAAAGGGCAAGTCTCATTGTTAAAGCACAGTGTGTATTTGATTTTCTATTTGATAGAGGCAGCAAAAATGTTACCCTGAGAAAAGGTGGAAAAAAGCAGAGTAATAAAAATATCATAGTTTTTTAAAATTTACAGTGTAGTAAAATTCTAAACATGTGTAAATAATCAAACACACACCATACATAACAATTAAATAATTACTACTGAAAACTTACACAAGTCATAAGTTAAGTAATACATCTTGGAAGCTGGAAAGATATAAAAGAAGACACCATTGGCATAAAATGACTGACATCCTCCCTTATCCACCCTGGCTGCCAGGAATACTCCATCAGTACCATTCTCTTTACCAATCTGTACATCTACTGATACAGAAATGTCTGTCCTACAAAACATTCAATGTGTACTGTATTTCATATCCTACATGTATATACAATGATCAACAATATGCATCATAGAATAGTTAAGAGGTCTGTGACAATGAAGTGATAAAAGAGAAAGCTGTCAAAATCAAAATGAAGCTTACTGTCATGGACATTTAAAATATGTTAACAATTAATGAGATTTCATATAATAGCTAGTGTATGAACTATGAAAATGTGACTGGACATATAAGTGGATAAATGTACAGACAGAAAAATAGTATATTATATCATAAATTGTGGATAGGGCTTCTTTAGGCTTAACCTGTAGCTCAATCCAATTCACAAATTATTTTAATCAAAATATTATTTACACTTAACAATAACTGTCATTGAAGAACATACAAAATTGTGCATCAAATCTGAAGTACATATTAAAACAGCTCATACACACATATGTTTGAAACAACCGAGGTTTTCAATGTTATTTTTTTTTACATAAAATCTTATAAACAAAATCTTTATCTTAATAGAAAAAATCTTAAGATACAAATGATCTTTATTCAATCTAAAACCTGTATACAAAAGCTATATAAAAGCTAGGTAAGTACAAATTGTGCCCTATAGGGAGGTTCCTTTTTGAACAAGGTTCAAATTATAAACTTGGTTCAGGAATAGGATATTTTTACAGTGCTCCTGTAGGCAGTGATGTGCTAATTAGTATTTGTAGTTCCTATAAGACAGGGTAGACTCCACATAACTATGAAGTTCTGTCTCCATATTTATATCAATAAAAAAATATATCATGATTTCTTATATTCCTCATCAAATAATATGGTGCATTAAATGGTGGATGGAAGATATACAGTTTGTAACAGTAAATGGAACAAACAAGAATATTATGTCTAGATTAGACAGGTATTCTGTTTTTTTTCTTTATTTTGTTTTGTAAATATTGATAAAAAGTCAGTTTAAAAAAAGTCTTCTCGTTTTCTAATGATCAAATTTCACAGTATAATAAATTGTGCAAGGAAAATTTGATAAAATGTTTAATTGGTATAAGAGTGCTGGGTAAAAGAGAGGTCATAACAGGGTCATACTATCAAAACATACCAGTTAAAGTTCCCAATTAAGTTGATAGGAAACACTAGATTATTAGGGCACCAGTGAATAGGAGAATGTAGAACTACTTGTTGAAGAATGTTTCCATGTTGTGTATCCTCTGACTTTCTCACTTCAAACACACCAACTTGCTGAGCAAAATTATTCGGATGGGAAACTTCTTCATAAGCTGGCAAATAAATTCATCTTTAAAATGACTTTGTTTGGGAAAAATTGGAATGATTATGTTGAATAGCTATCAAAAAGTTTATGTACATGTACATGAGAAATAGAAAGCTATATTGTACTGCACAAGAATTTAGTTTCACTCAAGAATGTTCTATTCCAATAATGTTGCTCAACAAGAAATTTGATCATGCATGAGATTTATACATATATATATATAACTAATACTGTTTAAACAATATTCTACATTAAGGTGCATATAAGTATCTTCTACACAACAAAAGGTTATTACCAAGAAAAGGAATATACCCTTTTATGTCACCAAATTCCTCCCTTATATTCTTAGACCTCCAGACCTTTACTATGTCCAGCCATTCTCCCAGTAATATCACTAATATGCATTCCAGCTTTTATCACGCACCCTATCAAAGATGAGATTTTACCAGAAGTATTTATTAATTCCAAAAAGAATAAGCTTTTTAAAATAATTTGCCCCTTTTTTTTAAATTTATCTCATAAACGTAAAGTCATTGAGAGATGATCAATTATAATGCAGAAGTTTCATGAAACATTAAACTTCACATTGTCTGAAACAATCCATGAACCTTGGACAATTATAATGTTTGAAATCAGTAGGCCCTAAGGCTCACATCTTAGGTAAGCAATTCCATTCCCCATTTTTGTCCTTGGCAACTAGGAATTTATTCAATGTACTATCAGAAAACCTGGAACAAAAAAAAATTTTATAAAAGGGGTTAAATAGAAAAGTGTAAGATTTTTTTTAAGGTTAAATTGAACTAGAGGCTCTAAAAAGCATGACAATGGACACTCCAACATTGTAGACTAGAAAAGAATTCATGACTAAAATCTCTTTCGCTTATCTTTTTTCTGCTTTCAGTTTCTCTCTATGTTCTTTATTAGTTATGGCAAAAAACACAAAAAAAGGGTAAACATATCACCATTTAATGGAAATCACTCCTATAAAGAGTCTACAAATGATTTCGGCAAAATTTCCTACCTACTAAGTTTATGGTATGACAATCTTAGATGTTCCTATCTACTTAGTTTATGGTATGACAATCTTAGATATTCCTATCTACTTAGTATATGGTATGACAATCTTAGATGTTCCTATCTACTTTGTTTATGATATGACAATCTTAGATGTTCCGACCTACTAAGTCTATTAGGCTGAAGGTTAGGCATTTCTCAAGAAATAACTGAAACAAGGAAGTCAATTTGGATGCCAAGGGTACTTCAGTAGTTTATAATCAATTAAAAATTAAAGAATTCCTTATGACCAATCAAAGCTTCTAAATACAGTTTTGTTATTCATGCTATTTCATCTATTATATTAACAAGCAAATAGAGTGATTTCACCATACCAGCCAAAATCTCCAATGACATTCAGAGTATGGTTAAAATGGTCAGCTTTACACCACCATACTGGGATCTCTAGGACCATCTGTCTTAAAATTTGTCCATGGTCTCCATTAGATTTTTGGACCTCAAATGCACCCAGTTGTTGTGACAAATATTTAGGCTGAGATGAAACTGTGTATGCTAAACAGATGAAACAGTGATAAATTACTTAACAACCAAATAAAATGGGTACAGGGGTACTTTTATTAGTAGTTTAAAATAATCAACTTTAATGAGGCAAAGTCAAAACTAAAGAATTGCTCCTATCAAATAATGCTTATAAATACTTTTTTGTTATTCATGCAACTATTGCAACAAGCCAATATATTGTTCTGATCTACCGTACCAGCTAAAATCTCCAATGACATTTATAGTATGGTTATAATAGTCTGCTTTACATGTCCATACTGGGGTTTCTAGGACCATCTGTCTTAAAATTTTCCCATGGTCTCCATTAGATCTTTGGACCTCAAATGCACCCAGTTGTTGTGACAAATATTTAGGCTGAGATGAAACTGTGTATGCTAAACAGATGAAACAGTGGTAATATACCATTAAAGCATCCAGTTAAACGACAGTTTATATATTTGATAGAGGAAAACAAGTCACATGTTTACTTTGTAATCATAAAAAGAAGCAAAAACTTATTATAGTATCAACACTATAAATGCTGGCATGCCATTATCTGGGAGCAGTACGGTCTTTAGGTGTGTATAGTACGCATTTTTTATCCCCAAAAGTAGTTGGTAGAGGGTGTGCATATGATGCACAACTATAAGTGGTTTTTGATTTTTTTGATTTTTTTTTTTGATTTTTAGCGTTTTTATTCTTCATTATTGTATATGTTCAAGACGTTTTTTATTTTATTTCTTTATTTGTAATTTAAAAAAAAAAGGGTTTTTTTTTTTCTTCTTTATTGAATACACTTGTACGGTGTGACATCCTGCATGAGTGAGCATAAAATGTAATTAAGGACTAAGTATGGGTGTGTAGCAATTGAATAATCATGTCAACTTTTGACAGGTGTTCAATATAATAACCTCATGCAGTGCTCTAAATCAACATGATCAATGAAAAGGAAATATTGGATTAAAGAGTCATTAAATTTTAATTACTGCTAATCAACTTTGAAAATGTTTGAGGTCTATTTTCTTTTATTCCATAACATTCTAATTATTTCTTTTATAATATTTGAACAGTGCATCAGCTTGAACAAGCTTAGACAAACATTGATTTCAAAGGGGATCTTTGATTAATAACTTTACTTTTATAAAATTAATAAATGTTAATTAAATGATAAAAGCTCTACCATTTAATTGTTTGTGACTTTCAAATATTTGATTGAACAATCAATCTTATTATTTTTATCTTTCAATAAACTTAAATGAAGATTACATACATGGTTTGATTGTTCCCTATTAAGGATGTTCGCTACTCTGTTTCAAAATAACAAGCTTTTTAAAAGACTGTTATAAATTGATAGTATTTAAATAAAGGAACTAAAAAATCAGAAAAAAATGAAGGGTCCGTGTGCTTGTTTTTCGAGATATAAGCCATTGAAAATTTGGCAGGAAATAACTCTCTCTAGACTTTTCATACATCTAACATTGGCACCCTTTTTCTTAAAAAAAATTATGAAAAAATAACAAGGATTCTATAGCATTTTCAAATATGGCTATTAAAACTATATGTAATAAAATTATGAAAAGAAAATAGATGTTAGCGGGCAAAATTTTTATTGGCACTAACATAGATAAAACTAGAGGATTCTGAATATTTGACAAAAAGTCAAAAACAAGAGTAGCGAACATCCTTAAAAGCTTTTTTAAGTGAACTAGACTTTAAAAAAGAAATATTTTATTTACTGTTTTTTTTTTTAATTTTAATTTTCTTTTTAACTTTCTCAATTTTTCTTTTTGACTTTTTGACTTTTTTAAAAACTTTTTTCCCACTATTTTGGAGGGATGAAAAGGAGTGCATATCATACACAACTGGGTACTATACAGGGCTAAATACGGTATTCTGCATTTCAGTGAAACACAGAAAGGTTTAGCTTCATTTGACTTTACCATACTAAATGATAAGAAAACAATAAAATGTCTGAATTATAGGATACAATTCAATTAAGACCACAGCAATTTTAATTGTATGTTTTTCGCTTCAATAAGTATTTAAACAAGAGACTTAAGTAAAAACTTATTTTTATTTCTAACACAAACATTTTTTTTTTAAAAATATGAATCCTTTATTATATTTTGAATGAATTAAAACCATTGTACTTCCCATCTTTTTTTCTATCTGTCCAAGATTCAAATAACTGAAAAAGTTGGTGTGGCCTTAATTAAAGTACATAATCAATTGCAACTACCAATAACAATATGCAACAAAAAAAAAACCTGAACACCAATCACATGCTCTTGGCATTACAATCTTTAATAAATTTTTAAAGAAACAAATTCAAGTGCAGCACATAATGTAAATCAATAATGGAAATTTTCATCATGTGAAATAGAATGTTTTAAATGTACCATTACTACTAAAGATAATTTTGACTTAAAATTGTATTTTAATAACTAATTGAATTATAAAATTATTAAAGATGTCAATCTTTAAGAAGCATCTGCTATACCACGGATTTATTTTTTTCCGTGGGTACCAATTTTTGTGGATTGAGAAAAAAATGTATTTTTGTGGATATTTGATAAAATAAAATTCTGAGAATTCCATTTATGCTTTTGGCGCATTAAGGTCATTTCAAAACTAGACGTCATACGAATGAAAATGCTAAAGCTGAAGGTTTTTCCATTACATGATTCCTCCAAATTCTGATAATATTGCACTAAAATGGAGTTTTGAGGTAGGTGTTGTTTTATTTTCTATTCTATTGCATTATTCGCACATTTACTGATTTAAGCAAGTCAACATGGTGGCTCCTTAGATATGAAATGTCAACTGTGGATTTGAAGGTAGCCTACGAGAAAAAAAATGTAACTTAAACATGGCAAATGCTGTAGTTGACAATTAAAAGAATTAAGCACATTTTTTCTAGTGGTTATTTAAGAAATAATTCATGCAAGCTATAGATTTATTGGAAATTTTTAGAATTTATCTACAGGGGATAAAATAGAACAGCCACACACACAGCATACCCACCCTTGGCTGTGATATTCAAATTTTATCCTTAGCTGAATTATTTCTTAATTCAAATTCATGGTTCCCCTTTACCCACGAAATCCATGATAATTGGTGTCCCACGAATAATAATGAATCCACAGTACCATATTTCACTTTAAATTAAGTAACATAATTTATTTAGAAAATAACAAGTGATACAGTAATACTACCTTCAAAATCTTCTTTATAAGGCACAGGGAATGGTTTACTGGGTGGTGGATTAGGGTAACTTCCTTTCTGACCAACTTTTTTTGTTGTTATGGTAACCACTTGATCTACATCTAATCTCAGATGTATCAATCTATTTGGTACCTAAAATTCAATTATATCATGTCATAAATATGTATAAAGAAATTTAATGGAATCAAATTAATGGTATTGATTACTTTTAAGCTGATACTAATATGGGAAGGTAGGCCGCAGTAACACTGAATGATGTATGGGTGACAAAGGTTCAAGAGTACTTTTCAAAAAGCAGATTTCTTATGAAATTTCACAGTTGATGGTTGTGAGAAAAAAAAGTTTATTCCATTTCTCCCATGTATTTTTTAAGTATAGCCCGATAATTTTGCTCTGCTTTTTAGTTAAGTAATACACCTTATCACTATTTAGTCCAATCCGGAAAAGCAGTCACTTATACAACTTCCTGTTTGGGTCAAGTGTTGCAAAAACAAAGGTCATCAGTTACAAGCTAAGGAAGGAAAAAAGTTTAGAAAGCAAACATTTTGAAACTTTGATAGATTATGATCCACTTTTTTAAAACACAAAATAAAGTAATAAAAATGCTTTGTTTGAAGTGTTTACGATGATTTAGACATTTCTCTTTGAAAAGTTTCATGCATAATACATTGTTTAAACAGGGCCCCAGATAGCTTCAACTGGATGAAAAAGTTGTGTAATTTTAGAACTTATCCAGATTTGAATAAATAGTGATAAGGTGTATTAATCTAGGTTGTTTTCTACAAATCTATACAATGTTTAAATCAAAAATAGTTATTAGAACTACAGGAACAATAATATGTAACATAATGCCAGGTTAAAACAGGGTGGTAGTGGTTTGATTCCTTTTTAATTATCTCCCTTTTTTTCCAGATTTAGATTTTTAATACACTCTCCTTTTAAGGTTTTAACAAAATAAGCACAACATTTAGCTAGTTTGCTTTCTTTTTTCCTCATTGTATTAATTTTAATAGTATATCAACATTGAATTCTCTTACTCAGTTATTACACAATTATGTTCTATATTACTAACCTTGATATCAACCTTTTGCATAAATGTATCATTCTTCCCATCAAATTTCAACTGGCTATACCATGCTGTCACTTCTGTTTTTTTAGCCTGAAATAAAGAATTTTGTATATGAGATACTTCAGGATAAAATCATCTCATTAGCATCAGGATAATAAATTATTTTGTGGTGGTACTGAATTCAAATTGCAATAAAAGCAAAGTCAAAACTGATAACTGTCGTACATCGTGCCCTTTATAAGAAGGAAATCACAATGTTTAGACAGTTTTGTTCTGTAGTTTTTAGCTGTTGAAAAAGGGAAAGGGTACGATAAGGTCACTTTTTTGGCCCCTTTGATTTGAAAAACCAAAAATTATTATCTTTATAAATCTAACATATAATATCTTTACATTATTTGTCAGATATCAGTTTTCATAACTTTCAATTTTGTCTTAGATACCGTTATTTGCTTTAGGGGTATCAAACTTCTTGAAATAAGATAAAATCTACAAAAAAGCCTGATTTTGAGATATCTTTTTTAATTTTGTCTTTCATAATTAGATAAGACCTGCAGCCTTACCCTAACAGATTCTTAACTTCAAAATGTTTTGTATTATATTTGTAACAGATGTAACTTTCCTACATGTAATATTTCCTATTTTCAATACAAAAATGTCACCAAGATATTTCCTTTTTCCAATTCTTACAAAGTTGCTACCAGGGTAATATTTTCTACTTTCAATACTTATAAATTGCCACCAAGGTAATATCTCCTATTTTAAATACTTACAAAACTACCACAAACTTAAGGTAATGTCTCCTATTTTCAATAGTTACAAAACTGCCACCAAGGTAATGTTTCCTATGTTCAATTCTTACAAAGCTGCATTATTACCTATCTTATATACTTACAAAGCTGCCACCAAGCTTTATGGTGATGTTCTGTTGAGCCACTGTATAAGCAGGAAGTGGTGGCCTGATACAAATGGAATGGTCATGACTCTGAAAAATTAATTGTTCAGGGTATTAAAATCAGTTTTCTGTTGTATGATTTTATTTCAAGAATAAATGTTTAATTCTGTCAAATACCAATTGAAATGAATTTCAGAATTTTTCAGAATTAAGCCTGCTTTTCTAAAATCTACCTTGATGCTATGAAACTGAGATTAATATGGATAAAAGACTTAAATGCTGCTTTACGTATAATGTTTCTTAAACAATGGAGAATGGTCTACATAAAAATTTAATCAAATGGTAATATGAAATGTAAAAAACAGAAAAAATCTTCAATAAGCCTCTATAAGTTTGAAATTTTTTTTTGAACTTGCAAATATTTAGGTTGAAAACAAAAATTGGTTTAGTCTATTGAAAACTTTGCAAAAAAATTACTACATTCCAAAAAAATGGGGGAAAAAATCCTAAAACAATTCCTTTATACTAGGTGGTGAACTACTTCATCATATGTGCAATCTTTCCGTGAAGTTTTTATAAATTTTGCTGAAAAATGAATAAGTTCACAAGTCTGGAAATTTGGGGAAAAAAAACATCAAATAATTCTATTATAACAAGTGCACAACTTCAACTTCTGCACAATTACTCTGTTAAGTTTCGGGGATCTGGAATAAAAACTGTAGGAGGAGTTGATTACACAAAAAAGATACTCACACTTCCCTGTCGGGCCGACATCACCTTACTATAAGACAACTTTGGACTTTATCAATGGAAAGCTCAAGTAATGTAAACAGCAATTTTTAAAACTAGGTCATGAATTTTTACCTTAATTATAGGATTATTACAGTAAACACTGAAGTGTCTTTTTCCTTGCTACTTTTCAAGCAACCGAATACTTCAATGTTTTTGAGTAAATGTTTAATGAATATCTGTCATAAGGACTAACAAGAAAGACATAATTACATTTTAATTTAAAAATATTTCTGCAATGTGTTTAATACTTACCATGGTTTCTATGACAATTGTAAGATCTTTGCCATCAGGACTGACCAAGGAGACATAACTCCCTCCATATTTCAGTTTACCAACACCACTACCATGTGACAGGTATTTCCATCCAGGCAATGTAAACTGTGTTGTATGTGCTATATTAAATATAGTATAAGACATACCGTAGATACATTTTGGTTTTCATGGAGAGGAAAGGTGGGGGAGAAATCTCTTGGTTTCGTCTCTTAAATTCAGTTTATTATTTTAATTTTCATTATATCCAGTTTTTGTTAGGGATTAATTTCCAGGTTGATGTATATACAGAATTTTCACCAATTTATTTCACTGACGTTAATCCACTATGTTTACATAAAAAAATTAATGTGTACCTGGTAGTCTTATTTTTGTGGATTTAGAAAAGATTTATTTTAGCAGATACCGTATTTTCCGGATTAAAAAGCGCACCCCTAAATAAGGCGCACGGCCGTTTTTGGGGGTGAGGATTGTTTTTTTCCTTACATAAAACGCACCTGCATATAAAGCGCACCCTGAAGAAAACGTACATGCATTCTACTGACCTTAGCGTAATGAATGTTCACTCCTTCTTGTAACTCACTCCGTAACATGTTTCATTTTTATTTTCAGATTGTTGAGAAAGTTGAAAGACATTTTGTATATATTTATTTGTTTCATATTAAAATAAATAAATTTTAATAAAATTATTATAATTTTCTTATTGTTTTAATCATGCCAGATTCATTAGTTGTTTTTTGTCAACGATGGCCATGTGTTGACAGCTTGGGTGTCCATTGAACCTTGTTGTTTTGATTAAAATTAGTTCGGTGTTGATTGCTCATTTATTGTTTGAATTCGAATCAAGGATTTTAATTAATCTTGAAAAGGTATTCATTAAAAGTTACCCAAGCCATAAAACTGCCATTGTTTACCTTGATTATGACCTACTTAATTACCTGTACCCACGTGTGAAAACTGTTCACCCATAAGTCAGGAAAAAAATTATTAAATTAAATCTAAAGAATTTTATTGTTGTTTATAAAATAAAAGTTTAAGTTTTATAAGTAACAAACATTTTTCAAATTTACAACAAAACCATTCAGTTTCTGCAAGTCATTGTCTATTTTTAACTGAAAGTGAGATGGGCCACGGAAAGGGGAATTCAAATAAGACGGCGATATATAAATGTCTTAGCATATTGAATTATGAAAATTAATATTCATTTTTTTTATTTCTTACACCAATATGTGGCTACAATATTTCATAAAGATATTTCATTTTGAAACAATAAAACAACAAGCAGTTACTCCTCAATAGTATATCCTGTATGGTACCTCTTTTCAAACACGCTGATCTTTCTTTGTTTATGAAACACTTTAAAGGGTTCATTTCAGCACATGGTTATCACCATCGTCATTAAAAGAGACTTGAAATATTGGAAAGAAACACAATCACTTCCTTTATTATTTCTAAAGAAGATTTTATTTAAAAACACATTACAACAACAAATAATTACATATTTATTGTAAATACACAATTAATATCCTGTATGGTACCTCTTTCAAACACGGTTATCTTTCTTTGTTTATGTAATAAACACATGGTTATCAACTTCGTAAGGCAACAATGAAATAAAGAACAAATGATAAAGTATATATATTTTTATTCATAACAAAATATGCCACATGAACAATTTATCAAGTCACTGCAAGCACTTGACAATCTGACAGTCTCCATAAAAAAAAATCCAGATATATATTTTTTTTCACGCTTGCCCTGAAACTGAAAAAAATACATACATAAAGCGCACCTGAGTATAACACGCAGGGACAATGACAGAGAAAAAAACCTGCGGCTTATTTAACGAATTTAACGGTACTTGAATAAGTTGACAAATACTGCATATGGAGTGTACATTTTCAGTTAATATACCTGACATCCATATTGGACTGTTGACTACATAGCTTCCACTCCATGGTGAATTTGCTGTCATCAGACCATTACGGGCAAAAGGAAGGGCATCATAGTAACTGGCAATTAAATTCCACGATATAGTTCTGCAAAGGAAACATTGCAATTATATTACTATCTATTTCATATTAAACCACTTTTTTTCAATAAAAATATTGTTGGGTCATTTTTGGTCAGATATTTAATCCTCCTGGTACCACTAGATAAAGAATTAGTGTTCGTTTTATTTGAGTTTTTTTTGTTATAATTTTGTTGTGAAGTGTTTTCATTTTTCTGAGATGTAAACACATGTATAATGTTTGGTTCAGAAATTCATGGATCAAATATTAGTTTTGGAAAAATTACCTTATTCAGGCTTGTACAGTCCGCGGTTTTATTCTGCAAAATTAAACCTGCCAGACAGGGGTGCTGATTAGAGAGTACGATAAGCAAGAAATAAGAGAAAAACTCGATTTCTCGAGGTTTGTTTATGTTCCACCATGTTTGTCATTGAAATTGTAGAGGGCGCTCTTATCATTTTCAAAATTAATATTTTACCTTATCCATTTGAATGAGCAATTTTAATTCAAATCCATTATGAAGTGATTAATTTTAAAATTAAAATGCTTCATTACAAATTTCTCGTTTCTTTTCACAGCATTGCATAACATAAACTGGAAACCATTTGTATTTAATGGAATGAAAAAAGTGTACAAGTTAGCTGGAAACCAGTTTATGCATAACGATGTATAAACTATAAAACATAATCTGTTATTCGTTCTGTTTTGGTGATTCATACTGACGCATGTGTTTTGTTTTAGCTTCAGATCCTTCAAACATTAATATGATGGATATGTTTAACAGCATTTTAGTAAAGGATGGAGCTGTTTTACTTTAAAAGACGTATTCTTGTGGTATTAATTGAGTATGGATTTTCTGCAAACTCTCACCGTATTTATTTTCATTTACACATGCTATTCGAAACTTCCGGTTTAAACATACACAAGTTTCTCATTTGTTTTTTTTTGGTGATTTTGACTTATTTTAACACTTGTGAAGGATTCTAGAATCATTTTCAAGCATTTTCTACTTTTATTTGATGATAGAAAACCGGTTTTTCCATGAAAATACCACAAACGATCACACACGATTTGAAATTACCGGAGTTTCATTAGACGTTTTCGAACATTTACAAAATGGTTTTTTACCTGATTTCTCGTGGCGAGAATGGAGGTGCAGACAGTGTGCCAGTGCGAACTATACAAGACCAATTACAGTACCTACCCTGTGAATCTTCCATTTACATAATTCTGATTCAGGAGCTGAAAATATAACATATGTATTAATTGAAGATTAATGCCTACAAATGCAATAATGTTAATACAACAAATTATTAAACTTTCATCATAACAAATAGATGTTCTTTTATTTCTGTTTTTTGTTTCTCAAATAGTATTTCAGCAGTTCCCTTACACGACCTATTATGCATTAGGATTCAGTAAAATACAAATTGTATTTGAGAGTATTTGTCATTCCTCTTGTATAGAACAATAAAATTTATAATATTTCAGCAAAACAAAAAACTAGAGGCTCTAAAGAGCCTGTGTCGCTCACCTTGGTCTATGTGCATATTAAACAATGGACACAGATGGATTCATGACAAAATTGTGTTTTGGTGATGGTGATGTGTTTGTAGATCTTACTTTACTGAACATTCTTGCTCCTTACTATTATCTCTATCTATAATGAACTTGGCCCAGTAGTTACAGTGGAAAATATTTTGTAAAAATTTACAAAAATTTACAAAATTTATGAAAATTGTAAAAAATTGACTATAAAGGGCAATAACTCCTTAAGGGGTCAATTGACAATTTTGGTCATGTTGACTTATTTGTAGATCTAACTTTGATGTACATTATTGCTCTTTACAGTTTATCTCTATCTATAATAATATTCAAGATAATAACCAAAAGCTGCAAAATTTTCTTAAAATTACCAATTCAGGAGCAGCAACCCAACAACATGTTGCCTGATTGGTCTGAAAATTTCAGGGCAGATAGATCTTGACCTAATGAACATTTTTATTCTCATCAGATTTGCTCTAAATGCTTTGGTTTCAGAGATATGAGCCAAAAACTGCATTTTACCCTATGTATTATTTTTTTGCCATGTCAGCCATCTTGGTTTGCGGGCAGGGTCATCGGACACATTTTTTAAACTAGATTCCCTAATGATGATTGTGGACAAGTTTGGTTAAATTTGTCTTAGTAGTTTCAGAGGAGAAGATTTTTGTAAAAGATTACAAAAATTTACGAAAAATGGTTAAAAATTGACTATAAAGGGCAATAACTCCTTAAAGGGTCAACTGACCATTTTGGTCAAGTTGACTTATTTGTAGATCATACTTTGCTGAACATTATTGCTGTTTACAGTTTATCTCTATCTATAATAATATTCAAGATAATAACCAAAAACGTCAAAATTTCCTTAAAATTACCAATTCAGGGGCAGCAACCCAACAACGGGTTGTCCGATTCATCTGAAAATTTCAGGGCAGATAGATCTTGACCTGATAAACAATTTCACCCCATGTCAGATTTGCTCTAAATGCTTTGGTTTCAGAGATATAAGCCAAAATCTACATTTTACCCCTATGTTCTATTTTTAGCCATGGCGGCCATCTTGGTTGGTTGGCGGGGTCATCGGACACATTTTTTAAACAAGATACCCCAATGATAATTGTGGCCAAGTTTGGTCAAATTTGGCCCAGTAGTTTCAGAGAAGAAGATTTTTGTAAAAGTTTACGGACGACGGACGACGGACGCAAAGTGATGAGAAAAGCTCACTTGACCTTTCAGGTCAGGTGAGCTAAAAACCTGAGTAAGTTTTGCATAGGTTCTTTTTTTATAAAAGTAAAGAAAAGCAATTTTGTGTACATTTTTATAATAATTAAGTTGTGCAACTGCTACGTTAATGTTTCATATATGGAATATTGGAACTTTCCATAAAATATGCTTTGGAAGCATCATGTCCAATAGTCCCCCATCTCATGAAAAAAATCAAAGCGCGAAAGCGCTGTAAAGGCAGTTAATTACAGGTTGTGTGTATTTTTAGTCCAGTTATATCATTATCTTGCATAGTACATTGTACTTATCAGAGGTGGCTTTCAGTATTTAAGATTTAGAGTTCTCTTATGATATTGAACAAGTTTTATGAATGTCATATTCTGAGCACTATATGAAGGCGATTGTTCTCACTTGTTTATGAACTAGTGCATTATGTCCAGTTTGTACCTTTTTTATCTATGTTTATAGTCAAATACTGTTTAAAATAGTTTGGCATTTTCTTTTTAGTAATAAGTAAATGTTATCAACTGTATTTTATTCAACTTTGCAAATGTGGTTTGTGACTGGTAAGTACAATGTATGGATGATAGTTGTTTCATTGGAAATCATAACACATCTCCTTATTTATATAATGATCTATATTCAACGACCTCAGGTACAAAAACTAGAGGCTCTAAAGAGCCTGTGTCGCTCACCTTGGTCTATGTGAATATTAAACAAAGGACGCAGATGGATTCATGACAAAATTGTGTTTTGGTGATGGTGATGTGTTTGTACATCTTAATTTACTGAACATTTTTCCTGCTTACAATTATCTCTATCTATAATTAACTTGGCCCAGTAGTTTCAGAGGAGAAGATTTTTGTAAAAGATTACTAAGATTTACGAAAAAATGGTTAAAATTGACTATAAAGGGCAATAACTCCTAAAGGGGTCAACTGACAATTTCGGTCATGTTGACTTATTTGTAAATCTTACTTTGCTGAACATTATTGCTGTTTACAGTTTATCTCTATCTATAATAATATTCAAGATAATAACCAAAAACAGCAAAATTTCCTTAAAATTACCAATTCAGGGGCAGCAACCCAATAACGGGTTGTCCGATTCATCTGAAAATTTCAGGGCAGATAGATCTTGACCTGATGAACAATTTTACCCCAAGTCAGATTTGCTTTAAATGCTTTGGTTTTTGAGTTAAAAGCCAAAAACTGAATTTTACCCCTATGTTCTATTTTTAGCCGTGGCGGCCATCTTGGTTGGTTGACCAGGTCACGCCACACATTTTTAAAACTAAATAACCAAATGATGATTGTTGCCAAGTTTGGTTTAATTTGGCCCAGTAGTTTCAGAGGAGAAGATTTTTGTAAAAGATTACTAAGATTTACGAAAAATTGTTAAAAATTGACTATAAAGGGCAATAACTCCTAAAGGGGTCAACTGACCATTTCAGTCATGTTGACTTATTTGTTAATCTTACTTTGCTGAACATTATTGCTGTTTACAGTTTATCTCTATCTATAATAATATTCAAGATAATAACCAAAAACAGCAAAATTTCCTTAAAATTACCAATTCAGGGGCAGCAACCCAACAACAGGTTGTTCGATTCATCTGAAAATTTTAGGGCAGATAGATCTTGACCTGATAAACAATTTTACTTCATGTCAGATTTGCTCTAAATGCTTTGGTTTTTGAGTTATAAGCCAAAAACTGCATTTTACCCCTATGTTTTATTTTTAGCTGTGGCGGCCATCTTGGTTGGTTGGCCGGGTCACGCCACACATTTTTTAAACTAGATACCCCAATGATGATTGTGGCCAAGTTTGGTTTAATTTGGCCCAGTTGTTTCAGAGGAGAAGATTTTTGTAAAAGATTACTAAGATTTACGAAAAATGGTTAAAAATTGACTATAAAGGGCAATTTCTCCTAAAGGGGTCAACTGACCATTTCGGTTATATTGACTTATTTGTAAATCTTACTTTGCTGAACATTATTGCTGTTTACAGTTTATCTCTATCTATAATAATATTCAAGATAATAACCAAAAACAGCAAAATTTCCTTAAAATTACCAATTCAGGGGCAGCAACCCAATAACGGGTTGTCCGATTCATCTGAAAATTTCAGGGCAGATAGATCTTGACCTGATGAACAATTTTACCCCAAGTCAGATTTGCTTTAAATGCTTTGGTTTTTGAGTTAAAAGCCAAAAACTGAATTTTACCCCTATGTTCTATTTTTAGCCGTGGCGGCCATCTTGGTTGGTTGACAGGGTCACGCCACACATTTTTAAAACTAGATACCCCAATGATGATTGTGGCCAAGTTTGGTTAAATTTGGCCCAGTAGTTTCAGAGGAGAAGATTTTTGTAAAAGTTTACGGACGACGGACGACGGACGCAGGACGACGGACGACGGACGCAAAGTGATGAGAAAAGCTCACTTGACCTTTCAGGTCAGGTGAGCTAAAAATGTATGTAACTAAACTATGATGGGAAACCTTTGACTTCTTTCTTTTATATAAACTTTTGATTTGGTACCATAGAACTATGTAGAATAAATGTACATTGCAACATGTCAACTCTTTCAATGACAATACTTTTTTTAGAAACTATAACTCCAAGCAAAATTATATTTCCAAGTATAAAGTAATTTATGAATGAAACAAGAGTGCACATGCTGAAATGTCTCGCCTTCTTTACTTATCATTGATATTATGTTGATAGTCCTAAATATAAAGCTTTATTACAACTGTCACATAAACTTAACATTAACCAAGTAAACTAAGCATTGACCAATAAACCAAGAAAACGAGGTCAAGGTCAGATGAACCATGCTAGGCAGGCATGTACAGCTAACAATTCTTCCATACAACAAATATAGTTGACCTATTGCTTATAGTTTAAGAAAAACAGACCAAAACACAAAAACTTAAAACTGAGCAACTGACCTTGAAAATGAGGTCAAGGTAAAAAAAAAAAACCTGTGTGACTGACAAATAGATCATAAAATATTTCCATATACCAAATACAGTTGAACTATTGCATATAGTATTAGAAAAAAAGACCAGAACTCAAAAACTTAACTTTGACCACTGAACCATGAAAATGAGGTCAAGGTCAGATGACACCTGCCAGCTAGACATGTACACCTTACAATCATTCCATACACCAAATATAGTAGACCTATTGCATACAGTATAAGAAAAACAGACCAAAACACAAAAACTTAACTATAACCACTGAACCATGAAAATGAGGTCAAGGTCAGATGACACCTGCCAGTTGGACATGTACACCTTACAGTCCTTCCATACACCGATATTACTAGACCTATTGCTTATAGTATCTGAGATATGGACTTGACCACCAAAACTTAACCTTGTTCACTGATCCATGAAATGAGGTCGAGGTCAAGTGAAAACTGTCTGACGGGCATGAGGACCTTGCAAGATACGCACATACCAAATATAGTTATCCTATTACTTATAATAAGAGAGAATTTAACATTACAAAAAATATTAACTTTTTTTTCAAGTAGTCACTGAACCATGAAAATGAGGTCAAGGACATTGGACATGTGACTGACGGAAACTTCGTAACATGAGGACCCATATACAAAGTATGAAGCATCCAGACCTTCCACCTTCTAAAATATAAAGCTTTTAAGAAGTTAGCCAAATCCGCCGCCGGATCACTATCCCTATAGAGCTTTCTGCGACAAAAGTCGCAGGCTCGACATAAAGGAGTTCTTAATTAAGAAATAAACTGATTCGCCTAATGCAGCTGGATACGACCGCAGAGGTCCAACCCTGAACAGTTGGGGCAAAAATGGACACAATATTCAAGCTTGATACAGGTCTGAATTTGGATTGTAATTAAATATTTGACATATTATAGTTTCTGAATAAATGTAGTCACAGAACTTGAAATCGATTATATGAATTGAATTTATATTCAATTAAAGATTTCTTGCTGTTGTGCAATACACTGTGCTGTTGCACAATACTTAATAAATCTGTTGCCAGACTATAAACAAATAAAGTTCAATTTCTTCTCAATGTCATATTTGAAATTTATGAAAATCAATAGGGAGATTACATCAACAGCTATAAATAATTCACCAAAGTTTCATGCGAACTGCTTAAAGCATTTTTGAGTTGTTGTCCAAAAACTGGAAAATCCCCGCTTTTTTAATGAATAAAACCCCATAACTCAGAAATGTGAAATCTAAAATTTATAAAATTCTAAAGGGAGCTTACGGATTGATAATTTAGTCTTAGATGCAAGATTTTTTTATCAGTTGTTAGTGGCTTTGAACTAGCTGTCAGTAAATGCGAGTGCTCTCAGATCTGTACTAAGTGTCTTTTTGTTGTTTGGATGTACAACTACCCGGCCTCGTCCACTTGTATTTGTATTTATCCATCTGATGAGTTAAGCCTCTTTCAACTGATTTTTATAGTTCATTCTTATATTGTACTGTTACACCACTGTCCCAGGTTAGGGGGTGGGTTGGGATCCCGCTAACATGTTTAACCCCGCCACATTCTGTATGTACATGTATGTGCCTGTCCCAAGTCAGGAGCCTGTAATTCAGTGGTTGTTGTTTGTTTATGTGTTGCATATTAGTTATTCGTTCATTTTTTGTACATAAATGAGGCAGTTAGTTTTCTTGTTTGAATTGTTTTACATTGTCATTTCAGTGCCTTTTATAGCTCACTGTGCAGTATGTGCTTTGCTCATTGGTGAAGGCCGTACTGTGACCTATAGCTGTTAATTTCTGTGTCATTTGGTCTCTTGTGGAGAGTTGTCTCATTGGCAATCATACCACATCTTCTTTTTTATATTTACATCAACAGATATAAACAATTCACCAAAGTCAAGGTGAGACAACAAAACTTAGTTGTAAGATCTCTGAAATTTTTTACACGGTACAAGTTTTTCTAATTGTTGGAGATTGCACGGTGACAGTAACACCTGTAACTGCTTTACCCATTTCTTATGCACTTTGGTTCGATAAACTCACTGAATATCATACCACATCTCCTTATTTTTATATGCATTACAATTTACATGTGCATGTAATTGTAAATAATATTTATATATATATATCAGAACAAACTTCATTGCGTCACTTTTATGCATCCTTTGGCACAATACAAGTTCTAAAATTACACAACATAAAACAACTAAATGTTATTTCAGATGAAAGTTTTATTTCAGTTCCATTCATAGGATATATTAGAATTTTGTATGTTTTGCCAAGTCCATTAATTAGCTCTATGTGCACGTGTTAATTGGAGACTTTTCTATCCCGTATAAGAGTTTTGGAACTAATTCTGTTTCTTTTTTTGAAAAAAGTGAGCAAACAAATCATGCACATTTAAACCTTTGTCTGCCATCACACTGTCACCTGGATCACATAATTGAACTATTCTACATCTTTCAACTATTTCACAGTCACTGGTACAACCAACATATGCATTAGAGACATAGTTGACTAAACCACCAGGAGTCGAACATACAAGTATTTTCAGTGTTTCTGTTTTTATATGATGAAAAGGTTGCCTGAGCTCTAGGAGCTTTAGGTTTTATCACGGGATATTCTGTGCTGTCAATAATAATCCAAGTTGTAGGAAACTTTAATTTGAAGTTGGATGGCGAAAAATACCTGACTAAACCACTAAATGGCCAAGTGTTAGCCTTGCGCCACTGTTTAGACATAAAAACAATCCATGTTTACACAATATTCTTAACACTAGTTTCAATCTAGAATCTAGACAGTTCAAAGTTGGTTGTATAATGCCTCAATTTCATCAAAGTCATAAAAAAACTGATTTTCAAATGACACCCTATCAATTTGAAAATATATGTATCTCAAACAATGTGCTGCTGGACCAAGTGTGATCAAAACAAATAAAAATATAGTATACAAGTTACAACTCTAAACCGGTTTATAAATGCATGGCTGTGCCACGTGTCTTCATTTCAAAATTCTCTGCTGAAAATATAGGCATTGATGGTGTTTGCGTAATTCCATCTGTGATGCTCAACATTAGCTCGGCAGTTGGTGGTGGACAGTCATAAATCATGTCTACAGTATGAATGACTTCTTCAGGAAAACCAACTTTACAATCAAAACTTTCCTGTAGATTTCTACTACAATATTCATCAAGTTTAGTTCTTTTGTTTTCACAGGAAACTGCCCTGATTTTTCTTTTTGCGGACGATTCAGTCTCTTGCTTGGTCCAGAAAAATAGGCTGGGAATGGCAGTAGACTTAAGTCTCTGTATGGTGGGTTTGCACCCTGAAAAAGGTTATAAAACATTAGTTTTTTGATAATTAAATGAACTTTCATTAGCAATGCATACTTTATACTACCTGGCAAAATATTAACTAGATTTATTCATTACAATCTGGATAAAAATATGTTAGCCTGATTCAATGTACATCAAAATGTATGTTATGTAAATCCAAAGGACAAACCATGAGAGACGTATGCAACAAACATACATTGTTTGTACCTAAATAACTATAATATAGATGAGAGCATGTCATTGTTTTGTTCCTGTTAACATTGTCATTGACATTTTTCAAGAAAGTCTATGAGGCATAGCTTATGCATTCCTGTCATTACTACATTAGCATAATTACTGCTAAAATAATTCTCAGTATGATATACCTCTTGTAAGAAATCATTATAATTGTAGCAAGCACCAAAAAATCTCAAACAGATCACATTGAATCGTAATCCAAAAAATTATGACGTCTTGAATTAACCACCCCCTTTTATTCTAAAACGATAATTGCTGTTGTAAACAGACTTTGGTTATTTCGCATGGCGATTACATATATAACTATATATTTTAAAAAGAAAATAGAGTTTTACCATGAATAGTTTCCTGCACGTAGTCTTTTTCAGTAAAATGTGCCTTGCAAACAACAGCTGATTGAGATGGACTCCACGATTTCATCGTGTTCTCGTCCAATCTGCGTATGGGCCATGGCATTGATCCAACTTTTCCTTCTTTTTAAGTCATTTGGATATGCATGTCCTCCTCTTAAATGACATCCAGGTACACAACAACAAGTACTTGGCATCGTTAATTAAAAATGCAACTGTAATAGTTGCACAGTGCAGAAACCGGAAGTTGAAGAACAGGATCGGCTACCACGGCGCCACCTATTCAGGAACGATAATTTGATACTTTATATAACTGCGAATTAACAATAACGTTAGACGGGTTCGCGTGCATAAACAGAAATGCGCTTTAAATTGTATAATATAATTCATGTTCAGTCGACCTTTAATTATTATATCAACGACTGAAATGATTTATAAACATCTAGATTGCAGATAACACTCGAAATTAACCCGACCTCTTTCCACACGGAATTCAAATAATTCTAGTTTGTCAATCGGTTGACTGCTTATAATGTAAAATACAAATATATCAAAAGTTTTTAAAACTAACAAAACACAATGATCGTTTCTCTATTTCCCAATGTAAATGAAATGAAACAAAAAACATTTTATATCACAATAAGAAGAGGAGAGAATCAACATTTTCCGGATCTACTTGGAGCCTAATGACCCCCCACGTAGATAAGTTGGATATCGCGGAAAGAAAGATTAACACGGCAACTAGAAAGGCATTAAAGCACTGCCTTTAAAAAAGTCAATTTTATCATAAATTGTTCTTTTTCTTTAATGCTAGGACCAATAAGGTTGCTTACTGTATCCAGTTTGCACAACAAATAACTCATTGAGTTCTAAGCTCGAAAGAATACAATTCATGATATTACAAGCTGCAATTTTTAAAGTTCAATTTTTTTCAACTGCATTTAAAATCCATAAGAGCCACGCAACTGTACTAGTGATTGAGACTGTACAACAAGGATAACTACTAAAACACTGTAAGGTCAAGTATATCTCACCCTTGCCCAGCATCCTCCTCCTATATTGTCATTAAATGTACTGTAATCCTCAGATGACCATAACTGTTTCCCTGTCTGAATAGCTGACATGACAGACTCTGTGCCTGGGTAGTGAACACTGTAATAAACAAACAACATGATCTTACCCTATAAAGTAGACAGCTTTTATAGCTATCATATGATCTTACCATATATAGTTGATAGATTTAGCTAGGTCTGAACCATATCCTTTACAGACAATATTATTTGCTATTTCATGATCTTACCCAATATATTTGATAGCTTTAGCTAGGCTTGAATCATTGTTCATACCATTAATAATAAATTAAGCCATCAAATGATCGAAACCTATATATAGTCAATTACTTTAGCTATTTCTGGACCTTACCATATATAGTCGATAGCTTTAGCTCTGAAGCTAATGTCTTATCTTTTATTGTTGATAGCTTAAGATAGCTATGGACCATATCCATGATATCCTTTACAGACGATATTATTAGCTTATGCAGCAAGCTATTTTATGATCTTATCCAAAATATTTGATAGCTTCAGCTAGGCTTGAATCGTTGTTAATATCATTGTTAATAAATTAATCTATCGTATGATCTTAACCTGTTAAGTCAATTACTTTCGCTAGATCTGGACCTTATCCTTTATAGTTGATAGCTTTAGCTATCACATGACCTTTCCCTATATAGTCGACAGCTTTAGCTAGATCTGGACCACTCGTTACAGACAATAAAATTAGCTATCTCATTATCTTACTCTATATAGTCAATTACTTAAGCTAGGTCTGGACCTTACCCTATATAGTCTATAGCTTTAGCTATCCCATGACCTTTCCGTATATAGTGTACAGCTTTAGCTAGATGTGGATCATATGCTTTATAGACAATATAATAAGATGTCTCATGACCTTACCATATAAAGTCGATAGCTTTAGAAAGGTCTGAATCATTGTTGACCCCAGCCTCCATCAGCAGCTACTATCCTGACATGTTATAAACTATTGTTATCTATCTCAAGACCTTTCCCTATATAGTCGATAGCTTTACTATCATATGATCTTACCCTATAACGTTAGCTTTAGTTATCCTCTAACCTTTCCCTATATAGACGATAGCTTTACTATCATATGATCTTACCCTATAAAGTCGTTAGCTTTAGTAATCCTCTAACCTTTCCCTATAAAGTCGATAGCTTTACTATCATATGATCTTACCCTATAAAGTCGATAGCTTTACTATCATATGATCTTACCCTATAAAGTCAATAGCTTTAATATCATATGATCTTACCCTATAAAGTCGATAGCTTTACTATCATATGATCTTACCCTATAAAGTCAATAGCTTTAGCAAGGTCAGAATCATTGTTGATATCATTGACAATACCCCAGCCTCCATCAGCAGCTACTATCCTAACATGTTGTAAACTGTTGTTATCTAAGACTTTCCTCAATAGCTGAAATAATAGAAAATAATCTGTCATAAGTCACAAGATGATTAAAGACATTACTGATCACAATGTTTTAATATTTATCTTTTTTTTTTAAACAAATGGCATGCATAATACCTAATTTGGAAGCTTGAAAGAAATATTTGTTATAAGTTACTAAACACTGTTTAAGTAGTTTTATTCATTAAGTACCAATTTCTGTGGGTTTCATGACTGAATTTTTATATCCAATGAAATTCCTATTTTTATTGATTACCGGTATGCAAAGTCCAAGACAATGAAATTTTGCATCATAAATCAAAAATACTTACACAAAAAAAAAGAAATGGAGCAGCTCCCACTAAACAGAATCCTAAAGGTTTGTATTATAATATGATGTTAAGTTGGCTACTAACTTGAAAAAAAAGTATCACATAAATACTGTTTAAAGTTAAGCTACAGTAAGTAGACAATGACACAAATTTACTGAAGATTTTGAATATATAACTCCTGAATGTGATTCTGGAACTAAAATATTGCATTTCAGTATATCATTTTTTAAAGAAGTAGATACCAATGGGACAGGAAAGATTATATAAAGTGAATTTGGGCTAAATGTAAATATTGTAAAACTGTCAAAAATGCATATAGAACCTCTTACTTTGAAATATTATACAGTACTTGATGTCAGTAAAAACTAGAACACCTTCTCTATTCCAAAATAATAATACTTTTTTCTAAATTATGAATCGTTACACATTGGAAAAGAAAGGATTTACATTCTGATCCTGTGGTCTCATTGGCAATTATGTCATCTTTCCTTATTTTCATACACAGTGTATTAATAGTATGGATATGTACAAATGTATAACATGTATCAATTGTTTAGAGATTGGAAAGCTTTGATTATTTTCTAGGCATGTATCTCAAGTTCTAGATATAGATGTCCATTAGATTCTTAGATTACTAGAGTCCTTACCTTAATATATTTTACATCATATGCCTGTTCATTCCAAATCTAAAATACATAAATATGAAAGTTTTAGTATCAACTAAAGAAAGACATTAACTTTATACATTTCACATGATAACAGTGTTCATTTGAAGTCTAAAATACTTTAGAGTGATTTATTTTTAATTACATATACTTCAATACCTGCAAACATATATGTAATGACCATATACTCTTCCCATCCTATCCATATATATACCAAATACTGCTGACCTATCATTTTTAGTGACTGCTGAACAAAACTTATCCTGAAAACGTAGCTTAGAAATGAGATAAGGTCACTTGATATTGACTGGCTGATAAGATATCATCATGAATAACCTCTCTGCACATTTGTGTTCTTCTACAGGAAAACGGGGATGAAAGGTTGAAGTTATAAACACATTTGTATCACCACAATCTGAAAAGTAATACCTATGTACAGGTTAGCACACATTTCAGCAAAACAAAAATCCATTAAAGGATTTGGGAACACATACTAATCGAAACTGGGAATGAAGGTCTGAGAATTTAAACTTGTTTATATATATTTTCTTGTATATTTGGTCATCTATACTGAATGTACTCAATTCAAGAAATGTGGAATTTTCCATTTTTCCCCTTCACAATTTCAGTCAGTAACAATAGATTTATTTAATGTTAGATCTTCTTGGTTATATTTGTTTCACCGTTCTTACTCAAATATTAAGATTATTTGGATCTGTAACAACTCTAAGGCTCCATAAAACCTGAATATCTATAATAATTTCTTTACAGCTTTTCTAGGGTGACCATTAATGCTGATAAGTATAAATGTCATTTCTCCATACATCGATTCAATATATTTTATGACTTGTATGTGATTAAATATTTACCCCAATAAAATCAATAGTTAAATTATGATACTTCTTTGCACCAAGGATCCATTTGAGAATATAATTAGCTGGTAGTTCTATGTCTGTATATGGATCTCTTGTTCCATTTCCTATCCATCCAGGCCATGCCCAAGGTAATCCATATAACAAAATATTGGGATTTCTCTGGAATCAGTAAATAATGTTTTAAAAAAGATATCTATAATTATCAACATTAAATTGGAGAAACGATTGGAACATAGATAGTATAATTACTTAAAAAAAATAAATTCACCATTAAATAACACGTTATAAAAAAAAATTTCTATAGATTCAATGATTCATTATTATTCATGGTATATTAATTGATTGTGGATATCATGGATAAAAGGCTAACCATAATTTGAAGTATTCAACAAGATACAGGTGTCCTATGGGTTTGAATACAAAATTTATTGCAAACATGAAAATCAAAAATCCATGAAAATATCATTTTTAGAACAGCCTTCAAATGTATAGTCTGTTACCTAACTAAAAGTTTGAGGGAAAATTTTGTAAGTTGAGATTTTTAATAATTAACATATATATAAGAAAACAATGTAAACATATAATAAACTGTTATCACAGATATGTCTCGCCTTTTTGTAATTTTTATAATGCAAATGTTGAAATTAAAATAGCAATACTTTAACATGTAAGTTATGCAAATATTCAAAGTCGAAAAACCATGACTGAAGGTACATGACTAAACAATCTCCATGGAAATGAGATGTGCCAATGCTAATACAACTGCATACCAAATACCATTGACTTATTATAAGTCGTTCCCTTTAAACAAACCTAAACACAAACATTAACTTGTAAACTATGTAAAAGTTTCAAAGTCAATGAACCATGATGAGGGGGTTGGGCTATATAATCTCCATGGAAATGAAACTTGCAAATGCCAATAAATTTGCATACCAAATATCATTCACTTAACATTTGCAGTTCATCTTAAACTGATCTAATCACAAACTTATACATGTAAGCTAAGCAAAAGTTTCAAAGTCAATAGACCATGACTAAGGGGGCGGAGCCAATTAATCTCCATGGAAATGAGATATGCCAATGCTTATACAACTGCATACCAAATATCATTGACCTACCACTAGTGGTTCCCCATAAATTGACCTAATCACAAACTAATACATGCAAACTAAGCAAAAGTTTCAAAGTCAATAGACCATGACTGAGGGGGCAGGGCCAAATAATCTCCATGGAAATAAGAAATGCCAATGCTAAATTAATACAACTGCATACCAAATATCATTGACCTACCACTTGTGGTTCACCATAAAGTAGACCTAATCACAAACTAATACATTGTTGTTGCCGCCGCCGGAAACAGTATACCTATGTCTCGCTTTTTGACTCCGTCAAGGCGAGACAAAAATTAAAACCTTTTTTGCTTCTTTCATCAACCACCACTCATATCCTCTGTTATAATTTTCATCCCAGCTGTTGTGCATGTGTGAAGCCTCTGTTCCTTCTAAAACAACAAATTTCATAACATGACCACTGATTTACAGCTTTATTCTGATTCCAGTAAAATGTCCTTCCCATAAATCTACATTTGAAGGGCTGGATCATTTCTGTCTATTTTTTGAGATGAGTAAGATCACCAATAGGTCTTCTATAAGGGAGAAACGATTAAAACCACAATTTTCCTGTATAACCATATGGGATTCTATTATAAATGTTGTCACCCCTAGGCTTCTTGCAATAAAGGGGAAAACTTCCAGTAAATTTTTAATAAATAAGTGGGGAATGTGTCAATGGGACACAGATGATGCCCCCACTTGTCTATCATATAAAGTTATAAAGGGACATAACTGAAAAACGGTAATAGTAACGCTATCCAAATTTGTACTTGATCTGAGTTTTGTGGTAATAACAATTGTGTATATGTTTCATAATGTATGGTTGAGGCAAGCTTAAGTTAGAGAACGGAAACAAAAATTCAGCAATTTTTCCATTTGTAAAGAGGCATAACTCTAGAACAATAAGAGTGACACCCCAAAAAAAACAAACTGGATCTGTATTTTGTAGTAATAAGCATTGTGTATAAGTTTCATAACATTTGGTTGCGGCTAACTTAAGTTAGTGAACGAAAACAAAAAATTCAGCAATTTTTCCATTTGTAAAGGGGCATAACTCTAGAATAGTTAAAGTGACACCCCCAAATTCAAACTTGATCTGTATTTTGTGGTAATTAGCATTGTGTATAAATTTCATAGCATTTGGTAGAGGTAAACTTGAGTTAGAGAACGGAAACAAAAAATTCAGCAATTTTTCCATTTGTAAAGGGCATAACTCTAGAACGGTTAAAGTGACGCCACCAAAAATCAAACTTGATCTGTATTTTGTGGTAATAAGCATTGTGTACAAGTGTCATGACATCTGGTTGAGGCAATCTAAAGTTAGAGAACGGAAACCAACTTTGGGATGTACAGATGGACAAGGGTAAAACTTAATGCCCCCTCTGCTACGGCGGGGCATAAAAAGTGTGTGCTTCTAATTAGTGTTAATATAATATTTTAAACTTTGCTAACAGTTTCCTTAACCAAAAATAAATTATGCTTTTGTTGTGATATAAGTTTCCATTTTTCCAATACTTTAATACTGACAAATTTTCAAAAAAAATTCAAACTGCTATATACCTACATATATATCTGATAAGAAGTTGACAATAACAATACCTGTGCTTTGAGCATCTCCACCAATCTCTACCTTCAGGAGATGTAAACTAGCTCCAAAATTAGGCTAAAAATAAGACAGGTATTGCTACAATGTTTGTAAAAAAAAACAACTTTATCATACAAAATTGTGCTTTTATCATCTTACAAACAACAAATGAGATCCCTTATTCATGCAAAGTGGTTGCTGATATTTTTTTTACTTATATCTCTGAAATAAGACAGCTAACACTACAATGTTTGCCCAAAAAACTGAACATTTTATCATACAAAATTGTACTTTTCAACATTTTATAAATCTATAAAGGAGATGACTAATTCATCAAATGGTTGCTGAAAATATATAAGGATGTTTTGCAATGCTGTCTTATGAGTAAACGTTTATTGGCAATCAAATTCATAAGATGATTTTCATTCCCTGGATGTTTTCTGTTGATAAACATTTTTATTTTAAACAGTAACTTATCATATATATTACATTAAAAATAGCAGGGAGATTTTTAGTGTATTAAAACAAAACTGCTTTTTCTTTTATTATTTTTTGTCCTGTTTTCAAATATCCTTGTACTTTTTCTAAATAAATCATATTTTACAAATTTTGATTTATTTGTACACATGTAAGTATGAAATTTACGGAGAACAAAAATAATGTAAACATTAATATCAAATGAAAGAATTCAAATTCCATTCAACATAACCATTTTTAAGTCGAGTGTTAACTTTGCTATTATATTTATGTTTAAATGAGTCTGAGAGCTCCTGGATTATTCTTATACATGATATATAGAGAATTGTTCACCAAACTCTTATTTCGTTGGACATTCAATGACTTCACAAATCCATCAGATGTTTCAAATCCCATGATCTAATAAACACAAAAAATCTTAGGCAGTATAAAAGTATTATATTTGAAACTCTTATGAGTAGACGTTTAATATCCAGTGGATCCACTTCAATCCATATTCAAAAATCAAAATGAGATGTTAATGTCAACAAATGGGGGTTGATATTTTCATCCAATGGATAGCCCACATGACTCTGCTCGTATATAGAAAATCCTTGAGTTTCTACTTATTACACTAAATATATTAAAATTGAAAAAAAAACTTGTTTATTTTTTTTTTCAAATGACAATAGTTTTAAACTTGATTTGATCATTTTCTTGTTTATATTTGTTGCTATTGTGTTGTAATTTTGCCCCTTACCTTAAATAAATAATCCAGGATTTCATTCCTCTGCTGTTCTTGATAGTTTTGTAACAGCACTGATGTTGCCTAAAACATAAACTTAATAATTATTTACTGCACTATTTACCTAAGCTTTCTCCTATTCTGTCCTGTACATTCTATAATTCATACTATTAAACTTTATTTCTAATATAAGTTAATCTCTTTGGAACATTTTATATTGGTCATTGAATCTTTGAGACTTAGCACTAGTAAATCAACACAATTATACAGATGGTGCACAGATACTTGTCTTATCTATATACCAGTTTTATTGTTATATCTTGATATATATTATAGGTAATTTTTTCAGAGACAAGTGTCTGTGAGTTTATTCTTATATTGTGTTGCGTTTCCTTATAGCAGGAAGATTGAGAACTCCCAATATGCTACTTCTTAGTGTATGTGGCTGATAAATTTTTAGAATTGATTGACCTTACAGACTTGATATTCAATCCATTGTATACTCCAGAAGTGTGGCAGGTTTTTTTTTTGTTATTCCTACACTGAGATGTATTTATTCAATTTTAAATTATTACATGTACATGTATTCCTTGTAGTACTCATGTAATAATTTAAAATCAAATAAAATCATCTCGATGGTTTAAAAAATCTCTTTAAATTTTAGGTTTTTTGTTGAGGAGTGCTATCTCCATGATGTTCACCCCAAATCCTCTTTTTAAGGTTCATGTGGACCCTTCGTCTAAAATGGCTGCATTTTCACCTCAAAATTTACTCTGAGTACAGACAAACCTGTGCATCTGGAAAAGTTTTAAGGCATAGCATGCCCTAGATAAATAAAATTCAAATATATTTTATGTTTTAGAAAATTAAAAACTTAACCGGATTTTGCAGTGCACTTTTTTTCATTCCTCCAGAAGGTGCCAAAATAAACTAAGTTGGGAAAGAGGTTTGAGAACTTCCCCACAGGTAATAATTGAAGTGAACTGTTTTGATTGACATGGACAATAGATGGACAATAGATACCTGACAATAATTGGTGATTTAAACTGTGTACCTGAGTGGACCATATCAAGTGAAACTCAACTGTTTGTTAATTTTATCATCTTCTGTAGGGACGAAAAAAAGTGCACTGCTAAATCCAGTTAAGTTATAAATTTTCTAAAACATACAATGCATTAGAAGTTTATTTATCTAGGGCATGCTATGCCTTAAAACTTTTCCAGATGCGCAGGTTTGTCTGTACTCAGAGTAAATTTTGAGGTGAAAATGCAGTCATTTTAGCCAAAGGGTCCACATGAACCTTAACATATGTATATTGTGACACATTGTAATTGGTCGGTAGTTTGGATTCTAGTTAAGCGAAGGAAAATCAAAAAGAGCAAATATTGGCAGATTTATTTGAAAGTAAAAGGTAAAATGTACTCCTCCACCACTTAGGCCTCCTATCCCATCGAATCGTCTACCATATCCTGAAGTGTTGTCAACAGGGTATGTCACTTCTTCAGCATAACTGTGTGTGCACAGGTAATATAAAATATAAGAAGCAACCGGTGTCAGAAACATTGTCAACAAACTAGCGTAAATCACATGATTTGACCGGAAGTGGGTTGTGCAAATTAAGGATGTTCTCCAAAAGATTGTTCACTCATGGAACTTTTAAAGAAATGACTAAATACCAATTTTGAAAATAAGATAAGAGAACAACATATAACCCAAAGATTTAAATGTTTTTATCAATATTGCAATTTGTTTATTTGCACATCCACTTTAAACAACATTTGCCTTGATTTGATAATCTAAAACGTGTAATCCCAGGCACTTGTCTCAGAAAAAAATTTCCTATATACCTTAATATAACGTGTTATATTAAGGTATATAGGAAATTTTTTTCTGAGACAAGTGCCTGTGTTTGTGGAGGAGTTTTTTTTTTTTTTTAGTCAAACATTTTCTAATCGCTTAAGTAACAAACATTACATTTTTTTCACAGTTCATTTTGAAAGGAATTGATTTTTTTTTCAAGATATTTTGAATCAAACAAATTCAATTTCCTATAAAATAAAGGTAAATAAAAGTCTCTAGGAGTATCAAGAAAAATTACTCTCAATATGAAAAACAATAATAAAGGAACTGTTCCTTATTCAAATTGTTCTTTCCTTAATTTCAATTAAATTGTTCTCTCATGTATATCTTTGCCATATTTCCTTTTTTAAATATATATACAACTCTAGATTCTACTGACGAGGAAAGGTAACACTAGGCCACCGAAAGCTGAATTTTTAGTTCAGTCTAGGTGGCCAAGAGGTTAAGAGCGATGGACACAATGCAGGCGGTGTTGTCTCGATATCCCAATAGCATGAGTTCGAAGCCCTGGCAGTGCTGATATTTAGAGTAATTATGAATACAATATGTGTTTTCAGACGTTTATCACCTTCTCTGGTGATCCAATGAATTGATCTGTCGTAGAGTTGTCACTTGTTCAGACGTACTTATCAAATAATTATTTCTGTGACTGTATCTTATGATCCTTTACGATAAGATAATTTAGCTAATCTGCAATCAATTCCATCTTCATGCCTAATATATCATGTACTGTGTTACAACTATACATACTACTGACGAGGAAAGGTAACACTAGGCCACCGAAAGCTGAATTTTTAGTTCAGTCTAGGTGGCCGAGTGGTCTAGAGCCATGGACACAGTGCAGGCGGTGTTGTCTCGATATCCCAATAGCATGAGTTTGAGTCCCGGCAAGGGAAGAAAAAAAATTTGCTTCCACAAATTTGCTGATTTAACATTGTTGTGCTGATATTTAGAGTAATTATGAATATAATATGTGTTTTCAGCCGTGTATCACCTTCACTGGTGATCCAATGGATGGATCTGTCGTAGAGTTGTCACTTGTTTACACGTATCCCAATAGCATGAGTTCGAATCCCGGCCAGGAAAGAACAATAAACTGCTTCACTGAGCGCAGCTCAATACGCCCGCAGAGGTCCAACCCTAAACAGTTGGGGCAAAAATGGACACAATATTCAAGCTTGATTCAGGTCTGAATTTGGATTGTAATTAAATATTTGACATTTTATAGGTTTCTGAATAAATGTAGTCAAAGAACTTGAAATTGGTTATATGAATTGAATTTATATTCAATTAAAGATTTCTTGCTGTTGTGCAATACTTAGTATATCTGTTGTCAGACTATAAACAAATAAAGTTCAATTAATTCTCAATGTCATATTAGAAATTTATGAAAATAAAAAGGGAGCTTACATCAATAGATATAAACAATTCACCAAAGTTTCCTGAGAATTGGTGACAGCATTTTTGAGTTATTGTCCGAAAACTGGAAAATCACCCCTTTTTTTAATAAATAAAACCCAATAACTCAGAAATGTAAAATGTAAAATTTATAAAATTCTAAAAGAAGCTTACATCAATACATACAAATAATTCATCAAAGTTTCATAAGAATTGCTGAAAGCATTTTTGAGTTTTTGTCCGAAAACTGGAAAATCCCCCTTTTTTTTATGAATAAAACACTGCAACTCGGAAACGTAAAATCTAAAATTTATAAAAAACGAAAGGGAGCTCACGTCAATAGATATGAACAATTCACCAAAGTTTTATGCAAATTGGTGAAAGCATTTTTGAGTAAATGTCCGACATGTTGACGACAGACATACGGACGGACTGACGGACGGACAGATGGACGGACAACGGTATACCATAATACGTCCCGTAAACGGGCGTATAAAAATTTGATAATCTCATCACTCTTTCAATACTTGTGTCAGATGCAACTTTCACCTTTTAAAAGATATGTCTAGGGTCAAGGTTATGAAATATCTTGGAGTATAATTTAATATCAAAATAGGTAGTACATAGATTCAAGGTACTCAAACACAGTGAAATATGACATGTATCAAGAAAGCAGTACAAGTTATGGACAGAGCATCATTTCAATACAAATATCAGCTGTGACTAACCTTCAAGGTATGACCTTTAGCCATCTTTTTCTTAATTTGTGTTGGTGGATAGCTCTCTGACATTTACTTCACGTCTTTATGTTTTACTCATGTAAGTGCTTGTATGTATCTTGCATTGTTATTTGTTTATTTAAAGGTCATAATATCAATATTTTAACTGAGGTCATCTTTGCTGAATGATTTCACAAGTTATAAGCACTTTTCTGAGATGACTTACATTTCCTTTGTGTATTTATTTTGCTCATTGTTGAATGCCTTATGGTAAACCTGACTTTTAGATGTATTTTGGTTATTACCTTGTGTTGTGGATTTCTGTCTCATTGGCTTATACCCCACATTTCATTTTATTTATACAGAAATATATTTCTAGTTTAAAATTTGATATAAATATACCTTTGATGTTTCACCATGGATTGGTTTATACCAGTAAGTGGACCAATCCAGAAATTTTTGAAAGAAACTGAAGACAGACTGACTTTTCCAAATAATATATCCTGTATTTTCATTTCTATTTTTCTTTAAATTTTGACCTCTTAACCTGCCAGGCAAAATAGATAGCAATGCAGATTGAATTCTCAAATTTTATTCAAGTATCAGTATACTGTATATATTTTGGCTGTACTTTGGCTACTTTTCTGTGTTCTATGGCTAATGTTTTTGGACATTTCATTTCACACCAACTGATTGGATCCATGTTAGCACCTGAAATGCAAAAGGAAAGTTAATTTTAATAAACTGCTTCGCCGAGCGCAGCTGGATACGACCGCAGAGGTCCAACCCTGAACAGTTGGGGCAAAAATGGACACAGTATTCAAGCTTGATACAGGTCTGAATTAGGATTGTAATTGAATATTTGACACATTATAGGTTTCTGACACAGAATAAATGTGTCAAAGAACTTGAAATTGGTTGTATACATGATTTGAATTTATATTCAATTGAAGATTTCTTGCTGTTGTGCAATACTTAGTAAATCTGTTTTCAGACTATATACAAAGAATTAGCAAAATAAATTGTTACCCCCCAATTTTTTTCTCTGGAAAATTGACAATTTCTTAAATCTTGAGGAAAAAAAATTGACCCCCCTTAAAAAAAATTTGTTTACCCCCCCCCCCCCCCCCCCTTCCAAAAAAATAATATTTGAAGAAATTTTTTTGGGGTAAAATGTGGTACAAATCATCCATACACTTAAACACAAGTTTTTGTCTGAAAACTAGAAAAATGCTTGTTTTAGACCCTTTTTGGCCCTTAATTCCTGAACAGTTTGGGCAACTACCCCCAAAATGAATCCCAACCTTCTACTTGTAGTATTGAACCTTGTAGTACAATTTCAGAGCAATTAAAATACTTATACACAAGTTATTGTCCTGAAACTAGAAAAATGCTTGTTTTGGCCCCTTTTTGGCCCCTAATTCGTAAACGGTTGGGACCATCACCTCCAAAAACCTTCCCAACCTTCCTTTTGTGGTATTGAACCTTTAGGTGAAATTTCATAGAGATCCATACACTTAAACTAAAGTTATTGTCTGGAATCCAAATGTATGATTTGAATTTATATTCAATTGAAGATTTCTTACTGTTGTACAATACACTGTGCTGTTGCGCAATACTTAGTAAATCTGTTTTCAGAATATATACAAAGAATTAGCAAAATAAATTGCAACCCCCAATTTTTTTCAATTGACAATTTCTTCAATCTTGAGGCAAAAAAAATGGACCCCCCCCTTAAAAATTTTTTTTACCCCCCCCCCCCCCCCCCCAAATTTTTTTTTACCCCCCTCCAAAAAAATAATATTTGAAGAAATTTTCTTTTTGTAAAATGTGGTACAAATTAAGAGACATCCATACACTTAAACACAAGTTTTTGTCTGAAAACCAGAAAAATGCTTGTTTTAGACCCTTTTTGGCCCCTAATTCCTGAACAGTTTGAGCAACTACCCCCACAATGAATCCTAACCTTCTACTTGTAGTATTGAACCTTGTAGTACAATTTCAGAGCAATCAAAATACATATACACAAGTTATTGTCCTGAAACTAGAAAAATGCTTGTTTTGGCCCCTTTTTGGCCCCTAATTCCTAAACAGTCGGGACCATCACCCCCAAAAACAATCCCAACCTTTCTTTAATGGTGTTGAACCTTTTGGTGAAATTTCATAGAGATCCATACACTTAAACTAAAGTTATTGTCCGGAAACCAAATGTCTTCGGACGACACTGACGCCGACATCATACCAATATACCACCGCAGAATTATTTTGCGGTCGTATAAAATTTCAATCAAGCCTGTCTACTGTAAGCTGCCTTCTAGATAAATTTTGGGTTATTTTTATCATGGGCTTGCTGTCTCATTGATGTATACTCCACTTCTCAAGGTTAATGGATGTTTTAAGAAATCCTAATGTGTCTGTACTAAACCAGGAATTGGTAATCCAGTTGTTATCTTTTGTTTCTGTCTACCATATAAGTTTTTCATTCATTGTGGAAGTACAAATCAGGTCGTTGGTTATCTCTCTCAAATTGTTTCATCATTTTTTCATAGTGGGGCCTTAAATAGCTTACTATACATAAATAAAATATGTCAATATTGGTTTAGCTCATTGTTGAAGGCCAGTCGCATGTAGAAGTTCACATCTTTTTTATTGAAGACATATACAATATTTACAACTCTACTCAGCAAGTGGACAACAGTTTGAATTATTTGGTTTTAAAAGCTGAAAAACATATACGTAATTCCACTTAAATTGAATTAATAAAAACAAATGAATTGAAAAAATTGTACATAAATAGTTGAAACTACATAAATCTAGAAAAAAAAGTTTTACCTGCTTCACTGGTAGCCATGACAACACCTAATTCATTTTCTGCTGTAGTTAATAAATATGAATGAGCATCACCTAGAGATAACTGAGAAATGTTAAAGAAAAGGTAAATGTGCAGTTTTTATGGTATTATTTGTATGTTTTTCTATGTACATTTTGCCCTCCAGTGATCTAGATTAAGGGTATACGATACAGTTTCGATCCCACGATGAATTTTTTACGAAAATTTGCGTACAAGCTATTTGTCACCTAAGCAATACTTTGGAAATAATAATTTTTAACAAAGTTTCAGGATTTTAGGAAAAAAAACGGCATTTTTTGCGGCATATTAATCAAATTTAAAAAAAAATCATTGTTGACTTTTTCATAAAATTGGTACAAAGAATCGTCATACGTAATAAAAAATAATGCCATTTCAAAAAAGAGGGGTCCATGTACTCATTTTCAAGTTAAATCAGTTTATATCATAATAAACTGCTTCGCTGAGTGCAGCTAGATACGCCCGCAGAGGTCCAACCCTGAACAGTTTCGGCAAAAATGGACACAATATTCAAGCTTGATTCAGGTCTGAATTTGGATTGTAATTAAATATTTGACATATTATAGGTTTCTGAATAAATGTAGTCAAAGAACTTGAAATTGGTTATATGAATTGAATTTATATTCAATTAAAGATTTCTTGCTGTTGTGCAATACTTAGTAAATCTATTGTCAGACTATAAACAAATAAAGTTCAATTAATTCTCAATGTCATATTAGAAATTTATGAAAATAAAAAGGGAGCTTACATCAATAAATATAAAAAATTCACCAAAGTTTCATGAGAATTGGTGACAGCATTTTTGAGTTATTGTCTGAAAACTGGAAAATCACCCCTTTTTAATGAATAAAATCCCATAACTCAGAAATGTAAAATGCAAAATTTATAAAATTCTATAGGGAGCTTACATCAATACATACAAACAATACACCAAAGGTCCATAATAATTGCTGAAAGCATTTTTGAGTTTTTGTCCGAAAACTGGAAAATCCCCCTTTTTTTTATGAATAAAACACTGTAACTGGGAAACGTAAAATCTAAAATTTATAAAAATCAAAAGGGATCTCATGTCAATAGATATAAACAATTCACCACAATTTCTTGCAAGTTGGTGAAAGCATTCTTGACTTATTGTCTGAAAACTGGAAAATCCCCCTTTTTTTAATGAATAAAACCCCATAACTCGGAAACGTAAAATCTAAATTAAATTTTATAAAAAACAAAAGGGAGCTCACATCAATAGATATAAACAATTCACCAAAGTTTTATGCAAATTGGTTAAAGCATTTTTGAGTTAATGTCCGACATGTTGACGACGGACAGACAGACGGACAGATGGACGGATGGACAACGATATACCATAATACGTCCCGTAAACGAGCTTATAAAGAAGAGTCGAAAAATGCATCTTTTTCAGATATGTCACAGTTTGACGTCACGAAAATAACATTTTACGTTAGCAACGTCATTACCTCCCCTGTAACTGTTTCGTATGCCCTTAAAGGGGAGGGCTGAGTGATACGAAATCTAGCATGACCACATGCCCTCAATAAACTTTGTTTTTCTAAAAACATATGTCTAGCAAACATTCCACATCTTAGAAAGACTGCTTGCTACACTTTGAATCAGGTACCACCACCAAAACAATATGTTTAAATAAAATCAATACTATTGATAATTTATCTTAACTACTCATTTTTTTTCATATTGTATGTAAATTGAGAAAAAATGAGTGCTGATTTTTTAAAATTTTAAGAAAAAAAGGAAGAAAGTGGTGCAGCTTAATTTCATGCATGAAGTAGGAAGGTATTAAAAGGATACAACTCTGGCAACAATTATATCTCCTGGTCTGAATGACTTATACATCTCAACCTGTAATTACAAAGCTTTTATTAGCAAATGGAATACACACACACACACACACACACACACAATTCATAACTATGTTAGATCAATTTATAATGAAATTATTATTGCCTATACACGTGTATTTTATTATGATGTTAAGGATTTTATATCTTTTAATAATATTGTATAACTTCCGTTACAATTAAATAATTTCATCATGATAATTTTTGGTTATTTGTGTTGCTGTGTTGCAGTGTCATTGATCTATAATCCACATCTCCTCTTGTTCATGTTTAAGAGTTCACTGCATTAACAAACAATAATGCACAATTATTAATGAAAAACCTTCTTTAACACTTTGTTATTTAATTGTAATGAGGCATGATTGCAACTATTCTCTCTAAAATAAATCGAGAGGCTCTCAAGAGCCTGTGTCGCTCACCTGTATCTACTGTGGTTTTGGAGATCATGTAAAATAAGGTTTAAATCATAATAAATAGTATTGGATACCCTAATAATGATTGAGGCCAAGTTTGGTGTAATTTGGCCCATTATTCAAATTAAAAGCAGGTCATCCCACTAGTAACTAGACTTACACAAGTTACTGAAGACCCGTTATCATTATTTAAATTAGTTTTCAAGTTGTGAACATTTGAAATTGTTTTTTTTACAATTTTCCCTTAGACTTCTATAGTAAATCCCCATGTTCTATTTTCAGCCATGGTGGCCATGTTGGTTGCATGGCAGGGTCATTGGATACATTTTTCAATCAAGATACCCTATCAAAAATTGTGGCTAATGTTAATTCTATTTGGCCTAGTAGATTAAGTGGAGAAGATTTTTGTAAAAGATTGCAAAAATTTACGAAAAAAATTGTTAAAAATTGACTATAAGGGGTCAATTGAAAATTTTGGTCATATTGACTTATTTGTAGATCTTACTTTGCTGACCATTATTGCTGTTTACAGTTTATCTCTATCTATTATAATATTTAAGATAATAACCAATAAAATGCTTCGCTGGGCGCAGCTTGATACGACCGCAGAGGTCGAACCCTGAACAGTTGGGGCAAGTATGGACACAACATTCAAGCTTGATACAGCTCTGAATTTGGATTGTGATTAAATATTTGACACAGCATAGGTTTCTGACACAGAAAGAATGTGGTCTAAGAACTTCAATTTTTTTAATTTACCTATTATGGTCCAATGCCCAAAATCAAAATACATGGTTAGATTCAGCATATCAAAGAACCCCATATATTCAATTTTTGTTGAAATCAAACAAAGTTTAATTTTGGACCCCAACTTGGACAAACTTGAAAACTGGTCCCATAATCAAAAATCTAAACACATGTTTAGATTCAACATATCAAAGTACCCCAAGAATTCAATTTTTGTTAAAATCAAACTAAGTTTAATTTTGGACCCTTTGGACCTTAATGTAGACCAATTTAAAAAACGGGACCCAAAATTAAAAATCTAAAAACACGGTTAGATTTGGCATATCAAAGAACTCCAATAATTCAATTTTTGATGAAATCAAACAAAGTTTAATTTTGGACCCTTTTGACCTCAATATGAACCAATTTGAAAGCGGGCCCACAAAATAAAAAATCTAAATACATGGTAAGATTCAGCATATCAAAGAACCCCATATATTCAATTTTTGTTGAAATCAAACAAAGTTTAATTTTGGACCCCAATTTGGACCAACTTGAAAACTGGGCCAAAAATCTAAAATCTAAATACATGTTTAGATTCAGCATATCAAAGAACCCCATATATTCAATTTTTGTTGAAATCAAACAAAGTTTAATTTTGGACCCCAACTTGGACCAACTTGAAAACTGGTCCCATAATCAAAAATCTAAACACATGTTTAGATTCAGCATATCAAAGAACCCCAAAAATTCAATTTTTGTTAAAATCAAACTAAGTTTAATTTTGGACCCTTTGGACCTTAATGTAGACCAATTTAAAAAACGGGACCCAAAATTAAAAATCTAAATACACGGTTAGATTTGGCATATCAAAGAACCCCAATAATTCAATTTTTGATGAAATCAAACAAAGTTTAATTTTGGACCCTTTTGACCTCAATATGAACCAATTTGATAGCGGGCCCACAAATAAAAAATCTAAATACATGGTAAGATTCAGCATATCAAAGAACCCCATATATTCAATTTTTGTTGAAATCAAACAAAGTTTAATTTTGGACCCCAATTTGGACCAACTTGAAAACTGGGCCAAAAATCTAAAATCTAAATACATGTTTAGATTCAGCATATCAAAGAACCCCATATATTCAATTTTTGTTGAAATCAAACAAAGTTTAATTTTGGACCCCAACTTGGACAAACTTGAAAACTGGGCTCATAATCAAAAATCTAAACACATGTTTAGATTCAGCATATCAAAGAACCCCAAGAATTCAATTTTTGTTAAAATCAAACTAAGTTTAATTTTGGACCCTTTGGACCTTAATGTAGACCAATTTAAAAACGGGACCCAAAATTAAAAATCTAAATACACGGTTAGATTTGGCATATCAAAGAACCCCAATAATTCAATTTTTGATGAAATCAAACAAAGTTTAATTTTGGACCCTTTTGACCTCAATATGAACCAATTTGATAGTGGGTCCACAAATAAAAAATCTAAATACATGGTTAGATTCAGCATATCAAAGAACCCCAAGAATTCAATTTTTGATGAAATCAAACAAAGTCTAATTTTGGACCCCAATTTGGACCAACTTGAAAACTGGGCCAAAAATCTAAAATCTAAATACATGTTTAGATTCAGCATATCAAAGAACCCCATATATTCAATTTTTGTTGAAATCAAACTAAGTTTAATTTTGGACCCTTTTGACCTTAATGTAGACCAATTTGAAAACGGAACCAAAAATTAAGAATCTAAATACACGGTTAGATTCGGCATATCAAAGAACCCCAATAATTCAATTTTTGATGAAATCAAACAAAGTTAAATTTTGGACCCTTTGGACCTCAATGTGGACCAATTTAAAAACGGGGCCCAAAATCCAAAAACTTAATACTTGGTTAGATTCAGCATATTAAAGAACCCCAAGAATTCAAGAATAAAACCCCATTGAAATTGATCAAGAAATAAGCAATTTATACGAAGTATCTTCTTTTGCACAATACTGTGCAATTGAATATTTCTTGCTATTGTGCAATACTGTACAATTGACAATTTCTTGCTATTGCGCAATATTGTGCTATTGGATATTTCTTGCTATTGCGCAATACTGTGCAATTGAAGATTTCTTGCTATTGCGCAATACTGTGCTTGCGCAATACTGTGCAATTGAAGATTTCTTGCAATTGTGCAATACTGTGCAATTGAAAATTTCTTGCTATTGCACAATACTTATTATATAATAATTTACACATCCTGTTTGGTGTGTATCTCCTACCATATCATTATTATTTGCTTTTAAATATTAATCAGAAATAACCAACTTAAAATGCAAAATTTTAAAAGAAAAAAAAAAGGAAAAAAAGAAAAAAAAAAGAAAAAAAAAAAATCCCCCCCCCCCCCCAAATTTTTTGAACCCCCTTATGATTCATCACCCCCAAACTCAATCCCAGCCTTCCCTTTGTGGTATGGTACCTTGCAGTACAATTTCAGAGAGATCCATACACTTGAACACAAGTTATTGTCTGGAAACTAGAAAAATGCTTATTTTTGGCCCCTTTTTGGCCCCCTATTCCTAAACGTTTCGGGCAATTACCCACAAACTCAATTCCAGCTTTCCCTTTGTGATATGGAACCTTGTAGTACAATTTCAGAAATATCCAAACACTTACACACAAGTTATTGTCATGAAACTAGAAAAATGTTTGTTTTTTGCCCCTTTTTTGGCCCCTAATTCCTAAAATTTTGAGGCAATTACCCCCAAAATCAATTACAGCCTTCCCTTTGTGATATGGAACCTTGTGGTACAATGTCAGAGAGATCCATACACTTACACACAAGTTATTGTCTGGAAGTTACAAAAAGCTTATTTTTGGCCCCTTTTTGGCCCCTAATTCCTTAACTGTTGGTACCATAACCCCCAAAATCAATCCCAACCTTCCTTTCGTGGTATTGAACCTTATGGTAAAATTTCATGGAGATCCATTCACTTAAACTAAAGTTAGAGTGCGAAAACCAATGTGTCTTCGGACGACGCCGGACGACGCCAGACGACGACGACGACGACGACGACGACGACGCCAACGTCATACCAATATACGACCAAAAAATTTTCAATTTTTGCGGTCGTATAAAAACTGCAAAATTTCCTTAGAATTACCAATTCAGGGGCAGCAACACAACAACAGGTTTGTCTGATTTGTCTGAAAATTTCAGGGCAGATAGATCTAAAACTGATAAACATTTTTACCCAAGTCAGATTTGCTCTAAAAGCTTTAGATTCAGAGATATAAGCCAAAAAAAAATTTTACCCCTATGTTCTATTTTTAGCCATGTCGGCCATGTTGGTTGGCAGGTGGGTCATGGGACACATTTTTTAAACTTGATACCCTAATGATGATTGTGGCCAAGTTTGGTTAAATTTGGACTAGTAGTTTCAGAGGAGAAGATTTTTGAAAAAGATTACAAATTTACAAAAAATTGTTAAAAATTGACTATAAAAGGCAATAATTCCTTTAGGGGTCAACTGACAATTTAGGTCATGTTGACTTATTTGTAGATCTTACTTTGCTGAACATTATTGCTGTTTACAGTTTATCTCTATCTATAATAATATTCAAGATAATAACCAAAAACTGCAAAATTTCCTTAGAATTACCAATTCAGGGGCAGCAACACAACAACAGGTTTGTCTGATTTGTCTGAAAATTTCAGGGCAGATAGATCTAAAACTGATAAACATTTTTACCCAAGTCAGATTTGCTCTAAAAGCTTTAGATTCAGAGATATAAGCCAAAAAAAGCATTTTACCCCTATGTTCTATTTTTAGCCATGTCGGCCATGTTGGTTGGCAGGTGGGTCATGGGACACATTTTTTAAACTTGATACACTAATGATGATTGTGGCCAAGTTTGGTTAAATTTGGACTAGTAGTTTCAGAGGAGAAGATTTTTGAAAAAGATTACAAATTTACAAAAAATTGTTAAAAATTGACTATAAAAGGCAATAACTCCTTTAGGGGTCAACTGACAATTTAGGTCATGTTGACTTATTTGTAGATCTTACTTTGCTGAACATTATTGCTGTTTACAGTTTATCTCTATCTATAATAATATTCAAGATAATAACCACAAACTGCAAAATTTCCTTAAAATTACCAATTCAGGTTCAGCAACCCAACAACGGGTTGTCTGATTCGTCTAAAAATTTCAGGGCAGATAGATCTTAACCTGATAAACATTTTTACCCAGTCAGATTTGCTGTAAATGCTTTAGTTTTAGAGATATAAGCCAAAAACGGCATTTTACCCCTATGTTCTATTTTTAGCCATGTTGGCCATGTTGGTTGGCAGGCGGGGTCATCGGACACATTTTTTAAACTAGATACCCTAATGATCATTGTGGTCAAGTTTGGTTAAATTTGGCCCAGTAGTTTCAGAGGAGAAGATTTTTGTAAAAGTTAACGATGACGGAAGACGACGGGCGCCAAGTGATGAGAAAAGGTCACTTGGCCCTTTGGGACAGGTGAGCTAAAAAATTCTCAAATCCCAAATCAGTTATTAAAAAAATATTGCCATCATATCCTTATTTTTTAAAAGTACTGCAATGATTCAGGTTATAGTTCACTCAATGATTAAGGTTATAGTTCACATCAATGATTGGCTAACTGATACTGACACTAAGGACCAGCTATGTCTTGTTTAAGCTCCTTGTTGATGTCAATGCAACAGCTGTCAAAATCATGAAATCCATAAAATGTAACAAATCTGTTCCTTTGATGTATTTCTACACTTTCCTTAAATGGACGTGCTCAATCTTTTCAAACTTAGAAGGATTTTGCTTGTTTGGGTTCAAAAATTTAGAGAAATATAAGAAATCAGCAAAATGGTATCATTTGATACATAAAGGTACTATTTAAAAGTCTCTTTTTTAGAACTTTTGTCGTAAGGTTCTGTCACATTGATGTTTGCCAAAATTTTCTTTAATAATAAAAGTTAAAAGAATTCAAGATCTGTGTTAATACTTTACCTTATCTTTTTCTGTGGCTCTAACATCTTCTTTCCTGTAATTATTACATCATTAAAAGGTACCAATCAGCAAAGTTATAACTCAAAGCAGTTTATATTGTATTAAGGTAGACATGATTTCATTATCCAAAACTATATGAATTTATTTTTTTTCTTTTTTCTCTGTGTTGCAATTGAAAGCCTAACTGTGTCTTTGAGATAAAACACAGCAATAAAAGTGCGGTTCCTTTGCTTTTTGTGTGTTTTTTGCTGTGCATGTACTGATTTTGTGTCATGGATGGATACCACCATATCCTTTGCTTTTCAATTATAGGATTTGTGACAAAATAAACAAAGTGCTGTTACACAACTTACCCAGGCTATGTGGAGGGTTGAGCACTCACAAAATGTTTAATACCACAACATTCTGCATGTGCCTATCCCAGGTCTAAAACTGTTTTTTAGTGGTTGTCATTAATTCATGTCTGGAATATTTCTTTTTTTGTAAAGTTTTAGAACAAGTCAGGCCACTGATTTTCTGATTTAATTTGTTTCACATTTAGTCATGAAGGGGTTCACTAAATGATTTTTACAGATATATTTTACTGACTTTTACCTTATTTGTCCTCTGAATGGTTCACTAAGACCTATTTTACTGACTTTTTACCATATTTGTCCTCTGAATGGTTCCCTGAGACCTATTTTACTGACTTTTACCTGATTTGTCCTCTGAATGGTTCCCTGAGACCTTTTTTACTGACTTTTACCTGATTTGTCCTCTGAATGGTTCCCTGAGACCTATTTTACTGACTTTTACCTTATTTGTCCTCTGAATGGTTCCCTGAGATCTATTTTACTGACTTTTACCTTATTTGTCCTCTGAATGGTTCCCTGAGACCTATTTTACTGACTTTTACCTGATTTGTCCTCTGAATGGTTCCCTGAGATCTATTTTACTGACTTTTACCTTATTTGTCCTCTGAATGGTTCCCTGAGACCTATTTTACTGACTTTTACCTGATTTGTCCTCTGAATGGTTCCCTGAGACCTATTTTCCCTACACTGAGTATCAAACACTTGCAGAACCTTGGATTTACATTTGTCACCTGTAACGATCAAATATGAGGATCTTTATATCTTGCACAAGGAAAATACACTTGTTTTACAAGTGCACAAGAGATACTAAATAAAACTAATTTTGGATGTGTGTGTGTGTGTGGGGGGGGGGGGGTCAAAAATATTTTCAAATAAACAGACATCAGTTATCTATTTCTTTTTTGATTGCACAATGAAGTTAAATTTAATTTTTTGATAAAACTTCATTTAAAATCTTCGTAGCATATTACAAAATTTACTAAAGTTGAGGTGCAAAGGAAGATAACCAAAGTTTTGCTAAAATTTATTACATGCTATTACAACTATTGTTGATAAGAAATTTGTTTTTTTCTATCTCATGCACTGGAGAAAAGATGTATATTGATGATGTACATGATAGAGACTCAAGTGCCACACAAACATCAAGTTGTTTGTTAGAAAATTTATCTATTATTGTGAACCCAATGATACTTTTCCACAGATTCACCTGCAAGTTACCTGTCGATTTAAACTTTTGTAAGTTCTTTTGTCCCATCTAAAAAATACAATAGCTATTGTTCTCTGTGTAGTTTATTTGATGGGACCTTTAAATTTCTTCCAAGAGAAATCTATCACTCACTGATTAATTTGCCTGAACAAAAAATTGAACTGTCAATAATGAAAATACATGTACAAATACTAAATAAGGACTCAAAAAACTGCATGTTGTGTTGTATTTATTCAATATCAATAATTCATTTTTAATAGTGTCAATATAAACACTGATTCAAAAATTAAAAGTTGATTTCTGAACAAATTTTTTATATTTTCCCTATTAAAATTTGCTTTTTTTTGTGTGTTTGACAAATAAAAACTTGAAAATTATTGTGTTTAAATTAAGGTCTTGATAAATGTATTCTATAACTGAACAACAACAAAAACATGCAAATTCATTGGAACAATACTAAAAATTTTGTCAGAAATAAACTTTTTATAATTAAATCAGTGTTTGTATTGAACAGATTGAAAATATATTATTGATATTGATTAAATGCAGTGTATGCGAGTTTATACAACTATTTCCCCCAAAAAAGAAGATAATTTTTTGGTCAGATAAATTAATCAATGAGTGATAGATTTCTCCTAGAAGAAATTTAAAGGTCCCAGTGAAAAACTACACATAGAACAATAGTTACAATAGCTATTGTATTTATTCAATAGGACAAGAGAACAGACAAAAGTTTAAATACCCTGGTCAAGAGCAGACGACTCTGTGGAAAACTTTCATTTGGTTCGCAATAAAAAGTATACAAAATAATAATGTAGACCAAGTGAATAAAATATTTGTCATAAAAATACTCACTTAAGTGTACATTGTTATAAAATATAATCTAACTGAGCTTTGACCGTTCTTCTATCAATTAGAAACACCTACCCGGGCTGTAACTACAGCATCTACTGACGGTACCGCATTCTGTTCTATATCTCTCTTTACTTCTATTAACACCTTAAAAAGTTAATGTAAGAGTAAAATGAATCTTCTGTCATGTACAGTTTGGTTAATTATTAATTTAAAATCCCTAATAATGACATCAGTTCTGATAATTTTCTTTTAAATTAAAATTATTCTAGGGTTAATGGTGTTCATAATTTGACTAAACAACTAATGTAGATACCCATTATTAATTCTGTGGTGTACACAGTCAACAATAAAACATATAAAACCAAGTCTATGCCTTCCTGGCAAATCATTGAGAAAAAAGTTTAAGCAATACCTTTACAATGCATATATATATTCATCCCTGTTGAGCTGCTTACCAAGTATGATGTCAGTCTGTTCAGTAGTACCAAAACTGTGATAAGTAATATTTGTTTTTTATTTCCTAGTTCTTTGGTCTCTAGTGGACATGGTGGATAATTGTCTCATTGGCAATCATAACACATCTCCTTGTTTTTATTTCACAGATCTTCAGTCACAAAGACTTGGTGAAACTTGGCTTGTTTGGTTAACTCATACTTGCTTAATTATTGTTTTACATTATTATTTCTTTTAAATTAGAGGAGGATATTTTTTTAATAATTCCAACCATACAGTGCTATTTAAATATACCTGACCATCTTCAGTTTTATTTGTTTTGAGATATCCAGCCATACTGGAGTATATAAACCCATTTCTTTGATAAGTACCATTGCCAGCTGTTGTACCATTTTCAATATGACATATTCTTTGACCTGCATAAATATAAACACAAAAAGCATTACTTGCATGATATGTCAGAACTTTTTCTTTAATACAAATATAATTTTTTGTTTACGACCAATTAAATATGTGCAAAAGTTTTAATTAAAGTAATCAAAGCATCATCAGTGCTGTGATCCAGCCATTTTTTAGCTATGGGTGGGCCAACATTTTTTCTGATTTCATTTTTTTAAATAAAATTGGTTCACTGATGAAAAGACTTGACGAGTTGTGTGCATAATTTAAAATCATATTCTCAGGTATCGTGGTGAACAAACAAAACTTGATCACTCTTGCATTAAATTTGGAAAGATATTTGGATTTTTTCCAGTTGATAAAACTAGCTTGTCTCCCTAAATTTACTTGTGGGAATATTTCTATTCTAAAACACAGGTTAGGTATGCAATTTTACTTACTCATCTTTAGATCATTTATTGATTTTTGATAAAACTTACATGACACTGAAAATGAATGGTTTCCAGTAAAATAGACCCTGCTTGCACTTTTTATCTTTCCTTTGCAAAACAATCCTTTTTTTAATCCTCAATGATTCATCTTTGAGACATAATTTACAGAATAATTTTATGTAGTGTAGATTAAAAGTGATTGAATACACAATTATTGAGGTCAATACTTGTGTATTACATTATGTAATACAAGAGATATTAACTGTGGTCAATACAAATTGGCATTAAAGTGGAGGTGGTCCAATTAGTGTAATTGTTTGTAATGTATGACAGTTGTCTATCATACTGTATTATATCAGAACTTAATAGCATTTCAAAAAAAATTCTTCGCTGAGCACAGCCTGATACGACCACAGAGGTCAAACCCTGAACAGTTGGGGCAAGTTTGGACACAATATTCAAGCTTGATACTGTCTGAATTTGGATTGTGATCAAATTTTTGACATATTATAGGTTTCTGACACAAAATAAATGAGGTCAAAGATCTTAAAAATCTATTGCGCAATTGAAAATTTCTTCTTGAAACTTTTCAAAACATTTGAAATTTCAAAAATTTTGAAGAAAAAAATATGAACCCCCAAAATAATTCGGAGAACCCCCCCCCCCCCCCCCCAATCTTTTTGACACCCCCCTTGGAGTAATTACCCCCAAACTCAATCCCAGCCTTCCCTTTGTAGTATGGAACCTTGTAATACAATTTTAGAGAGATCCATACACTTAAACACAAGTTATTGTCAGGAAACTACAAAAATGCTTGTTTTTGGCCCCTCAGTAAATTCCTGCATGTTTGGGGCAATTACCCCCATACTCAATCCCAGCCTTCCTTTTGTGATATGGAACCTTGTGGTACAATTTCAGAGATCCATATACTCACACACAAGTTATTGTCTGGAAACTACAAAAATGCTTGTTTTGGCCCCTTTTTGGCCCCTAATACTTAAACTGTTGGTACCATAACCCCCAAAATCAATCCCAAGCTTCCTTTTGTACTATTGGACCTTCTTGTAAAATTTCATAGAGATCCATTCACTTTAATTAAAGTTATTGTCCAGAAACCAAATGTGTCTTTGGACGATGACTCTGACAACAACATCATAGCAATATACGAACCCAAAAATATGTTTGCGGTTGTATTAAAAGTGTGGGAATCAAATTTGATATCAATGCACATCTTGTACCAAATTTCATTCAATAACTCACACAAGCATGAGATACTGATAAAAATTAAATATTTTCATAATTCTTATCAACTGATTAAATTTGATATATTACTTTTTCTCATCAATTCTTAAACAGTAATTCATTATAAATTTTGATTTAAAAAGGAACTATATGAAAGTGTATATATATCTAGAATAAAGAAACTGTTCGACCAATATTTTCTTAATTTAATGGCAAATGACATGTCAAAAGTTGGCAGTAGATGATTAAAATAGTGTATAAAGTTTCTACAAGTCATAAAAACACATAATTAGTTCATGATATGTCTTCAACTTGGAAGTTTACACCATCTCCAAATCCGGAATGATCATATAGATCCAGCATGGCTGAATCAAAAATTGATATTTTTAGACATGAAGTGGATGACACAATCCTGTACATCTATTGCAAAGATAAAATAAATTCCTATGAAAAACATTGTTACCATAATATCAGACTTTAGACTATATAAATATATAGTAGACAACAAATATAAAGGTGTACAGTTATAGTATTAGTATCTCTATCTAACAATACCCATACTGACATTATGTATATTGATTGATTCATATACTAAGTCAAGTCCCACCTGATAATTTGACAATCAATTAATATTTTGTTTCAAACAGAAAATATAAAATTTCCCCTGACTTTAATAGAATAAAATTATGGTGATGTTCCATGTGGTATGATTGCCAATGAGACAAAACCAAAGGACAAGGATGTGAATAGCTACAGATAAGGTAAAGTAAGATATGAAAGGCTTCAGGAGGCGAATACCAAAGGCCTGATTTATACAATAAACAATATCCCCACAAAAAACAACCACTAGGTTACAGGTTCCATGCTTGCATTATGATACATCAGTTAGACTGGTATAGTCCAGTCCTGCTTCAAATCAGTTGTTTGCTGTCAAACATTTTTTTGTGTTTATTTTGTTAGTTTTCTCATTTGAATTATTTTACATTTTGTCATGTCAGGGCCTTATAAAGCTTACTATGTATAGTATTGGCTTTGCTCATTGTTGTACAGGCAAGGCATATTAAAAGCCATACAATGACCTATAGTTGCTTACCCTTAAGGTTCATTATAGAGGCAGTGGTGTAGCCAGCTGATCGTTTCAATGTAGGCGAGGGGTCTGGGAGCTGCTGAAGCCCCCAGCAGAGGGTCCCCCTGAAGCTGACGAATTTCCAGCATTTAAGTGCTGTTTTGATTAGTCAAAATGATTTTGATTTTTGTAAAACTAGAACCACCGAGTTTATATAAACTAAATAAGAAATTGTGTCCACAGTACACTAATGCCCCGCTCACACTGTCATTTTCAATTTCAGTGAACCGTGAAAATGGGGTCAAAACTATAATTTAGAAAATTAGAAAGACTACATCATAAGGAACATGTGTACTAAGGTTCAAGTTCATGTGACTACAACTTCACCAAAAACTTCAACCTGATTCGGGACGGATGGATTGATGGATAATTTCGAACGGACGGAAACAAGGATAAAAAAAACATTTTCCCTCATAAACTATAGTAGGCGGGGCATAAAATAAAAATAATGTGATTGAAAAACGATTTACTCTTATCTATACATCACAACCAGTACAAAACAAAACACTACTGTCTCATTTTAGTAAAGAGCCATTCTACGATCTTTCAGCCCTGCAATTACCCTAATGACCTCATCTATATCAATTGTGAATGAGCGATGTACATGTATGAAAGCAAGTGATAATAGACGATCATCACCCATTGTCGATCTCAAATAGTTCTTCTTCATTGCACTAAAAGAACATCCTGCAGTTGCAGATGATGCAGGCATTGTGATAAGAATTGTTGTATATAAATAGCTATCTTTTTTCATTGCTATTTTATAATAGTCTTTTAAGGTTTCGGGTTGGTGCCTAAATCAAATGTTTGATTACCCCATTTCGGTACATTTAAAAACTCATGTATTTTTTGTTTCTGATCATGCACAGTCAAATTAGAGTTTATAATCGAAAAGAAATTATTTCCAGATATTGTGACCAGGGAGGCCAGGAGTAACTTTTGCCATTTAGGTGGGTACCGATGTGCAGCCCAAAAAGGGGTCTACTTTTTATAGTTGCTTATATATGAAAGGGGTAGGAATTTATGAAATTTTAATATGTTAGGGTCTTACTTTCACAAATGACCTATATCAATAGGCTGCATGTTTTGACAACAGAACTCAGAAGGAGGTCTTAAAAAACAAGGACTCAAATCCAGTATTTGACTTAGATGGTTTTTCCTTGTATTAATTTGTAGACTGATTCGCTTTATTCAATTTTCAATTGGCATTGTATAAAATGTACCTATAGAAATGTTACATAAAACATTTAATGAAATAGAAATATATGAATGGGTGTCCTTTTTTCATTTGTAAAATATATATATGAATGGGGTGGGTAAAAAATTTCTGGGATGCACACCCGTACATTTATACATGCATATTAAGTTACCCCTGTGATGGTGATAGGAGTTGGCAAATCAGGGAATTAAGAACTTGATATAGGAGAGGAACTATTGATGAAGATGAAGAACAGCAATACAAGCGCTGTTCCTTTGCTTTTTGAGTGTTTTTTTATGTACATGTACTGACTTTGTGACATGGATGGATACCCCATATCCTTTATCGTTAATATTATTTTAACAAATATTTTACTGTCATTCATCATGTGGGGTACCCCATTCCTACCCTCATCATAACTAGCTATTGCCAAATATTCTTTTTTTCATATTAGCATGGGTTTGATCATGTATTTAAAGGACAATTTTGTGAGAAACCATTACTACAAACTTTATCGAGAGTATCAAAAACTACGTAAGTTTAAATATAGACAGCATAGGCAGTCAATATTGACCCAGTTGGAATCTCTTCATGAGAATAATCCAAAGCTTTATTGGAATCTTGTTAATGACTTGAGAGACATGAGAGAAAAAGACCATAAAAGTTCTGCCGTTGATCCATCCACCTGGGTAAATCACTTCAAAAATTTAAATGAAGTAAACGACAATTTCAAACAAAGCCTTAGCGAACTTAATAAATTACTAGATAGTCTACAAAAAGAAAAAATCTTTAATGAACTTGACATGCTAATTAGTCAAAAAGAAATTTCTAAAGCTATATCAAAACTAAAATATAACAAGTCGCCAAGACTAGATCATTTATCTAATAACATGCTTAAATGTGGGCAAACTGCTCTTATTCCTTGTATTCATAAGCTATTTAATGCTTGTCTGTCAAGTGGTAATTATCCCTGTGCTTGGGCTCTTGGATATATTACACTAGTACATAAATCTAACGATATATCTGATCCAAATAATTACAGGGGTATTGCAGTAACTAGTGCCATAGGAAAATTATTCAACAGTGTGTTAAATAATAGGCTTGATGTATTTATGGATAAACACAATATCATACATGAGTGTCAGATAGGTTTTACAAGAAAGGCTAGAACTTGTGATCATTTATTTATTTTGAAATGTATTATAGATGAATATTGTAATTCAAAAGACGGTAGGGTGTATGCCTGCTTTGTTGATTTTCAAAAGGCTTTTGACACAGTTATTCACACCGGATTGAAAATTAAGCTTTTGAAAATTGGTGTAGGCACATTATTTTACAATATCATTAAGCAAATGTATGAGGTAAGCAAATCCTGCATTCGAATTAAGAACAGCATTACTGATTTCTTCCCTATACAGCTTGGAGTTAAACAGGGAGATAATCTAAGTCCTAACCTGTTTAAGGTTTTCATCAATGACCTTCCCAACTATTTGGAAAAATCTCTAGACCCTGTAAATATAAATGGGCGATCTATCCATTGTCTGATGTATGTCGATGATATCATTTTACTATCTACTACAGCTACTGGTCTTCAATCAAAACTTGATATTATGGGAAAATATTGTCAAGATTGGTGTCTTACTCTCAACCCAAATAAAACAAAAATTGTGATTTTCAACAAGGCAGGCAGACATATCCGCCTCAAATTTAAATACAAAGAATATGATATAGAATGTATACAACATTGTAAATATCTAGGTGTGTATTTTAGTGCTTCAGGTACATTCTCCTATGCTCAGAATGAATTATACAAGAAAGCTTTAAAAGCATATTTTAAACTTAGAAAAGATTTATTATCTCTAAATCCTAGCTTAAAAACTAGTATACATGTTTTTGATCATACTATTAAGCCTATTCTTCTTTATGGAAGTGAAATTTGGAGCTCATTTAATCCCTTTATAGCAAAATTTAGATCTGGAAACCAGTTAACATTAGATAAAGTTTATTCGAATTTAACTTGTGAAAAGCTACACAGTAAATTTTGTAAATTTATTCTGGGTGTGCACAAAAAAACCACAAATTTTGCAGCCTTATCTGAACTTGGTCGGTTTCCACTGTACTTTGACTTAGTCAAATCTATTTTGAATTATTGGCTTTAGACTAGAAAATTTAGACTCATTTCCTTTATTACAAGATGCGTACCAGCATTCAAAAGCCTTTATTTTTTCAGCATAAATCATCATGGTATGGCTCTCTCCAACAAATTTTAAAAACTCTTCCTGGATTTGCAAACCTAAATGATGGGGAAAATATTTCAAAAAATACCATCAGGAAAATATTGAAAGAGACATGCATAAAAATTTGGAAGGATCAACTGACCAAGAATTCAGAAGGGAAGCTCCGCACTTATGTAAAATTTAAGAATAATTATGGTTTTCGAAAAATATCTAAATATCATGTCCAATTTTGAACTTAGGAGATCATTAATAAAATTAAGGGTGTCATCTCACCATTTGCAGATTGAAATAGGACGATACTAGGGTACTCCTCCACACCTTAGACTATGTCAGCAGTGTAACAACTCTGGTATTATTGAAGATGAAGTTCATTTTCTCTTTTATTGCACAAAATATAACGAAGACAGACACCATTTATATCACATTATTTCGGAATCATGTCACAATTTCATTAACTTGAATTCCCAAGAGAAATTGCTATGGCTGTTGTCTTGTGAGAACTTAACTGTATTAAACATGTTAAAAGAGTTGTGTATATTCCTGGTTAAACACTGCAAATAGCAGATTTATATGACATATTTCGCATAATTACCAATTGCTGTTATTTAAAAAAAAATTATTATTTGTTAATTGACCGGATTCAGTTTCTCTATTTATTTTGTTCATCTGCTTCTGACACGGGGAGGATTGCTGTTATTGCCTATCGCAATCAACAGTATATCCTAGAGCACTGTCCCTTGGTGTCTCCTGCAGATGAACAAATTTCCATCTTTATAGATAATAATTTAAGGTTGTTCAAACTTTATTATTAATACTTTTTTTTTTTTTTTTTTTACACTGCTGAACATAATTAGGAAGGAAGGAAAAAAAATACTCAAGAGTACTTTTAATGTATTTTTGTTATTAATGCTATTTTCATTGTCTATTATAATATCTGTCACGTTATATACTGTACAATGTCTCATGTCTGTTGCTTATACTATCATAATTGTTAATTGTAAATGCCCCCTGTGGGACCATGATTGGAATAATAAATATTTGATTTGATTTGATTTTGTACATGTGGGTATCTTCATTAAGGTATAGACAATAGAAAATAGACGATATTTATTAGCACAAACATATATCAATAAATGAATATATAAATTGATGATAAAAATGTTGTTACACCTGAGAAAAATTATTTTCGGAATTTTCCGGAGACGACTTAAAATTTAGAATTTGTGAGTGTACCCTTTAAAGATTTGATTTGTTCTGCTTTTTAAAGCAGATAAAATGATATGTATTAACTGAACAGGAATTTTCAAAATGCTTTTGTGGGTAAATGGTTAAACTTTACAGTTATATATGTCAGGAATCACTTGAATTTTGTATTGTTTACCTGGAACACAAATCCTGGGCGCAGACATATTGGATTATTCTATTTCATGGGAGTGTATGTACTAGGTGAATGCGGGTTTTTGTCATTTTTGCATAGTTCAAAATGAACAATTTGATTTTGTTTGTAAATCATTTCTTTGTTTGCTTCTTCAAAAAAAGTATTTGAAAATATATGACCCCAAGCACAGGAAAAAAAAATAGACATATTTATATAAACATTTTATTTCTGACACAAATATCCCTATTTAAAATTAAGATGGTCCATAGCATATCCTGTTAAGTGATATTATGATTTTGCTTAGGATTGAAATATATCCCTTCTGTATTATAAGTCGTAATGGCAGAATCTTTTGATCTTGCAAGGGTAAACCTTAGTTAGGGCTTTTTGAATAGCAAACAGTATAGAGGACAACTATTTTTTTTTTATAAATAATATGAATTGAAAATAAGAAGATAATTTGGTATAATTGTCAATGAGACATTTACTCTCCACAGGAGTCCAAATGAGTAGAAGTTAACAACTATAGGTCACCGTACGGCCTTCAATAGTGAGTTAAACCCATACTGCATAGTAAGCTATAAAAGGCCAAGAAATGACAAATGTAAAACAATTCAAACGAAAAGACTAATGGCCTGATTTATGTACAAAACAATAAGCGAAAAACAAATATAATGCTGTAAATTCAGAAATTATTGCGTGCATTTATTATTGCCATATTAAAAAAAATGGACAAAAATTCGAGATTAATTATTGTGATTTTCGGAAAATCTTCATACATACAGATATATGTATCAGATATCAAAATGCAAGTTTTTATTATTGCAATACTCAACCATTCGCAATATTCGTATTAATAAAAACCTTGCAATAATTTCTGAATTTACAGTATCCAGCAACAAATGATAACCACTGAATTACAGGCTTTTGACTTGGAAGAGGCACATACAGAATGTGGTGGGGTTAAACATGTTTGCTGGTGCAAAACCCTCCCCCTTACCTGTACAAAGTACAAAATAAGAACAAACTATAAAAGTCAGTTGAAAAGGGCTTAACTCATACGATCTATACAAAGCAGAAAAACAACCAACAAAAACACAGACCTGATGTGGTAGGGTATTTAAACATTCCCAACAACAGCAAAAGACCCCAAGTACAGATCTGAGAGCACTCACAGTTACTGGTAGCTAGTTGAGCAGGATTACCTGTGAAAGAGGACTAAGTCCATTTGTAAACAACTATTTGAATACTGATTTTTTTATACGACTGCACAAAATTTTTGCGATCATATATTGGTATGACGTTGGCGTCGTCCTCGTCCGAATACACATTGGTTTTCGCACAATAACTTTAGTTTAGGTGAATGGATCTCTATGAAATTTTACCATAACGTTCAATACCACAAAAGGAAGGTTGGGATTGATTTTGGGGGTTATGGTACCAACAGTTAAGGAATAAGGGGCCAAAAAAGGGACCAAATAAGCATTTTTCTAGTTTCCAGACACTAACTTGTGGAACGGTGTATGAATCTCTCTGAAATTATACCACCAGTTTCCATACCACAAAGGGATGGTTAGGATTGACTTTGGGGGTTATGGCTTAAACCGTTTAGGAATTAGGGGCAAAAAAGGGGGGAAAACAAGGGTTTCCTGGTTAATGGACAATTTAAAAGCAGTGTAAGGGACGTAATCCAAATACATTTATTTAAAGTATTAAAAAAAATTTTGGATTACCTCCCTTACATTGCTGTTAAATTATGTATACAGCTGTTGTATTGTCTTGAGGTGATTAGCTGTCAATTAATTTTTAGAAGTTACTATTAAAGGAATATTAATTTTAGCCATGATTATGTATGTCATTTTCTATTTTAAGACTTTTATAATGTATTTAAATTGGTAATTATGGTTGCAAACTCCATTGGAAATTTGAATTGAGATTATGACCATATCTTGAGGGAAAGAATTTTTTTTGGAAAAAAGGGGGGGGGGGGGGGCAGGTGAAAAAAAAAATTGTGGAGGGGGGGGGGTAAAAAAGAAATTTGGTTGGGGGGGGGGGGGGGGGGGGTAATTTTCAGATTTCAGAAATTAAAAAGAAAATTTCTTCAAATATTTTTTTTGCAAAATAAAGGGGGGGGGGGGGGGGTCAATACACAACAGCATGGTGTATTGCACAATAGCAAAAAATTGAATATAAATTCAAATCATATAACCAATTCTAAGTTCTTTGACTTGTTACTCTGTGTCAGAAACCTATTATGTGTCAAATATTTAATTACAATCCAAATTCAGACCTGTATCAAGCGCGAATATTTGTGTCCATTTTTGCCCCAACTGTTCAGGGTTGGTCCTCTGCGGTCGTATCCAGCTGCACTTTGCGAAGCATTTTATTCAAAATTAAAACTACACGGAAATGATTTTGAATCTTATTACTAAGGCCACCATTTCTTTATTCATTTGAAAAAGTATGACATTTAAAACAAAACAAAAATCATGATGATTTAAAACAACCAATTTAGGCAATTAGTTTTGAGATAACTTACACAATTGATTTCACGACTGGGGCAGAACAATAAACAAGTTTTTTACAAATTGCAAAAAAAAAAAGAGACAGAAGATACCAACGGGATATTCACACTATAAGTGGAAGACAAACTGACAACACCATTGCAAAAAACGATAAACAACATTCTACAAAGTACAATATAGACTAAGCAACATGAATATTCCAATAAAATGCTCCGCTGGGTGCAGCTTGATACGACCGCAGAGGTCGAACCCTGAACAGTTGGGGCAAGTATGGACACAACATTCAAGCTTGATACAGCTTTGAATTTGGATTGTGATTAAATATTTGACACAGCATAGGTTTCTGACACAGAATGATTGTGGTCTAAGAACTTAAAATTTTTTAATTTACCTATTATGGTCCAATATCCAAAATCTAAATACATGGTTAGATTCAGCATATCAAAGAATCCAAAGAATTCAATTTTTGATGAAATCAAACAAAGTTTAATTTTGACCCTTTTGACCTCAATGTGGACCAATTTGATAACGGGGCCCAAAAATCAAAATACATGGTTAGATTCAGCATATCAAAGAACCCCATATATTCAATTTTTGTTGAAATCAAACAAAGTTTAATTTTGGACCCCAACTTGGACCAACTTGAAAACTGGACCCATAATCAAAAATCTAAACACATGTTTAGATTCAGCATATTGAAGAACCCCAAGAATTCAATTTTTGTTAAAATCAAACTAAGTTAAATTTTGGACCCTTTGGACCTTAATGTAGACAAATTTAAAAAACGGGACCCAAAATTAAAAATCTAAATACACGGTTAGATTTGGCATATCAAAGAACCCCAATAATTCAATTTTTGATGAAATAAAACAAAGTTTAATTTTGGACCCTTTTGACCTCAATATGAACCAATTTGATAGCGGGGCCCACAAATAAAAAATCTAAATACATGGTTAGATTTAACATATCAAAAAAACCCCATATATTAAATTTTTGTTGAAATCAAACAAAGTTTAATTTTGGACCCCAATTTGGACCAACTTGAAAACTGGGCCCACATCAAAAATCTAAATACATGTTTAGATTCAGCATATCAAAGAACCCCATATATTCAATTTTTGTTAAAATCAAACTAAGTTTAATTTTGGACCCTTTGGATCTTAATGTAGACCAATTTGAAAACTGGACCCAAAATTAAAAATCTAAGTACACGGTTAGATTTGGCATATCAAAGAACCCCAATAATTCAATTTTTGATGAAATAAAACAAAGTTTAATTTTGGACCCTTTTGACCTTAATATGAACCAATTTGATAGCAGGGCCCACAAATAAAAAATCTAAATACATGGTTAGATTCAGCATATCAAAGAACCCCAAGAATTCAATTTTTGTTTAAATCAAACAAAGTTTAATTTTGGACCCCAATTTGGACCAACTTGAAAACTGGGCCCAAAATCAAAAATCTAAATACATGTTTAGATTCAGCATATCAAAGAACCCCATATATTCAATTTTTGTTAAAATCAAACTTAGTTTAATTTTAGACCCTTTGGACCTCAATGTGGACCAATTTGATAACGGAGCCCAAAAATCAAAATACATGGTTAGATTCAGCATATCAAAGAACCCCATATATTCAATTTTTGTTCAAATCAAACAAAGTTTAATTTTGGACCCCAACTTGGACCAACTTGAAAACTGGACCCATAATTAAAAATCTAAACACATGTTTAGATTCAGCATATCAAAAAACCCCAAGAATTCAATTTTTGTTGAAATCAAACAAAGTTTAATTTTGGACCCCAACTTGGACCAACTTGAAAACTGGACCCATAATCAAAAATCTAAACACATGTTTAGATTCAGCATATCAAAGAACCCCAAGAATTCAATTTTTGTTAAAATCAAACTAAGTTTAATTTTGGAGCCTTTGGTCCTTAATGTAGACCAATTTAAAAAACGGGACCCAAAATTAAAAATCTAAATACACGGTTAGATTTGGCATATCAAAGAACCCCAATAATTCAATTTTTGATGAAATAAAACAAAGTTTAATTTTGGACCCTTTTGACCTCAATATGAACAAATTTGATAGTGGGGCCCATAAATAAAAAATCTAAATACATGGTTAGATTCAGCATATCAAAGAACCCCATATATTCAATTTTTGTTGCAATCAAACAAAGTTTAATTTTGGACCCCAATTTGGACCAACTTGAAAACTGGGCCCAAAATCAAAAATCTAAATACATGTTTGGATTCAGCATATCAAAGAACCCCATATATTCAATTTTTGTTAAAATCAAACTAAGTTTAATTTTGGACCCTTTGGACCTTAATGTAGACCAATTTGAAAACTGGACCCAAAATTAAAAATCTAAATACACGGTCAGATTTGGCATAACAAATAAATAAATGTGGTCAAAGATTTTACAAATCTAATGCGCCATACTGTGCAATTAAAGATTACTTCTTGAAATTTTTCAATATTTGAAATATGAAAAAAAAAAATATTTGAAGAATAATTCTTTTTAATTTCTGAAATCTGAAATGAGAAAAAATTTACCCCCCACAATTTCTTTTTACCCCCCCCCCCCCCCTCAATTCTTTCCCTCAAGATATGGTCATAATCTCAATTCAAATTTCCAATGGAATTTGCAACCATAAGTACCCATTTAAATTTACCATATTTATTTTATAATAGAATTTAAAATATGGTGTCAAATCTTTCATATGGATTTTTTTGTAAAAAAAAAAAAGATGCAACATTTGCAGATATTTTTACTGGTCTTCCTTTATAAATATGCATTTCTTTAAACATAATTTAAAAGCAGTGTAAGGGAAGTAATCAAAGTGTTGTATGTGGATTACCTCCCTTACACTGTTTTAAATTGTCTAAATTGTTCATTAACCATTACTTTATACATAGTTTAAAAGCAGTGTAAGGGAGGTAATTCAAATGATGTATTTGATTTATCTCCCTTACACTGCTTTAAATTATGTTTTGTACTAAAGTATTTGTCCATATAAAAATGCTTGTTTTTTGCCCCTTTTATGGCCCCTAATTCCTAAAATTTTGAGGCAATTACCCCAAAAATCAATCCCAGCATTCCCTTTGTGATATGGAACCTTGTGGTACAATGTCAGAGAGATCCATACACTAACACACAAGTTATGTCTGGAAGTTACAAAAATGCTTATTTTTGGCCCCTTTTTGGCCCCTAATTCCTTAACTGTGGGTACCATAACCCCCAAAATCAATCCCCACCTTCCTTTTGTGGTATTGAACCTTATGTTAAAATTTCATAGAGATCCATTCACTTAAACTAAAGTTAGAGTGCGAAAACCGGTGTGTCTTCGGACGCCGACGCCGGACGACCACAACGACAACGACGACAACGACACCAACGTCATACCAATATATGATTGCAAAAATTTTTTTGCGGTCGTATAAAAACCGAGGATGATCTCAGGTGCTAAGGAAGGGTAAGCAGATCCTTCTCCACATGTGGCACCAATCATGATGCTTATGTAAGTACAAATTTAAAGTTAAGTCTCATTCTTTGATGTCACTTTTGAGGAAAAATTGTTATATTCTAGAATAACTAATTTTTTCTTATTTTTACTATTGTAGATACACCAAGGAGGTGGTCTTGATTCAGAATTTGAATATGACTCAGAAGCAGACAGGAAAAGGTAACTATTGTCTAGTTTTCAGTTTCCCTGTTTTTAACTGGGTGATGACATGTTAATATCATTATGTAATGAATGGTGTTTGTCTTGACTTCAAAGATGAGATGTTATTAGCTTATTACGAGATTTTTAACCAATTTAAAATTATAAAATTAGTGTTGGAAAAAATGGCATTCAGTGAGCAGTCAGGGACAGATTTTATTTTATTTTTAGAGAGAAGAGGAATGATTTGGTGCCATCAAAAAAGAAAACATCAGAAAAAATAACAAACAAAAGACATGTTGAAGAAGAATACAGCAAGTATGTTGAAAGAATTAATTAAAGGAATCCAAAGAGTAACAAAAAAAATAAAAAACGGAAAACAATGAATTTTTCAGGAGCATAGAATGAATGCTGGTTCATTATCTTACAAGTTACTTAGTGCATATTTCCATAATCAGCCTACAGAAATTTTAAGATGGTCTCAAAGCAAAAGTCTCTCGGTAGAATATTTCCATAACCAGCTTACAGCAATTTCAAGATGGTCTCAAAGCAAGTTACAATTTCTACAGAAAAGCTGCTTTCCTTTTTTAAAGATTTAGTACAAAAATGAAATAATAATAAAAAATCATTGGAACTAATATCTTAGTTTCTGGCTGGTAAGTTGTTTAAGATTGAAAAAAAAAAATAGTTAACAACAAATGATTATTTCCCTGAAAATTAAATATAGAGATTTATTCACAATGATAATAATAGCATCATGAAATTATAACTTTTAGAATTTATCTGTTTTACGGGATCACCAATAAACATTTTTTGGTGTCTTAAAATTTGTATTTACAAAATTTCCAAAAAATTAAAGAATAAAAATTTTCTCTCAAGATTGAAGAACTTTATGTGAAATTTGAGATTGGATTTAGATATATGTGCAGATATGATATTCATCAATAAAAAAAAAAATGTTACATCAGTATCTTCATTTTATTTGATTTCAGAGAAGAATGGAAAAACCAAAGATTTCATGTTCTCAGTATGGATGCTGTATCCTTTTTATGTTGATATAGATTGAGGTTAGAAAATTTTTAAAGAAATGTTTGCAGACAACGGATGCAAAGTTATGACATAGCATAGTAAGTAGATTAAAATAGATGGATGAGGAATTGACAAAGGAAGAGTGTTGAGAATCATAGGAAAACTGTTTTGAAATAACATATAAAATATAACATAAATGTTTTTTAATTTTTTTTTCTTGAAATTCCAAATATTTATATTTTAATGTAGATAAAGTTTTGTATATGCAGGAACAATATATACTTTCCTTGACATTGAATCAGTTTGCACGTCATAAGAAGTTTATTAATGACTACATACTTTACTACAGTGGATCAAAGGCAGATTTTAAAAGAGACAGGTAAACATTAATTGTCTTCAAATTCTTTATTTTGCTAACAGATTAAAAAAATTAATAATACAAAAGTAGCTATCTCCTTACTAAAGGAGGTGAGACAACTCTAGTTATTCTTGAACACTTCAAATCTGTCCATTATAATAAAGCCTTATATATCTATATAACAAAAAATATAGTATATAATGATCTAGGCATATTTTATGTAATTTGAGTACTAATTATTTCTGAACAAGTTTTGTGATTGGTGCTACAATGGTGAATGTTCTTGCAATTTTAACTTCAATTTGAACTTTGTCATAACTCATCTTAATCCACGAATTACATTTTTAAACATAACATTGTATGTAATTAGATAAAATTTCCAATAACATTTTGATTTAAACAGTGGTTACATCTTAACTGACTTAAGTATGGTATTTTTCCTTTATCTTACATCTGTACAATTTTTTCTTTGAGTTTTGATTTAATGTCAAATTATCTAGAAGGAACAATAAATATATTTCTAGTTCAAAAGATAAAAGAGACATAGATGTAATCAAAGAGCATCACAGATTTCTATGGAATGAAGAAGATGATCCTGATGAAACCTGGTATTTAACATTTACTCTTGTATTCATATTGATCATTCTGGTAAATATTACTTAATGTTGGTCATTACTCTGATATGACAAGTCAGATGCATATATAGAAATCAACCTTAAACTACCAATTATATGCTGGTTCTGAAGTTTACCAGGATTTTGCTATCATTTTTATGCTGAAATCCAGGTTTTTTTAGCTGTCATTTGGTAAATTATCTTTTAAATTATTAGTATTTACTAAAACCTTCCCAAAGTATGATATTCCTCATCATTGACTCATTCTGTATGTGATTGAACAATACCTGTCTGACATCTTTAAAGGAGCATTAGCTACAAGATATAAAAAAAAAAGAATTAAAATATGATTTTTTTTTTTGTTTAATCATTAATGAAAGTGAAATAGTGAAATAATATTTCACATTTAGCAGCAAGTTTGGTTCAATTTTGTCAAAATAAGCTAAGAAACATCACTGGTGAATTATTCACATGCAAGTGAATAATTCGACCTCATTGAATCTGTATTCATGTGACCTTCTCTAGAGATGGGTTACGCATGAACTAGGCATGTTCAGCTATTAAAAGGAAAAAAATGTCAACATTAAAAGTGAAACAAGGGTAAACTATTTGGTCTACTGATTCGATCCACAAAAACTCATTCTTATACAGGTAAACATGATGATTAACATATTTGTTTAACCTAAAATATGAAATCAAACAGACCTAGAAAAATCTAATTGCATGTGTTCGCTATCTTTTTATACGATCGCAAAAAATTTTTTGCTTCGTATAATGCTATGGTGTCGTCAGCGTTGTCCAAAGACACATTTGGTTTCCGGACAATAACTTTAGTTTAAGTGTATGGATCTCTAAGAAATTTTACCAGAAGGTTCAATACCACAAAAAGAAGATTGGGATTGATTTTGGGGGTTATGGTACCAACAGTTTAGGAATTAGGGGCCAAAAACAAGCATTTTTGTAGTTTCCAGACAGTAACTTGTGTTTAAGTGTATGGATCTCTCAGAAATTGTACAACAAGGTTCCATATCACAAAGGGAAGGCTGGCATTAAGTTTGGGGGTAATTGCCCCAACGGTTCAGGAATTAGGGGCAAAAACCAAGCATTTTTCTAATTTCCAGACAGTAACTTGTGTTTAAGTGTATGGATCTCTCTAAAATTGTACTACAAGGTTCCATACAACAAAGGGAAGGCTGGGATTAATTTGGGGGTAATTACTCCAAAGGGGAGGGGGTTCAAAAAGTTTGTGGGATTTTTTTTTTTCCAATTTTTTTTGGGGGTTCATATTTTTTTTCTTCAAAATTTTTGAAATTTCAAATGATTGCACAGTATTGTGCAAAAGCAAGAAATCTTCAATTGCACAGTATTGCGCAATAGCACAGTATTGTTCAATACCACAGTATTGGGCAATAGCAAGAAATCTTCAATTGCACAGTATTGGGCAATAGCAAGATATCTTCAATTGCACAGTATTGCGCAATAGCAAGAAATCTTCAATTGCACAGTATTGGGCAATAGCAAGAAATCTCCAACTGCACAGTATTGGGCAATAGCAAGAAATCTTCAATTGCACAGTATTGCTCAATAGCAAGAAATCTTCAATTGCACAGTATTGTGCAATAGCACAGTATTGCACAATAGTAAGAAATCTTCAATTGCACAGTAATGTGAAATACTGTGCAATAGCAAGAAATCATCAATTGCACTGTATTGTGCAATAGCAAGAAATCTTCAATTGCACAGTATTGCGCAATAGCAAGAAATCTTCAGTTGCACAGTATTGCGCAATAGCAAGAAATCTCCAATTGCACAGTATTGCCCAATAGCAAGAAATCTTCAATTGCACAGTATTGCGCAATAGCAAGAAATCTTCAATTGGCCAATATTGCGCAATTTGAATTGGTCTACATTGAGGTCAAAAGGGTCCAAAATTAAACTGTTTGATTTCATCAAAAACTGAATTATTGCGGCTGTATGATATGCTGAATTTTATTGTGCATTTAGATTTTTATACGACCGCAAAAAATTTTTCGGTCGTATATTGGTATGACGTTGGCGTCGTTGTCGTCGTCGTCCGAAGACACATTAGTTTTTGCACTCTAACTTTAGTTTAAGTGAATTCATCTCTATGAAATTTTACCATAAGGTTCAATACCACAAAAGGAAGGTTGGGATTGATTTTGGGGGTTATAGTACCAACAGTTAAGGAATTAGGGGCCAAAAATAAGCATTTTTGTAACTTCCAGACATAACTTGTGTATTAGTGTATGGATCTCTCTGACATTGTACCACAAAGTTCCATATCACAAAGGGAATGCTGGGATTGATTTTTGGGGTAATTGCCTCAAAATTTTAGGAAATAGGGGCCAAAAAGGGGCAAAAAACAAGTATTTTTCTAGTTTTATGACAATAACTAGTGTGTAAGTGTATGGATCTTTATGAAATTGTACTACAAGGTTCCATATCACAAAGGGAAAGCTGGAATTGAGTTTGGGGGTAATTGCCCAAAACGTTTAGGAATAAGGGGCCAAAAATAAGCATTTTTCTAGTTTCTAGACAATAACTTGTGTTCAATTGTATGGATCTCTCTAAAACTGTACTGCAAGGTATCATACCACAAAGGGAAGGCTGGGATTGATTTTGGGGGTAATTGCCTCAAAATTTTAGGAATTAGGGGCCAAAAAGGGGCAAAAAACAAGCATTTTTATACAACCGTTCTAGTTTCAGGACAATAACTTGTTTGTAAGTGTATGGATCTCTCTGAAATTGTACTACAAGGTTCCATATCACAAAGGGATAGCTGGGATTGATTTTGGGGGTAATTGCCTCAAAATTGTAGGAATTAGGGGCCAAAAAGGGGCAAAAAACAAGCATTTTTATACAACCGTTCTAGTTTCAGGACAATAACTTGTTTGTAAGTGTATGGATCTCTCTGAAATTGTACTACGTGGTTCCATATCACAAAGGGAAAGCTGGGTTTGAGTTTGGGGATAATTGCCCTTAACGTTTAGGAATTTGGGGCCAAAAAGGGGCCTAAAAACAAACATTTTTCTAGTTTCCAGACAATAACTTGTGTTCAAGTGTATGGACCTCTCTGAAATTGTACTGCAAGGTACCATACCACAAAGGGAAGGCTGGGATTGAGTTTGGGGATGATGAATCATAAGGGGGTTCAAAAAATTTGGGGGAGGGATATTTTTTTCCTTTTTTTCCTTTTTTTTTCTTTAAAATTTTCCATTTTAAATTGGTTATTTCTGTTTTATATATAAAAGCAAATAATAATGATATGGTTTGAATAGGTAAATTAAAATTTTTTAAGTTCTTAGACCACATTCATTCTGTGTCAGAAACTTATGCTGTGTCAAATATTTAATCACAATCCAAATTCAGTGCTGTATCAAGCTTGAATGTTGTGTCCATACTTGCCCCAACTGTTCAGGGTTCGACCTCTGTGGTTGTATCAAGCTGGGCCCAGTGGAGCATTTTATTTAATTTGGGCCCTGTTTTCAAATTAGTCCATATTAAGGTTTGAAGGGTCTAAAATTAAACTTTGTTTGATTTCAACTAAAATGAAATTTTTGGTGTTTTTTTATATGCTGAATCTAACCATGTTGTTAGATTTTGGATATCAGACCATTCTAGGTAAATTAAATGTCCCATTTCAAATTTTTAAGATCTTTGACCACATTTATTTTGTGTCAGAAACCTATATATGTCAAAAATTTGATCACAATCCAAATTCAGACAGTATCAAGATTGAATATTGTGTCCAAACTTGCCCCAACTGTTCAGGGTTAGACCTCTGCATTCATACCTGGCTTCGCTCAGCGAAGCATTTTATTATATCTATATTTATGTTTATATCGGGTTTATATGACCGTCAGCAGTCTTCGTAGGTCACCTTGATGGTTTATTAGATAGCGTCTAGACTAAAATACACAAGAAATGCGGATACATATTATTGAGTCCATGCATTGTTAATTGTTCATTTTTTTACTTTTTGTAAGTTAGATATACATTTCAGAAGGTTATGAATCAAAATCAAATTGGTGAACATGAATTTGACAGCTAATGCCCCTTTATAACAATACATTAATTGAGTTTATACTGAAAGGTCTATATGACACACAGATGCAATTTTATTTTTTGTATCACCAGGGAGAAGAGGCTTGCGAAGAAGTATTATGACAAACTGTTTAAGGAGTATTGTATTACAGATCTCAGCAGGTACAAGGAAAACAAGGTGATGTTATCAAAATCAAATATCCTATATGTTACCTCTCTGTATGTTTTGATGTTAGAATTTGTAGTACCAGCCTGTTTACCTGTATGAGATTGGTAAATTTTATGCAGGGGAATACTTTCTGGTGACATAATTTAAACATGGTACAAAAAATGTATTTAGGCTGGTAATTTTATGCCTGTAAACCATGTTTAAAACAATTTCAAATTCAAAATTAACTGTTGTCTTTTGATGCTTGCTGGAATCTGACAGTCCATCTGTTAGTCTACCAATGATTTTGTTGTGTTTAATTTGGCTCAAAATATGCATATCTATTTTTCATTGGAAATTATTGCTTTATACTGAGATTTTTTGTATATCAAGCTCATCCAAAATTATTCTCTTTTGAACTTAAAGGGAAAATTCGCGATTTTTTACTTATCATCTTATTATGTTCATAATACCATTAAAAACATATTCACCAAGTTTTATCTGGATATGAAAACTAATAAAGAAGAAAATTGGGAATTATTAATTCTATTTATTCAAACTTCCTGACTTATGTGACGTAGTTTAAGTCTTTTTGCATGCCGGGAGTGGATTAATCTCATTTCAAGTCTTGTTCGTTAATCATCTAATAACGCGATTTAAAGCGCATCAACGACTTTTGGTGTAGCTATTAACCAACTAACAATTCAGAAAGAAAAGTGATCAGCCGTGCATTTTTTTAAATTAAAATTTACGATTTATATTTTAAGGATTTCTGATATGATTATAGTAATAAAAGCAAATCATACAATCGAATTTTTTTATGATTTTTTTTTCGACGGATATGTTGAACAACATATATAACTGATAGTATAATAGAAATTCACGTTTGTATTCTCCCCTATTACTTCAGTCGAGGATTTGTCTTACTATACAAATCCTTGCTTCAGTCTAGTACTGTGTAAATACAATGCATGTGTATTATGCTGACACCACCTGGTAAAGGCGTGGTTAAATTCACGGTAATTAAAAGATTAGCATTATGTAATTTTAATCCTTTGATCTTCACTAGAGTGGTGTTTGTCCTCAAGGGTTCACCGTTGCAGGTATGAGACAGATTTTTTTTAATTATTAAGGGAGGAATATGGTGGCAAAATACCTTAATCGCCGTTATATATAATTTTTTTTAACATTTTGCATTTGCTCAGTTTTTAAATAAATAGGTGAGTATTTTGTTGTAACATCGAAATTCTGAATCACTTTCAATAAAATAATTATATAAATATTATAAATGGCCCACGAAAACGAGCGTATAAATCAAAACAGTACTATTTTAAATTATCATCGGTAACCTTGAATATTTAAATGTGCAGAGAAAATTATCAGTTACGAAAATATAGTTTTGTCGTCCAAAGCGATCTTCATTTACCTAATCAGGAATGCCCTTATTAAAATATTATAAATCTCACAACGTATTTATATAATTCTTAAGCTATTTGACCAACGATGTTTAAAAAAATTAACAGAATCAATCTAACGTCAACTTTCCTTTTTTAAATGGAGACAGAACGGCGAAATCAGTTTTCAATGTGCTTGATATCTTGTACCTTTGTAAGACTTATCATTCATTCATAAACCCACTCTAAACCAGAGACATATATACGTCTGTTTAAACTGACAAGAAAACTCCTATAGCGGACAAGCAGTATATTCTGTAAATTTCTGAGATTTAATACAAAGAAATAAAAAAAATCCCGAAATTAATTTGATCCTGGAAAATATTCACATCCTCATTCGGTCTGAAAAAAAGATACGAATTTGGTATACAGAACATGCAGAAGTGTGAATATTATAAAACCTAATTGTTATATCAGAAACCATTATAAATATGAACATACATACGTAAGACCTCATGGGGCGTCACCTAACCACATTCAGGTAATATACAAGTAGCTCTGTTATACCCGGAAATGTCAAGGTTAATCATAGATAGATAGACATGACCTCAGACCACCACCATCCCCCCCCCTTTCCCCCCAAATCGAGGAACAGTATGTCTTACAATGTGTATATTCCTGCAAAAATAAAAAAAAAAATGAGAAAAAAGAAAGAGATGAACGGTAAGTCACATCAGATTCAGATATTTATATAGTTGCTTGTCGTTAAATAGAGATCTAGTGTATACATGTCTCTGCGTTAACTTATAAAAATAAAAGGAAATAATAAACTTGAAATAGATTTATGATGAATACTTTGCAACTGCGACACCCCTTTTTATCACAGCGTACATGCATGCATTTAAATGACTGTCCGTTATGCGATTAAGAATGACAATCGTACGTACAATCCTATAGTTCATGGTGAGTCCTTTTCTATCAGATATGCGACTTTTCGTATTTATATTTTCTCTTATATTACCGGTACTGTCATTTAATATCTAATGCATAAGTGCAATATTAAGAGTGGTTAAATCCCCTACAAGCTAACTAAATAAATTAATCAACCCTCTAGCTGACCAGACGTTAATACAACTACCATCAGTCTATCCGGAGTGAAGTTTCTTTATTTCTTCAAATAGGCTTTTGGGGATCATTAGTGCACGTCCAGTGGCATATATATATATAACATGCATGTCGGACCAGGAAAATGTGATGATGACGAATTTCTTAAACTGTTCGAAATAATCTTATTGAAATATAAATCTGTGATTTTACTATGTCTATAGCTTCGATTAACCAAAGTAAGTTAGATATCGACCTGTATTTAAATCAGATTGGTTCTGGGTGTTTCTCTCGTATATTCAATATACTTGTATGATAACAGTTCTATATTGCGACTGTCCATAGTTCCATATAAACCTTCCATCTAGGCGTGTAAACCAATGATCGACAAGTGCCGCACATTTTGTTAAATCAATATTTGAATGTTTCAAAATGTCCATAATTATTGACAACGAGTATATACTTACATTTTCCCCAATTTAATCTTGGAAAATGTGTTAATAGATTTTTATTTCATCAAATCTTTTGGTTTTTTTAATTATTTAAATTTTCATAAATATCATTCTTTACACCAAAAATGTTATTTATAAACAAGCGTATGAGTTTAGCAATGACTAGTATATCACTATCGGATACGCTAGACAAAGTTGTATATTACACCTGATAGATTCAAAATGGAAGTTACATGTTATCGGCCGTGTACACTGATCAATACCCCCAGAAAAAAAGTGATGCACGAACTTGTTTTATGTAATTGTGTAATAACAGTTTTAAAGCTCGACAGGAAATCGCTTGAATACCTGTACGTGTCACCTCACAATACCTCTGGGAACAATTCCTTTAGCCATTCTGGTGATCAGATAAGGGAAGGTCCGAATTTATTTTAAAAAGTTTATTACATAAAACAATTATGAACCAACTAGATTTTCAAAAACAATTTTACACGGAACACTTATTTATGACTTTGAACTTTGACTTTTTAACTAATTTCAATTTCTTGTTTTAAATACTTCGTAAACAAAACAGTTTCAAAACGACAGACCATACTATTAGTACTAGTTATTTAAAAAATAATATATATAAAATTACATTTTCCGTATCAAGTTAGTTAGGAAAGGTTGCAAAACCATGTCTATCATAATCTTTTTTGTGACCCGGGAAACTGTTTATGCTTTCCTTGTCGGATAAAACAACTGTACGCTTGACAAGATATCGACACTCAATTACGGCTACGTTAGGTTACTGCTTGTTTTGGTCCTTTGTGGTTTATAGATATATCGTGGTCAATATTCGGGGAGGATGTCAAAATGGCCGCATGTGGAGAATTGATACTCTAAATTTAAAATCGATGGTGATCTCTTAACTTGCAGAATAAAACTTTAATATCTATGAATTTGTGCTTTTTTATACATAATGAACAGAATATGAATTTTTCATTTTTTTGCGAAGTTTCCCTTTAAGAATTTTTAATCTTTTCAATAATTACATTGGTTTAATAAAATACTTGATAAATGGTTGTCTAGCCAAAATAACTGATTAATCAATGGAAATATGCAAACCTAAATGCTTTGTCTGGAGGAGTTAAATTCTTGGTATACTTACTAGTAAATAAAAACAGTTTGGACAAGTCATGATTTTACAACTAGTCTAAAAACAAATAATTGATGCTTTTCCATCTAAGACATCAAAGTGAATTCTAGATGTTTGTTATTTTGGTGAACTTGTGTTGATTGGTTGCTGTTTTATTGAACTTGGGTCATATCTCTTTTTATTCATTGGTTGATATTTATTAAATGAGGACCTCCTAAAAATTAACCCAAACTGATTAAAGATATATATACGGTGCAGTTGTGAATAGGTAATAGTTAATCAATAATCTGGATTTCGCTACATTTGTACTCCATACAAAAATTCTTGAGTGGTTTAGGTTTTTTCCCAGTAATTTTAATTTAGTACACTAACTGCACTCTTATTGTTTTTATATTTTAAGGAAAGTTTTAATGTGAACATTTTCAAACTAAAGTAAACTTAGTTGTTAATAAATTTACAGTAACCTGTTTTACTTCTGTTAATTACACAATATTGCTGTATCTGTAGATTGCAATGAGATGGAGAATTGAAAAGGAGGTTGTGGATGGAAACGGTAATATATTTTTTATTGTCATACACTTCATATAAATAAAGGGAAATAATTAGTACATATATGCAAATGAGGCTGCAACACAGAAAAACAAAATCAGAAGGCTCATTCCAAAGTACATGCATTTGATAATAATAAAAAAAAAATACTGGAGAATGAATGGACAAGGATTTTTAGGACACTGATGAAAGTTTTAGAACCAAGACATTACATCTTGTGGGTCTCAGCACTTGTTAAGAGGTCACAATTTTATTGATTTTGTTGGCTTTTACATAAAGACTGACTTGGTTGATTTATTCTTTATTCTCAATTATAAGTGTAGGTTAAATTTATATTTTAACTTGACTAGGTAGAGGATTGCCAATGTCAGTTTACAGCTTGTATCATAAGTGTGGTGACTGTGAACATTTATACACATTTTTAAATTGTTAAACACTACTGATCAGATTGCAATCAAGTTTGTAAGCTGCATTCTTCTCTATAAATGGCTTTTTAGTCTTAGATGCATGATTTTTTGTCGAGCCTGCGACTTTTGTCGCAGAAAGCTCGACATAGGGATAGTGATCCGGCGGCGGCGGCGGCAGCGTTAGCTAACTTCTTAAAAGCTTTATATTTTAGAAGGTGGAAGACCTGGATGCTTCATACTTTGTTTATAGATGCCTCATGTTACGAAGTTTCCGTCAGTCACAAGTCCAATGTCCTTGACCTCATTTTCATGGTTCAGCAACTACTTGAAAAAAAAGTTCAGATTTTTTGGAATGTTAAATTCTCTCTTATTATAAGTAAAAGGATAACTATATTTGGTATGTGCGTACCTTGCAAGGTCCTCATGCCCATCAGATAGTTTTCACTTGACCTCGACCTCATTTCATGGATCAGTGAACAAGGTTAAGTTTTCGTGGTCAAGTCCATATCTGAGATACTATAAGCAATAGGTCTACTATATTTGGTGTATGTAATGATAGTAAGGGGTACATGTCCAACTGACAGGTGTCATCTGACCTTGACCTCATTATCATGGTTCAGTGGTCATAGTTTAGTTTTTGTGTTTTGGTCTGTTTTTCTAATACTGTATGCAATAGGTCAACTGTATTTGGTGTATGGAAATATTGTACGATGTTCATGTCAGTCTGGCAAGTTTTATTTGACCTTGATCTCATTTTCACGGTTCATTGCTCAATGTTAATTTTTTGTGTTTTGGTTTGTTTTTCTAATACTGTATGCAGTAGGTCAACTATATTTGGTGTATGGAAATATTTTACGATGTACATGTCAGTCTGGCATGTTTTATTTGACCTTGACCTCATTTTCAAGGTTCATTGCTAAATGTTAAGTTTTTGTGTTTTGGTCTGTTTTCCTAATACTATATGCAGTAGGTCAACTATATTTGGTGTATGGAAATATTTAATGATGTACATGTCAGTCTGGCAGGTTTTATTTTACCTTGACCTCATTTTCATGGTTCATTGCTTATGTTACATTTTTGTGTTTTGGTCTGTTTTTCTTACACTTTAAGCAATAGGTCAACTATATTTGGTATATGGAATAATTGTAAGGTGTACATGTCTAACTGGCAGGTGTCATTTGACCTTGACCTCATTTTCATGGTTCAGTGGTCAAAGTTAAGATTTTGAGTTTTGGTCTTTTTTTCTAATACTATATGCAAAAGGTCAACTATATTTGGTGTATGGAAGTATTTTATGATCTTTATGTTAGTCGCACAGTTTTTATTTGACCTCGACCTCATTTTCACAGTTCATTGCTCAGTGTTAAGTTTTTGTGTTTTGGTCTGTTTTTCTTAAACTATAAGCAATAGGTCGACTATATTTGTTGTATGGAAGAATTGTTAGCTGTACATGCCTGCCTGGCATGGTTCATCTGACCTTGACCTCATTTCCAAGGTTCATTGTTCAATGTTTAGTTTTCTTGGTTAATGTTAAGTTTATGTGACAGTTGTAAGAAAGCTTTATATTTAGGACTATCAACATAATATCAATGATTAGTAAAGAAGGCGAGACATTTCAGCGTGTGCACTCTTGTTTTTTTTATTAGTTGTTATTGGCTATGACTGCGAGTACTCTCAGATCTGTACTGTTATACTTTAATACCACTATCCCATGTTAGGGGGAGGGTTTGGCACCAACAAACTAGTTGAACCCGCCACATTCTGTTTGTGCCTGTCCCAAGTCGGGGGCCTGTAATTTAATGGTTATAGTTTGTTGCTGTATATCATATTTGTTTTTTCATTCATTGTTTTGTACATAAATCACTTTTATCACGCTGTTAGTTTTCTCGTTTGGATTTTTCACATTTGTCATTTACAGTGACCTATAGTTATTAACTTCTATGTCATTTGGTGTCTGGTGGAGAGTTGTCTCATTGGCAATCATACCACATCTTCTTATTTTTATATTCTAAGGCAATAATAATTGAAAATATTGGACAATATATACCTTAATAGTATACAAGTATGTAGAAGCTCTCAATCATGAATGTTGTTATGTTTGTAAAGAATGTTTCCTATTTTTTACAGGCCAGTTTTCATGTGGCAATAAGAAATGTAAAGAGTCAGAAGGATTAAGGAGTTGGGAAGTAAATTTTGGGTATGTGGAACATGGGGAAAAGAAAAACGCTCTTGTCAAATTACGTAAGTGGATTGATTAAAAAAATCTTTTTAATTAAATATAGCATCTAGAATGCAGAATTATGTAGAGGAAAAGCAAACTGAAATAGAAAGTAATTGTAAATACCGATGCTTAAATTAATTTCTTTGAATGTATATACATGTATTCAGTACAGTTGACTCTCCAGATTTGATAAAATAACATTGTGAATTTAACCATACAAGGTATGCTTCATTAAAATAACTTAAACATACGGTCACTAAATTAAGTACTCCGGTCATTTGATTACAATCCATATGTATTTCATTGGGTATTTTCAGGGCTATGTCCAGACTGTTCATACAAACTAAATTATCATCATAGGTATGTACAGCATTTTAACATTTTTAAATTATTATTGTTCACTTTTATCAATTTTCTATCATATTTAATTTAATCAAACTATACCTTGCCTTTTTTGCATGAAATACTTAAGTAAGATTAGAACTGATGGTATGGTGTATTAACTCATGACACAAAATGACTATATGCACTTGACAAAACTGAAAACAAAGGAATAGTGCTTTTATTGGTGTTTTTCATCTTATGACACACATATCCAATCAACAGTGCACCACAACTTGAATTTTAATAAGATTGGACCAAAAACAACAGTAATTTTTAAACAACAACGCACTATAATGTTATTAAATGAAAATCAAATAGGTCTAGACTTGCGTATTGAGTGCATGACATAGGGAATAAAGCGTCAATGCAAATTTTAAAATTGACATTCCAGCTATTTTGCAGGTGTCTTCTAATATGATTAATGGTGGTCAAGGGAACAAAAACACACATATTTTGTTTAGCCTTATCAATAAATTTCATTTTGATAATTTACAGAAAAAAAGAAATTCTTCCAAAATCAAAAAGAAAAGACAAATCACAGCACAAGAAACAAAAAACAGAAGAAAAGCATTCTGATAAAGGTATTTCACAGCTTAATCATTAAGGTTAAAAGGTTTTTTTTTTGTGTCCATCATTAACACACGGAAGATATCTTGGACCCCTAATTAATGTGCATGAGTCATTTAAGATATGTTTCTAAGGATGTATATACCAAAATTGTTATTTTCATTTCTGGGTGGAGTAGAAACTTTTTCAACAAACCTATAAACAAGTTTTTTTCTGATTTATCTTTCTCTACTGATCTTCTTAAGAACTTATTTTAACTAATCAAAATCAAATATGGCTATGGACTTATCCACATATAATATCTGTATTTTTAACCAATCATATGTTCATATTTTCGTCAACTGGATATAAAGTACAAATCCAAAGCAATCTCACACTACATGAGAGTAAGAATCTGTCACAAATATCTATTTAGCAGGAGCAGTAGAGGATACAACAATGCTTCAGAAAGCAGGGGTATAATAAGCTAAATATGTATTTTATGTTCCAACTGTGTAATAATTTAAAAAAAATGAAAATTTTGCTTTGCAAGCTGCAGTTAAACCAGTGATAAATAATATAAGGGTTGTATTCCGCTATAAAAATCATGAGACAACGTAAAGTTTCCTTTCTATGTCTAAATACTGTAAATTCAGAAATTATTCTATACATTTATTATTGCAATTTTTGAAGAATGGACAAAAGCGCAAGATTTATTATTGCGATTTCCGGAAAATCTGCATACACTTATATGTATAAAATATGAGAATGGGAGTTCTTATTATTGCGATTATCATCCAGTTGCATTATTAGCTCTAATAAAAACCTTGCAATAATTTCTGAATTTACAGTATACAAGTGATAAATAATCTTGATTTACAGACATGGCCTTATAAAGATGTCAGATTCATTAACTGTACAGATACTGTTTACATGGCCTTATAAAGATGTCAGATTCATTTACTGTACCGATACTGTTTACATGGCCTTATAAAGATGTCAGATTCATTTACTGTACCGATACTGTTTACATGGCCTTATAAAGATGTCAGATTCATTTACTGTACTGATACTGTTTACATGGCCTTATAAAGATGTCAGATTCATTTACTGTACGGATACTGTTTACATGGCCTTATGAAGATGTCAGATTCATTTACTGTACAGATACTGTTTACATGGCCTTATAAAGATGTCAGATTCATTTACTGTACCGATACTGTTTACATGGCCTTATAAAGATGTCAGATTCATTTACTGTACTGATACTGTTTACATGGCCTTATAAAGATGTCAGATTCATTTACTGTACGGATACTGTTTACATGGCCTTATGAAGATGTCAGATTCATTTACTGTACAGATACTGTTTACATGGCCTTATAAAGATGTCAGATTCATTTACTGTACTGATACTGTTTACATGGCCTTATAAAGATGTCAGATTCATTTCCTGTACGGATACTGTTTACATGGCCTTATAAAGATGTCAGATTCATTTACTGTACTGTCAGATTCATTTACTGTACTGTCAGATTCATTTACTGTACTGATACTGTTTACATGGCCTTATAAAGATGTCAGATTCATTTACTGTACTGATACTGTTTACATGGCCTTATAAAGATGTCAGATTCAATTACTGTACTGATACTGTTTACATGGCCTTATAAAGATGTCAGATTCATTTACTGTACTGATACTGTTTACATGGCCTTGTAAAGATGTCAGATTCATTTACTGTACTGATACTGTTTACATGGCCTTATAAAGATGTCAGATTCATTTACTGTACGGATACTGTTTACATGGCCTTATAAAGATGTCAGATTCATTTACTGTACGGATACTGTTTACATGGCCTTATAAAGATGTCAGATTCATTTACTGTACTGATACTGTTTACATGGCCTTATAAAGATGTCAGATTCATTTACTGTACTGTCAGATTCATTTACTGTACTGATACTGTTTACATGGCCTTATAAAGATGTCAGATTCATTTACTGTACTGATACTGTTTACATGGCCTTATAAAGATGTCAGATTCATTTACTGTACGGATACTGTTTACATGGCCTTATAAAGATGTCAGATTCATTAACTGTACTGTCAGATTCATTTACTGTACGGATACTGTTTACATGGCCTTATAAAGATGTCAGATTCATTTACTGTACGGATACTGTTTACATGGCCTTATAAAGATGTCAGATTCATTAACTGTACAGATACTGTTTATTTTAGAATCAAGTATAGATGAAACCTTAAAGAAACCACCTGATCCATCAACTTCTAAAAAAGCTGACTCAGTAGAAGATAAATCTATGTGGAGTGGTCCTGCTAAATTGCCTGATGAAAAATCAAGGTTTGTTCTATGATACAAATTTAATTGTTTTGCCATTTGATATTCCTGTGTGCACAAGATAATTATATGTTTCATAAGGAGTGAGAATTGGATATCGCTTGATATCAACTCTCGTTATTTAATTTCAATACAATTAATAAATGACCCTTCTGCCAGTTTATTATTACTATTTAAATTAGATTACGAGAGTTGATATCAAGCGATATCTAATTCTCACAAGTTGTTAAACCTATTTCTCTTATGGTCAACACTCGTTGTGTTAAATTAAAAATTCCGCAAATAGTTGATCTTGTCTTCTGCACATACAAGAACGACATCATATGTCCTGTTCTGGTGTCAAACTTTAACATCGGACATTTAAAACTTTTTGTACGCTTCAGAATATAATAAAATTTGACAAAAAAAAGATTTTCATGATCAGTTCATTTTCACAAGAGTTATGGTCCATTTCATGTTTAGTTCATTGTCACCAGAGTTAAGGTCCATTTCATGTTTAGTTTAATGTCACCAGAGTTAAGGTCCATTTCATGTTTAGTTTAATGTCAACAGAGTTAAGATCCATTATATGCTCAGTTCATTGTCACCAGTTATGGTCCATTTCATGACATTAATCAAAACATGAAATGGACCTTAATTCAAGAGACAATGAACTGAACATGAAATGGACCTTAACTCTTGTTACATTAATCTGAACATGAAATGGACCTAAACTCTGGTGACATTTTATTATAATAATCTGAACATTAAATGGACCATAACTCTGGTGACAATAATCTGAACATGAAATGGACCTTAACTCTGGTGACAATGAATTAATCATGAAATGGACCTTAACTCTGGTGACAACAAACTGAACATAAAATGGACCTTTACTCTGGTGACAACGAACTGAACATAGAATGGACCTTGACTCTGGTTACAATGAACTGAACATAAAATGGACCTTAACTCTGATGACATTAATCTGAACATGAAATGGACCTTAACTCTGGTGACAATGAACTGAACATGAAATCGACCTTAACTTTTGTGACAATGAACTGAACATGAAATGGACCTTAACTCTGGTGACATTGAACTAAACATGAAATGGACCTTAACTCTTGTGACAACAAACTGAACATAGAATGGACCTTGACTCTGGTGACAATGAACTGAACATGAAATGGACCACAACTCTGGTGACAATGAACTGAACTAGAATGGACCTTAACTATGGTGAAAATGAACTGATCATGAAATGGACCATTACTCTGGTGAAAATGAACTGAACATGAAATGGACCATAAATATGGTGACAATGAACTGAACATAGAATGGATCTTAACTCTGGTGGAAATGAACTGATCATGAAATGGACCATAACTCTGGTGACAATGTACGGAACATAGAATGGACCATAACTCTGGTGACAATGTACGGAACATAGAATGGATCTTAACTCTGGTGAAAATGAACTGATCATGAAATGGACCATTACTCTGGTGACAATGAACTGAACTAGAATGGACCTTAACTCTGGTGAAAATGAACTGATCATGAAATGGACCATTACTCTGGTGAAAATGAACTGAACATGAAATGGACCATAAATATGGTGACAATGAACTGAACATAGAATGGATCTTAACTCTGGTGGAAATGAACTGATCATGAAATGGACCATAACTCTGGTGACAATGTACGGAACATAGAATGGACCTTAACTCTGATGACATTAATCTGAACATGAAATGGACCATAACTCTGGTGACAATGAACTGATCATGAAATGGACCTTAACTCTGATGACATTAATCTGATCATGAAATGGACCTTAACTCTTGTGACAACAAACTGAACATAGAATGGACCTTGACTCTGGTGACAATGAACTGAACTAGAATAGACCTTAACTCAGGTGAAAATGAACTGATCATGAAATGGACCATAACTCTGGTGAAAATGAACTGAACATGAAATGGACCATAACCCTGGTGACAATGAACTGAACATAGAATGGATCTTAGCTGTAGTGAAAATGAACTGATCATGAAATGGACCATAACTCTGGTGACAATGAACTGAACATAGAATGGACCATAACTCTGATGAAAATGAACTGATCATGAAATGGACCATAACTCTGGTGATAATGAACTGAACATAGAATGGACCTTAACTCTGATGACATTAATCTGAACATGAAATGGACCATAACTCTGGTGACAATGAACTGATCATGAAATGGACCATAACTCTGGTGAAAATGAACTCAGTGTTTTCCATTCGGCATTTAAGCCGGGTGTGCTGACCACCTTCTTTTGAAAGCCGACCACCTTTCCATTTTAGGAGGTGGTCGGCTTTTTTTTCAAATACCGGATTTTTTTCGGTTCTGCACCGTAAAAATTTAAATACTAATCGCACCTCGCTGATTGTTTTCATTGTGTGGGTTCGTGTTCTAGTGGTTAAGACCGATGGCTACAGTGCTGAAGGTCCCTAGTTTGATTCTCACTCGAGACGTCAAATTTTCAGTACATCAGTAGGGTGATTTTCACCCTCCCACACACATCTCTGGTATCCAGACTGGAGTTTAAACTAGATTGGATACTTCGGGGGCTTGGTAGGTCAAAGCTGTTCCCAGCTTGACCTGGAGATCAATCTTCTGAAATCTCTTTGGGTTGTCTGTTCCCGCCGGGAAGCCCGGTGGTTCTCTCCAAGTACTTCGGCTTCCTCCACCATAATAACAGACTTGAAGTACATACATTGACAAAGATGGCAGATCGTCAAACTTCAATATTTTCTTTTATTAATCGGGGGAAGAGAAAGGCAGATGTTGATGGTGATAAGGAAAATTCTAGGCCAAATAAGTCAACTAAAATGGATAGTTGTATTGAAAATTGTGGAAATGGAAAAAAAGTCTCAAAACAACGAAAAAGGAACATCAGCGATCGCGAAGATAAACAGGTTGGGAACAATCCCCCAAATGAGGGATATCCCTTAAATGAGGGACTGTCTCCCTGGCAAGAGGTTATGTTAATTTTGTTGAAGAAAAGAAAAGAGAAAAACTTAGATTTTTTAACTTAAAAGGGGAAAAAATCATTATGTTCGGACCAACATTTCTAAAAGAAGGTCCCATTATTTTTAATGATAAAGAAGATATAAGTCCAGGAATATTACAAAATTCTTGGACATGTTTTGACCATATAACACCAAATAGATGTATAGTTCTTTGGGAAAATTTTCTGTAAATAAAATAAATATGTGCTCATTTGTATCTCGTTAAATGTACCCTCATAAACATGAGAGATAGTCATTAAATTGAGAGGTTACCCCTCATTTGATAAATATGAACAGGACTTTAAATGGCTAATCGTCACAGAAGGAGGATATTACTGCTCTGTGTTCCAAAAATACAGCACTAAAGCGAAGAACAAGACAGAAAATTGGATCGATAAGCTATGCATATATGCAGGAGGAGGTAGTCCTACAAAAGCCATATCTGCTATCCAAGATCCGCAAAACTAATTTGTCAAATGAATGGCTAGCAGTGATAGCAGAGGAACAGTTCAATTTTATTAAATGTGAATACAATACTAATCCTTTTTGTGACCCTCTCTAACAGTAAAAAAACCCGGTTGGAAATGTTAAAACAAAAAAAAAACGCCCGGTTGCAAGTGATTTTTTCGAAACACCCACCTTACCTTAGTGAAAAATGGAGAACACTGATGAACTGTCACTCTGTCACCAGAGTTTAGGTCCATTTCATGATCAGTTCATTGTCACCAGAGTTAAGGTCCATTCTATGTTCAGTTTGTTGTCACAAGAGTTATGGTCCATTTAATGTTCAGATTATTGTCACAAGAGTTATGGTCCATTTAATGTTCAGATTATTATAATAAATGTCACTAGAGATACGGTCCATTTCATGATCAGTTCATTGTCATCAGAGTTAAGGTCCATTTCATGATTAATTCATTGTCACCAGAGTTAAGGTCCATTTCATGTTTAGTTCATTGTCATCAGAGTTAAGGTCCATTTCATGTTTAGTTCATTGTCATCAGAGTTAAGGTCCATTTCAAGTTCAGTTCATTGTCATCAGAGTTAAGGTCCATTTCATGATCAGTTCATTGTCATCAGAGTTAAGGTCCATTTCATGTTTAGTTCATTGTCATCAGAGTTAAGGTCCATTTCATGTTCAGTTCATTGTCATCAGAGTTACGGTCCATTTCAAGTTCAGTTCATTGTAACCAGAGTTATGGTCCATTTCATGATCAGTTCATTGTCATCAGAGTTAAGGTCCATTTCAAGTTCAGTTCATTGTAACCAGAGTTATGGTCCATTTCATGATCAGTTCATTGTCATCAGAGTTAAGGTCCATTTCATGATCAGTTCATTGTCACAAGAGTTAAGGTCCATTTTATGTTCAGATTATTGTCACCAGAGTTGTGGTCCATTTAATGTTCAGATTATTATAATAAATGTCACTAGAGATACGGTCCATTTCATGTTCAGATTATTGTCACCAGAGTTGAGGGCCATTTCCACAAGTGACTTGAGGAAAAGACAAGTCTGTTTTTGTGTTAAAAATAAGCCTGAATCAAATCAAACTAGATATGGAAGATGCCATATGCATGAGTATAGTTCCATATACTTTAGATTTGACAAACAGTGATGTTGGAAGTACAACTTGAAATTGTTGTGCTGTCTGTAAGACACAAATGATGCCCCTGTCTGACCATAAGAAATTATAAATTTAACACTATGTATGATGATCTATCTTTTATTTTTATTCTGAATGTTACACCAGCAGGACTGAATGTCCAGCCAAAAGGTTTAAACTTTCCAGTTTTAGTAGTCACCTAGTTCAACTTTTTATTTCCAGTGGTCACCAAGTTCAACTTTCTATTTCCAGTGGTCACCAAGTTCAACTCCCCGGTATTGATTAAATATTTGACAATACTAAAAAATCTGATTTATTGCATTAGGGACAGTAAACTGTAGTAATACAAACCATGTTTTCAATTATATAGCAAGTGAGAAGGAAAACTACCAGTTTTTGTGAATATCTAACATCCCCCCCTTTCTGACTTTTAGAACAAAAAAAATGACTAAGTCCAAATACCTGGCATTTTGAGAATATTTGAAAAAAATCAAAATCCTGTGGACATGCACACCTCTATTATGTGTAGAAACATTCTATAAAATATTAAAGCTGTAGCTCCAAAACTGTAGGAGGAGATAGCAGGACAAACCATGTATCTATATCCAGACGCACAATTGGCAGGGGTAAATTAATATGACCCTCGACATTTTGGCGCAGGGGCATAATAAAAAGTAGATATACAATAACCAACATTTTCTTGAAACATTTTGTTACGAGTTGCAGATTTAAACCTCTAAATAATTCCTGTTTTGTATTTTAGGGAGGAAGAATTTGATGACTACTTTGAAGATATGTTTTTATGACACAGGTGTGATAGACAAAATGGAATTACTGTTTGTGATAGTCATTACTTTTACTGTTTTAATGTGCCACATGTCAATAAATCATCGTACTGTACTTCATAAAAAAATTTGCCTGCATATGGTAAAGTCTAGATGAAAAGGATGTAGAAATATTAGCCAAGACAAGGTTATACATATATGTAAGTGTGTGCAAAATAAACTTCCTTTTAGATCAGTCACAGGAAGATGCAAATGAACAATTCACTACTACAAAATGAGAAACCAACATGCCATACATCATAACTTGAAAAGATGTAGTTAAGCTCCAGACAAGCTTGTATAATAAAACTATCAGTCTATTTTATTGCTTTTGTGGTCTGGATCTGTATCTACAGACCCCAATATCAATAGATCTTCCTCTCTATCAGGATATTGTCCATCAAAGATTGGTCAAGATGGGATATGACCAGAAGAGTGCAGACTGAATGTCTTGCTACTTTGCTTAGAATGAATGAATTTATGTTGGAAGTCTGTAATATGAATGTTTTAATACATGTATCACATAAACTTAACATTATCAATTATCCATGTATATGAGGTCAAAGTCAGATGAACCCTGCAAGACAGGCATGTTCACTTTACAATCATACCATACACCAATATAGTTAGCTTATTGCTCATAGTATATGAAAAACAGACCTAATTAAGAAACTGAACATTGACCAATGAACCATAAAAATGAAGTCAAGGTCAGATGAACCCTGCAAAACAGCATGTACATCATGCAATCATTCCATTCACCAAATATAGTTGACCTTTTGTTTATAGTATCTGAGAAACATAACATTCACATTAATCAATGATCCATGAAAATGAGGCCAAGGTCAGATGAACCCTGCCAAGCAGACATGTTCACCTTACAGTCACTCCATACACCAAATATATCGGACCCTTAGCTTATGGTATCTGAGAAATGGACCATGATGCATACAGAGAGGCGAGAGCATTTTACTGTGTTGAAGGCCTCACTGTGACTCAGATGAACAGCTATAAAAGCACCGTTCCTTTTGCTTTGCATGTACGGTTTTATGTCATGGATGGATACCCCATATGCTTTGTTTTTCTTTCAAACTACAAAACCTGAACCATGAAAAAGGGCAAGGTCAAATGAACCCTGTTAGACAAACATTTACACCTCACAATCAATCCATACACCAAATAATATAGTTGACCTATTGCTAATAGTATCTTAGAAAAGACCTAGCTACAGAAACTGAAAAATTAATAATGAAAATGAGGTGTAAGTCAGATGAACTCTGCCAGGACATATACACCTTACAATCATTCTCTACACCATATATAGTTGACCTAATGCCTACTGTATGTGAGAATCAACCAAACCATGAAAATTCTGTAACGGTCATCCCAATGTCTTGCATTCAGTGACACAACATACTTAATATTATAATATACTGTGAAAGTACTTTTATTCGTGGGGTACCAATTTTCGTGGTTTTTGTGGATGGCTTTATCCACAAATTACAGTTTCCAACGAAATATAACTACTGTTGTCCAAATCAAGACATTGAAAAATTCCCATGTAGGTTTGACTACATGGATACAGTTATATGATCTAGAGAATACATCAAATATCAGCAAATGTACAATGAACTGTACATTAAACAACTTCAGACAGGATCTAACCCATTTAATCTTTAAGAAACATTAACTGTACGACTTTTAACCTTTTCATTAACATGAAAAACTAGATATCATTGAGATGGGAGCCATCTCTGTGGGCCCCGCTGTGAATAATGTGTGGTAAGAAATTTGTATCTTTATCATTGGACATGGGGTTGTCAACTGAAACCAAAGTTTTTGACCTTGACCGTTGACCTAGGAAGTTGTACATAAATTATGACACACCCTCTGGTGTTGGTTTATATACATGTCAAGTATAAATTTTGAAATCATAACGGTTCTCATGATATAGAGCGGAGACGATCTTTACCATAGGACATGGGGTTGTCAACTAAAACCAAAGTTTTTGACCTAGGAAGTTGTACATACATTATGACACACCCTCTGGTGTTGGTTAATATACATGTCAAGTATAAACTTTGAAATCATAACGGTTCTCTAGATATAGAGGGGACACAATTTGTTACGGACCGACAGACAGACGGACGGACGGTCAGACTGATCACTATAGGGCATCCACCATTCAGTGGGGCCCTAATTAATTTGTTAGTCTTGATCAATGAAAGTCAGATTTCCAGTGTGGTGATGATATGCTATGATGAAGTGTTCATTTTATCTCCTCATAATTTGTATACGAAGAAAAAAATAATAATTTCATATTTGGCTTGCTTTTTTTATATCATAAGAATTAATTCTACAATTCAAAGAACAATTGTAGCATTTTTTATGTAGCTGTTTTCAAACAAGTGACATGTTTATAGCCCAATTAACACTTTTGATGATCTTTTAATCTGTCAATCATTCGATCTCAGGTAATTCGTGTCAATACTTATTATCACATGTGTGCAACATTAAAATGTTTACTTTGCAATTTCCTTCAATCGAGACAATTTGTTACTATTGACGAATCAGCTTATTTTAGAAAGCAATTATTTTATCAAAAATTTGATGAATTTTGTCAGTAATGAAAGACGAACAAATAAGTGAAAATGAACACCTTATTTTGCAATGTTCCTCGAATCAATATTAAACAACACATGATTATTTTCAAGAATCTTTGTTTCTCATGTCTTCAAATTCTTCACTCGATTTTTTCAGAAAACTAAAATCCACAAACTCAAGAACCCACGAACATGCAACTTTTGCTCAACCACAAAAATTGATACCCACGAATAAAAGTACTTTCACAGTATTACGAGGAACATGCCCCAATACTGACCACTTGTCAAAACAGAAATATCCTCATTACAATGAATTCATCATACTTGGCCTGCCATTTATTGTAACCAAGCAAATGACCTTTTCTTGATACAACCCAACCACTGCAACATGAAATGTAACGAGAAAAGTGAATTTACAAAAGAATGTAGTTATACATGTCAAGTCTAGTTATTGTTGAAAGGTTATACAAGTCACAAATGCAGACCATATCCTTAAAATTTAACCGGACCACTTGACCAAGAAAACAGAATTAGTATCAGATGACAATAAATGGTTGTCAGACTGTCGCACCATAATCCTCAAAATAAAACTTGTTTATTAAAACTGTTGTGAAAGTTGGAAAAATATATAAAGGTTGTTCCAATTGTTTATATACTTACAATTGCAATAAATCTAGTCTTGGCTTGAATGAATTTTATCACAGGTATGACAAAAACCCTAACAAATATGAGACAGTAGAAAAAAAGACATTATCAGGAAGAGAATATGTTATGTACAAGACCGACATGCCAAGACAGATTTTAAATGAGCTAGTTCTCAAGGAAACAGTCTACATGAAGACATGTCGCCATACCTGGACACATTAATCTGTCTATGAGCCAACCAGTCTATGCTCTTACTCCTAATTGTGCATAATAAGTGGAGCTGTGGTATTAAAATACAAATTTCCAAGTCTTTGGTTTAACCAAGTAAAGGATCGAATCATCCTGTTCCAAGTCAAGCTTAAAATTATGATGATATTATGCATGATAGATCATTTAACAACCTAGACTAGTATTATTTTCCAGGAAACTATAATTAACCAAATGCTATTGCTAAATTAGTTTACCAGTAGTAAAGAGCACATCCATAACGTAAGCCATGTTCAAATTAGTGCCATCTTGTTCATAGAATTTATATTTAGGACAGATGGTCATCACTCATACAAAAAGTACTGTAAAATTCAGAAATTTATGTGTGCATTTATTTTAGCGATTCCCCGACTACTGGCAAAAATTTAAGATCTCATTAATGCCATTGCAAAAATTTGTAAAGGAAAATCACTACTGAAATTATGAATACCATTTTTTATGCCCCCGCCGTATTGGAGGGGGCATTAAGTTTTACCGTTGTCCGTCCGTACGTACGTACGTCCCAAAATTGGTTTCCGTTCTCTAAGTTTGCCTCAACCAAATGTTATGAAACTTATACATAATGATATTACCACAAAACACAGATCAAGTTTGAATTTTGGTGGCGTCACTTTTACAGTTCTTGAGTTATTTCCCTTTATAACGGTTTATGCAAGTGGGGGCATCATCTGTGTCCTATGGACACATTCCCCATTTATTTATTATTGCAAAACCTTGTACAGTCACATTTTTAGCATTAATAAAAATATCCCAATAATTTCTGAATTTACAAGTTCCATCCCAAGCCATAAATAGCAAATTGAGTTTTGTCTTTGATATTTTATTTCTTCAAAAAATTGGTTGTAAGTGTAATTTGCTTTGTTTAATTTCAGTTGTCTTTCGTATAAAAGTGAAATATGCTGATGGAAACAAAATTACACAAATGTTGTATAAAAATTGTATTCACATTATTTTTTAGTACAATCATTATGATATGAAAATACAAAGCACAAAATGCAGCGACAAAAAGATAATCTTCATGGAGGGTAATTTGTTCAGAGACACATAAATATACAAATAAATAAAGTATAAATCTAGATCACATAGGTCGTCCTCGACCTCTTCCCATTCCACCGCCTGGGGGTCCGTCTTGTTGAGCTTTTGGATTTTTAACAGTTTCATCAACAGAAAGAATGAGACAACTTGCTTCTGCAGCAGCTGTGATGGCATTTATTTTAACCACTGCTGGTTCCCATACACAATTCTCAAAATTGTCAGCAATATCTTCATTAAGTACATCTACACCATACCAGATACCACCTGAAAAATAAATTTTAAAATTCTTCATTTTTACTACTCATGCAGAAAAGAGAAAAGAACAAAGGATGGAGTGGGTGTTTTTTTATTCTTGCTAATGATACATTATTTTGTCTGTTTGTACAGTAAGAACGATTGTACAGTAAGAACGATAGATTAAATGGCAGCTTTTGATTAACAGTGCGTTAAATTCAGACTTTCCACTCTACATAGAGCAAACAATAATCAATAAACCAAAGATGAACCAACATACTGCTAAGTGAATGATTCTAAAACATACATTCTATAAGGCTTACATGCAACACATAATCATATAACTGTATATCTTTATAACAGATATTGGCTAAATACACCACTGCATAACAAGATTGATTTGGAAGAGCAATACCATCTATTGTATTTAAAATAAAGTGCATATGCCATAACAAGATTGATTTGGAAGAACAATACCATCTATTGTATTTAAAATAAAGTATAAGCCATAACAAGATTGATTTGAAAGAGCAATACCATCTATTGTATTTAAAATAAAGTACATAAGCCACTGATTACAAAGAGCATGCACTATAACTTTGCTTAAAGTTTTACAAAAATAGTGTAAATCTCAATGAAGAAAAGAGAAAAGAAGACATAAAATTTCTTAGTTTATTCTTACCTTGTGCATGTCTCTGGCGTAATTTGTTGAGTATATTTGTAGCATCAAAGCCAGCATTTTCACATAACTGTCGAGGAATGATCTCTAAAGCTTTAGCCATGGCCCCCATTAATAACTGTTCTTTACCAGCTATATTTCTTGATAAGTTCCTCAAGTATTTACTTAATTCCATCTCTATTGCGCCTCCACCTACAAATAAAATCTAAGGCTGTAAAATAAATAAGGACATGCAAAAAAATTTTTGGTTTCCCCTAACCCTGTCAGGTCTGTTTTTATCCTCCCACAAATTTTTTCAAGACAGTGGTTTTATTAAAATTCTCTGTAGAGCGAATCCGCATGTGCCAAAATCAAAATAAAACAAAAAATTTACTAGCCCGTGGACCTTTTTGAATTTTCTTCTATTAAGGGGAAACCCAACATTAAATTTTCAACAACCTAACCTTTGTCATTTATTGTATACTCACAAAAGTAAGGTATTAGGAAATTAAATTACACCATAAACAAATATATCTTTTAACCCTTAGACTGCTACGCGCGACTATTGTCGTTCCGATAAAGCAGTCCGCTACTGCTACGCGCGACTATTGACGTTTCCGTATCTCAATTGTTTACACAGTTACCATTGAATGGGCGGAGTCAATATTCATGAGATTGCGGCAGTTTAGACTTGTATGGATTCTGATTGGTTAAAATTCGGCGTACTTTCGAGTTTCTCTTGACTTTAAATCAGGTATAAGTGATGAAACCGAAAGTGAAAAATTTAGATGAAAAAAGTAAAAAATTGCGGAAATTGTTTGGAGTGATGGCCAACACGTTCAGAAGTATTTCAATGATAACGATGTAACAGCGGCGGCCAATTTAAATGATTTGGACGAGAACAGAAGATATAATAGATGGAAATAGAAACATTCTAGCAAAACTGCGAACAGAAGACTTTTAAAGCGGGAACCACAGGGATTCCCCAGAAGATGTTCGAAATGGATGACATGAAACAGGATTTGCGATGTTTATCATTGCGCCTTTCAACTGTGAATCAATATTGATCACTGACATCGATAGATTCAAACATTATGTTTGTCAAGATTATTTATTGACGAAAGTTATATCAATGAACTTGTTGTTAAAACATATTTGTACATGGAAGTAAAAGTCGAAAGTCAGAAGGAAAATACCGGAAAATAGTTGCATAAAAAAAACCCGTTGGTCCGAGAAGAAACTTTTTTCTTTTGATAATCGCAATGGAACTAGTTCTTAAAAGAGATTTTTAACAATATTGGTTCAATTCTGAAGTCATGGATACCTTTGAAAAGTTTTTACATTGATGGATTCACGTTAATAAAACATGAAAAAAAAAATTACCTTTGTTTACCTCTATTTGCACCTGTACAGGTAATAAATGACCAGAGACTCACACAAAAATAAAATAAATAAAAAATACAGAATATAACAATACTTTTTTATATAACTTTTATTGATGAATATTCAATATTTACAAAGATATTGCAATTGTAAGTAAACATGTTTATTTCATCAGTGATTAAAATTTTATTCAGCAATACACAAAAGTACAATAGAAATGAATGCAGCAGTCTAAGGGTTAAGTTTATATGTTCACCTCTTTTGGTCTAGTTTAACAGATCTTTGCAGAAAAACAGAACATGTTGTATTTCAGCTAGCTTAACTTAAATGTTTATTTGTGTCTTTGAGTTGCTATCTCAGACGTATATACCCAACATCATTTGTTCATCGAGACAATTTTATGACAAAGTCATTAAAAATGCATTATTCTAAGTGGTCAAGGTGGTAATACACTTTTTTTGGCACAACTGTTTTAGCATTTATTTACTGTAAATGATAATTGGATAATGCCAGTCCAAAATACTGAATATGCTTTCTCACCTGCGACAACGGCATCATTCTTCATGGTTCTTCTTACAATCATTATAGCATCATGTAACGATCTCTCTGTTTCCTCTATAAACTGTTCTGCTCCACCACGAAGAATAATTGTACATGTTCTAGCTTGTGGACAACCCGTAAATAAATTATACCTGAAAGAATTATGAAAATGTCAATAGAGCATAATATCAAATATTATAACCATTATAATTCTATTTTATAATTATGCTGTTTTCTATAATAATTCAATTAAAACTGAAGTTGACTGACAATTAAGATTGAATACTTTTGACATTTAATACAGAATCCATGAAAATGAGAACATCCATATGATCTATAATTGTAAACTAATTTCGGGGTTTTCAAATCAAAATAAAATAATGGAGGCTAGTTTTGAGATGAATAGAATGCAAATTAATGTTCATATAGCAATACACACACAAACAAGATATTTTGTAAGCTGTTGCACATTATTATACCCCTGTATTTTTGGTAAACAGAAGGAAAGAAAACAGTTCAGAGTATGGCATAATGATGAAGCTTTGTGCAATACTGTAAATTCAGAAATTATTGCGTGCATTTATTATTGCGATTTTTCAAGAATGGACAAAAATGTGAGATTAATTATTGCGATATCATGAAAATCTGCATACAGATATATGTAACAGACATCATAATGCGAGTTCTTATTATTGCGATAGTCGACCAGTCGCATTATTCGCATAAATAAAAACCTCGCAATAATTTCTGAATTTACAGTATATAAAGAAGCTATGACTTTTAATTCCTTAAAACAATGTTACAGAAAGATAAACCAGTTTATACTCCTCCGTTTTGAGCAATGGTATAATTACAGGTTGGACAAGGACTATGCTTATAACAAGTTAATTGCAACTAATTGCTGCTTTTAACTGAAGTGGCAATCAAGGCTCTTGATAGAATACAATTAGGTAATTAACTATTTTTATGTTTTACATCATGTAAACATTGCATTCTTTTAAAGGCCAGACATGACAGTAAAGTATTGTTTGCAATACTTTGTTGTTGGTATCAAGACAAAAAGTCTGAAATACAAATTATGTAAAGTAACAAGTGCATACCTTTCCCCACCAATTTGGATTTCTTCAAATATATCACAGGTACCTAACACATCTGGTGACAGATTCTGAACTGTTGTTTGTATAGAGCCACCACAAGCTTTCATTGTCCTCTTCAGATCTTCTTCTACCACTCGTCCAGCACAAAACATATCTCTGTAATATTCAAATGCAAAATCACTATTTGAATTGTTAAGAATATCAACAGGCCAATACTATTTATTACAGCTAACAGACTCATAAGTATGAAATTTTGATGCTTCAGGTCTTACCACAATGTAATACACTGACAAAAGTAAAATTAAAATCTGCACTTGCTAGTCCTCTTATATGTACTAAATCTGGTTCAATATTACAGTTTGGTCCTACAGCAACTAGAGTCTATATAGTACATGTTTTTGTCCTTCATATATATATACACATGTAACACCAAATTATTTGTTGTGAATTGAAATTACAAAAATGTTTTTAATCTGATGTTTTCCATCTTCGCTAGCCAAGGGTTATGATCCACTTCCCTCCTCTCCACCCTTGGCGGATTGAGATAGAATTTCGGAGACATAAGGTAATGATTTTCATTGGTTGCAGTCGAAACACGCTGCATCCAATCAAAAAGCGCCTGTAACATGATCACGTGTAAATGTAGAAAGTGTATGTAAACAATTGGCACGTGCTTATTGTGCTACAAGTCTTTACATCCCTAAACATACGACTACATTTAGTGACAATTTGAATGTTTTTAATCAATTAATAGAAGTTCCTGTGTATGTTTCTTGCACAAATGCATGAATGTTAATGTATATTTTCGTTTCCTGCTTTACCAAGTGTGTTGAATCTAGACGCTACCGTGTTTTTACCTCCAAATTGAAGAGTTCAAGTGCTACCATTGGTCAAGAATAATGTATTCGGAATGGGCGTGACTTAAATCTACCGATAGATGGCGCAACATTGTTATCGCAAATGTTGGCTTAATCTGCCAAGGGTGGAGAGGAGGGAAGTGGATCGTAACCCTTGGCTAGCGAAGATGATGTTTTCCTGTTACAGACTTTATACTTTTGAAGATTGTGAACTCACTAAAAACATGATTAATTCAATGTCTTTATAAAAATAAGGAGATGTGGTATGATTGCCAATGAGACAACTTTCCACCAAAGTTCAAATGAAGTGGATATAAGCAATTATAGGCAACCGTACGGCCTTCAACAATGAGATTTGTCTATTTTTCTGTTTTTCAATTCATTTCAACAACAAGAATAAATAAGTCATGTAGGTTTTACAACTAAGTCAGAAATTACAAAATATTCCCAACAACTCTCAGAAAACCCTGCCAGATACCAGTGATGACCATAACTGACCAAAACGACCAGTCTTGACCGATGGACACTGACATTAATGTACCACAAACGTAACACGAAGACCACCATTGAAAAAGTGTGGCCTTGCTGACTAATCTGTGGAAATTGAATCTTTAAATATGTAATCTCATTTTATACTATCATTCAATACTGTGTGGTGATATCCCTGTATTGTAGACCAGATGCCTTATGTTATATGTTAACTTTTTAAACATCTTATTTACCTATCTGCAAAATACTGCGTGGCAACATCTCCAATAGGCAACTTAGATAAAACAACTTTAGCTCCACTCTTGTGTAAGATATCAAGTTTATCATATAATATCTTCCATTCAGCATCCACTATGGACTGGTATTCCTGTAATAAAGAGTTCATATACAAACATGAGATGGGTGGCTATTTAGGGATTGGTCTTTTGGTACAAGGTTACCAAAACAAATTTACAATTTATTTTTTTTTTATGAAAAAGTGACTTTATTATAACATTCATGTATACCAAATATGATGGATAAACAAGTCAGACAAACAGTCATCTTGTTAGAAGATATTTATCACAAAATAACCTGACTAAATGTCAAACTTTTCCACTAAATTAATTTATTTGACAGATGTATTTTTCCCTATCCAAAAATATTAAGATTGCCTGACTAAATTCTTGGTAAATCATTCAATTTAAAAATATCCAATCACAGTCCCTTTTTTGGTCAGAATAAGAACATTTTTTCTCACTAAATCTGACAATTTATCTATGGTTATGTAGGTTTTACAACTAAGTTAGAAATATACATTTATTCCCAACAACTCTCAGAAAACCCTGCCAGATACCAGTGATGACCATGACTGACCAAAACGACCAGTCTTGACCGATGGACACTGACATTAATGTACCACAGATGTAACACGAAGACCACCATTGAAAAAGTGTAGCCTTGCTGACTAATCTGTGGATTAAAATGAACAAAGCCTCATGTGGTCTTATATGTCTGTCATATATATAATTCATAACTTGTGAGGAAAAAAGGCCCACAAGAACATGTCCTGGTACATAATAACTTTCAACAACTGTGAAGATGAACAAGGCTGTTCTTTAAACATCCTTGGGTTTTAATCAAGTATTTTATTGGTATCATAAAAATTTAATGTTTAATTAAATATTGTTCCAGGATGGATTTACCTTGTAGGAGAAATAACTTTTAACAAAATATTTTCTCCTCTACCCGATTTGTTTAAAATTTGTTTTGTTTGCTTGATGAGGATTAATGCCACTTCCTGTACATTTGCACACTAAAATTAAGTTTTACTGGTGGAAAAAAACTTTGGTACATAGGATAAACCAACAACTTAAAAAACTTCAAGTAACTGATGTCACTTAATCAGGAGTAACCATGTTAACCACCAAGTTCAGGTAACCAGCATTGTCACAAACCTAGACTAAGTGTTTACAAATTGTTACTGGTCTCTTTCCTTTGCCTTGACCAAATTGCTGGTTCATCAGTCAGTCAGTGATGATATCCAATCACAGACCCCTCTTTATTCAAAATAAAACTAGGAGTGTCTGACTAAATCTGATAACTTATCTAAGGTCATGTATGAGGTTATGTAGGTTTTACAACTAAGTTAGAAATATGCATTTATTCCCAACAACTCTCAGAAAACCCTGCCAGATACCAGTGATGACCACGACTGACCAAAACGACCAGTCTTGACCGCTGGACACTGACATTACTGTACCACAGACGTAACACGAAGACCAACATTAAGGAAGTTTGGCCTTGCTGACTAATCTGTGGATTAAACTGAAATAAAATGCTCCGCTGGGGCGCAGCTTGATACGACCGCAGAGGTCGAACCCTGAACAGTTGGGGCAAGTATGGACACAACATTCAAGCTTGATACAGCACTGAATTTGGATTGTAATTAAATATTTGACACAGCATAGGTTTCTGACACAGAATGAAAGTGGTTTAAGAACTTAAAATTTTTTAATTTACCTATTCAAACCATATCATTATTATTTGCTTTTATATATAAATCAGAAATAACCAATTTAAAATGGAAAATTTTAAAGAAAAAAAATGAAAAAAAAAATCCCCCAGTGATATTGTTGTCTTTTTTCAAAACTACCTCTACCGTTTTTTATTGGGAAAAATGCATATTTTTTATGGAAATTGGGGAATTTGTATATTTTATTCTAAACACATCTCCGATTTTTTGCTGACCTTTGCTGTCTTTTTTGCACTGTTGTTTTCATGTATATTTTGGTTGTCAGACATTTTCAACCTGAAAGGTACTTTTCGGAGAGGGGAAAGAAACAGAAGCAATGATGGTACTTAATGCATTGAAAACCACACGTGTTACAAACACCATGATGATTCTGATCAGAAAACCGGATCTCAAAAGAGCTTTCTAATATCAAAATAATAACATGAGTACGATATTTACAAACATTACTACCAATTCCATCACTGTTTGGGGAAAATGTAAAACTTTTTGGGAGGAATTTTAAGCCATTTTTTTTTAGTAATTGGGAATTTTCTATAGGGGAAAAGGCCGAATTTCGGCTGTAATCTGAGGCAAACAATATCACTGTCCCCCCAAATTTTTTGAACCCCCTTATGATTCATCACCCCCAAACTCAATCCCAGCCTTCCCTTTGTGGTATGGTACCTTGCAGTACAATTTCAGAGAGATCCATACACTTGAACACAAGTTATTGTCTGGAAACTAGAAAATGCTTGTTTTTTGGCCCCAAATTCCTAAACGTTTAGGGCAATTACCCCCAAACTAAAACCCAGCTTTCCCTTTGTGATATGGATATGGACCCTTGCAGTACAATTTCATAAAGATCCATACACTTACACACAAGTTATTGTCCTGAAACTAGAAAAATGCTGTTTTTTTTCCCTTTTATGGCCCCTAATTCCTAATATTTTGAGGGAATTACCCCCAAAATCAATCCCAGCCTTCCCTTTGTGGTATGGTACCTTGCAGTACAATTTCAGAGAGATCCATACACTTGAACACAAGTTATTGTCTGGAAACTAGAAAAATGCTTATTTTTGGCCCCTTATTCCTAAACTTTTTGGGCAATTACCCCGAAACTCAATTCCAGCTTTCCCTTTGTGATATGGAACCTTGTAGTACAATTTCATAAAGATCCATATACTTACACATAAGTTATTGTCATGAAACTAGAAAAATGCTTGTTTTTTGCCCCTTTTTTGCCCCTAATTCCTAAAATTTGGAGGCAATTACCCCCAAAATCAATCCCAGCATTCCCTTTGTGATATGGAACAATGTCAGAGAGATCTATACACTTACACACAAGTTATGTCTGGAAGTTACAAAAATGCTTATTTTTGGCCCCTAATTCCTTAACTGTTGGTACCATAACCCCCAAAATCAATCCCCACCTTCCTTTTGTGGTATTTAACCTTATGGTAAAATTTCATTGAGATCCATTCACTTAAAATAAAGTTAGAGTGCGAAAACTAATGGTGTCTTCGGACGACGCCGCCGCCGGACGGAGACGACAATGCCAACGTCATACCAATATACGACCACAAAAATTTTTTGGCGGTCGTATAAAAAGCCTTGTGTGGTCTTATATGTCAGTCAAAAATATGATTCATAACTTGTGAAAATAAAACCACAAAATAATAAATTCTTGGACATGATAACTTAAAGATATAAAGGGGCACCAAAACAAGTTTTTAAAATAAAAATATATAAAATAGAGAGCACAAATGGACCTGTATTTATAGTAGTCAGAAGCTTATAAAGAGATATGCTTTTTGTTTAGTTTATCATTGGAAACATTCAAGAAACTGTCAAAAAAGAAAAGTGATGTTCTTCAATTTTATACACTTTTGTAAATCATCAACAAAAAAATTATTTCATTATTGATGTGAAAAATTTCATTGTACTATGCTTAATTTACTTTGCACGAAAAACAAAGGAATGGATTATTATCTGCTCTACTCCTTCCTGTTTTGAAAATAAATTTTTGTTAGATTGATTTGGTTTAATTTCACTCGTGTCATGTACATTTAAATAACAGCAAGTTTACTAATGGGAGCCTTCAATAGAGTTCTAAACAAGAATGTGTCCATAGTACACAGATGCCCCACTCGCACTATCATTTTCTATGTTCAGTGGATCGTGAAATTGGGGTAAAAACTCTAATTTGGCATTAAAATTAGAAAGATCATATCATAGGGAACATGTGTAATAAGTTTCAAGTTGATTGGACTTCAACTTCATCAAAAACTACCTTGACCAAAAACCTTAATCTGAAGCGGGATAGACAGACGGACGGATGAATGAACAGACGCACAGATCGAAAAACATAATGCCCCTCTTCTACCATAGGTGGCAAAAAAAACCTTACTAGTCTGGTACCTTAATTTATTAGAATTTCAGCATAACCTCTCCCTACTTTTTGAAATAGGATTATATGTTACAAACCTCTACAGAATCAACTCTAACTTCTGCATTATCTCTCTCAGCTTTCAGTTCCAATTCTATATTTAAAAGTGCTATTTTAGGTTTGGTGTATTTCTTTGGCTGCATTTCAAATCCAGCATAACTGAAGGTTTTCTTAAATGCTACTCCTGCTATTAATACAGAATCCTGTAAAAAGATGGGAATGCTACAATAAGCCTTACTATAAATGCCTTATCCACTATTTACAAAAACTTCTTTTTTTATCCAGTCTCTTAATTCATTGACCAAAAGGACAAAATTGAAGAAATGTATACATCAACTAAATTGTATTATCTGATTTTATTGCAAAAAAGAAGTTTCAATAGCACATGAAAATGCAAAAAAATATTGAAAATATAACATTGATAAATTGTTAAATTTTTCGTGAAAATAAATGTTTTGCAGAATTTTTTTTTTTTTAGCAAAACATTGCTTTCTGTAATCACAACCACAATATCTGCACATGTCAACTACCACCGCACCTAAATATGCTTTGGAATTGTTTTTTATTTTTTTTTATAGATCACATTTTTCTTTACCTCAAGACCTCCACCAGTAACTTTCTTCACACCAATCATGTTAAGGGGAAGTAACTCATCCAATAACATAACAGCATCAACTACCATCTTTGTGAAGAAATCTTTCTGATGAGCAACCAGTTTAGAACTCAATGAAGTGGCAGCACATTTCTCTAATAACTGTCTCATTTCCCTGTAAAACATAGCATTTTATGTATTTTACATTCTAGATATATACCTTAAACAAACTGAATATTAGGATAAGTGATTACTGGTAGCTGTTAAATTATAAACAATCAAGAGGTACCAATTTTTGTTGATTTTAAACTATGGAAACCATATCCAACTCTGTGATAAATTTTGCATATGAACTGATATACAGTTGTGATATTATTTTTAGTTCTTAAATAGGAATTTTAGCAATTCCTTCACAGAACTTTAAAAATTTAGACAAATACAAAGTTGATTGTAACTTAACACAAGAAACAAGGGAGGCTACATCTGATTTCACATATCATTTGAAAGTTACTTGTTTAATCATGTTTGTTGATCCAAATCTGTGAATGACTTACTTTGGATCACTTTTGTTGATCCTCATAGATATTTCTCTGATTTTCTTAACAGCCTGAAAGAGAGAAAACATCTGTAAAAGTATGAGGGACAAATTATTACTTTTTTTCCCTATTAAAGCAATACAAATTTTCTGTATAAAAGAGCTTCCAAATTCCTTTTTTGGTAATAAATTTCAAGTCTTGTTTGTTTTTAAAAGGTTTGCATTATATTTTCAATCTTACTCATTTAATCTAAAAGTTCTAAAACTAAAGGAAAGGGGTCTCCTTGATTGGCTGCCATCCTATTTGGACTGAAAATAAAATAGAAACATTCTACCTACAGGATTGCAACTGCTAGCCTTAAATAACAGATTTTCACCATATTGTGAGGAATATTTATGGCATTTTTGTTACATGTCATATCTTGAAATGTTTTTGTTATTTGTAGAGTGCTGATGGTAGATCTTTGACAGTCTCTTATAGACTAAGGGTGACTTTGATCTTGGCATATTGTGTAGACCTGTCTACAGTTAAAGAATGTATGTTGCCCTCCCTCTAGATGTCTTATTTTTGTCATTGGATTGCTGTCTCCTTGATGTTTACCCCACATCACCATTTTTTCATATGTGTTAACAAGTAACTTACCTCTGTTGCTGCCTTTCTAAAAGCTTTGATTATGATCTGTGGATGAACCGCCTCTTCTATAAATGGCTTGGCTTCTTTAAGGAACTCACCAGCTAACAATGTGACTGAGGTAGTTCCATCACCTACCTATAATCAAATAAAGAATGTTAACAAATACTTATTTAAATATATACATGTACACTGATATTTTATTTAAAGTGAGTTTTTAAAGGTTCAGCTACCTTGTAACATTTTGTTGTTGATTTCTTCTGACCTTTAACTTGAGGTAACTTGAAAAGATATCCGATTCATATTTTTCCATTGTTTTTTTTTTCTGTTTCTGGTGTGAACATGTAGATGTGAACCCTTTCCATCTGTAATTAAACCTCTCTTTTATAGAGTGGAAAGTATGTAAAACAGGGAACAACATTTTCATTGTGGTATATGCAGTCAAACTTGTATAGAACCTTTTTTTTTTTTTTTTTTAAAGATTTGAACAATTCAACGAATTGTAGATTTTACAAACTATGTAAGAGGTCATAGATACCTCCAACAACTATCGAAAACCCTGACAGATATCGATGACATTGTCATTCCTTTACCACAGTTGTGACACAAAGACCAAAGATACAACTGGCCTTGCTGAATGATCTGTGGAGTATTAAACTCAAATATTTGTATTATTCATAGGAGGTAACTTGAAAAGATATTATAAATTTGTAATGTTCAGATTCAAACTGGTAAAAAAGAAATATTACCACATCTTCCGACATGCATTTTATTTTACCTTTTTCAACTGGATCAAATCACAAATCTTTATCATAAAATACATGACCCTTTCCATCTGTTATAACACCTTTTCTTTTATAGAGTTCAGGAGCAAGAATGTAAAACAGAGAATATTTTCATTGTGGTATAATCACCTGTCATTTCCTGTATTTGCAGTCAAACTTGTATAGAACCTTTTTTTTAAAGATTTGAATAATACAACAAGTTGTAGGTTTTACAAACTATGTAAGAGGTCATAGATACCTCCAACAACTCTCGAAAACCCTGACAGATATCGATGACATTGTCATTACTTTACCACAGTTGTGACACAAAGACCAAAGATACAACTGGTCTTGCTGAATGATCTGTGGAGTATAAATCTCAAATATTTGTATTATTCATAGATAACTTGAACAGATATCATAATTTTGTAATGTTTAGATTCAAACTGGTAAAAAAGAAATATTATCACACCTTCCTAGTCCAAGAACACAGTTCTTTTGTAATGCATTTCTTTTAGACAATAAACACAAATTAGAAAATTCACACCTGCTCAACCTCAAAATGATTTTTTCAATATACATGATGTAGTGTACTACTTTGGGACAAATTATATCAAAATTATAGAAAACATCATCAGCTCTAACTTAAAATATGGGCAATTTTATGTTGAGGGGTCTGTGATTCAGATTGACAGCTTCAGAAATACTAATTTTTGACCTTTTTCAACCGGACCAAATCATTTCTTACCAATAAAATGCATGACCCTTTCCATCTGGAATAAACACCTTTTCTTTTAAAGTTCACGAACAAGAAAGTAAAACAGATAATGTTTTCACTGTGGTATAATCACCTGTATATGCAGTCAAACTTGTATAGAACCTTTTTTTTTAAAGATTTGAACAATACAACAAATTGTAGGTTTTACAAACTATGTAAGAGGTCATAGATACCTCCAACAACTCTCGAAAACCCTGACAGATATCGATGACATTGTCATTACTTTACCACAGTTGTGACACAAAGACCAAAGATACAACTGGTCTTGCTGAATGATCTGTGGAGTATAAATCTCAAATATTTGTATTATTCATAGATAACTTGAACAGATATCATAATTTTGTAATGTTTAGATTCAAACTGGTAAAAAAGAAATATTATCACACCTTCCTAGTCCAAGAACACAGTTCTTTTGTAATGCATTTCTTTTAGACAATAAACACAAATTAGAAAATTCACACCTGCTCAACCTCAAAATGATTTTTTCAATATACATGATGTAGTGTACTACTTTGGGACAAATTATATCAAAATTATAGAAAACATCATCAGCTCTAACTTAAAATATGGGCAATTTTATGTTGAGGGGTCTGTGATTCAGATTGACAGCTTCAGAAATACTAATTTTTGACCTTTTTCAACCGGACCAAATCATTTCTTACCAATAAAATGCATGACCCTTTCTATCTGGAATAAACACCTTTTCTTTTATAGTTCACGAACAAGAAAGTAAAACAGATAATATTTTCACTGTGGTATAATCACCTGTATATGCAGTCAAACTTGTATAGAACCTTTTTTTTTAAAGATTTGAACAATACAACAAATTGTAGGTTTTACAAACTATGTAAGAGGTCATAGATACCTCCAACAACTCTCGAAAACCCTGACAGATATCGATGACATTGTCATTACTTTACCACAGTTGTGACACAAAGACCAAAGATACAACTGGCCTTGCTGAATGATCTGTGGAGTATAAATCTCAAATATTTGTATTATTCATAGATAACTTGAACAGATATCATAATTTTGTAATGTTCAGATTCAAACTGGTAAAAAAGAAATATTATCACACCTTCCTAGTCCAAGAACACAGTTCTTTTGTAATGCATTTCTTTTAGACAATAAACACAAATTAGAAAAATCACACCTGCTCAACCTCAAAATGATTTTTTTCAATGTACATGATGTAGTGTACTACTTTGGGACAAATTATATCAAAATTATAGAAAACATCATCAGCTCTAACTTAAAATATGGGCAATTTTATGTTGAGGGGTCTGTGATTCAGATCGACAGCTTCAGAAATACTAATTTTTGACCTTTTTCAACTGGACCAAATCACTTCTTACCAATAAAATGCATGACCCTTTCTATCTGGAATTAACACCTTTTCTTTTATAGTTCACGAACAAGAAAGTAAAACAGATAATATTTTCACTGTGGTATAATCACCTGTATATGCAGTCAAACTTGTATAGAACCTTTTTTTTTAAAGATTTGAATAATACAACAAATTGTAGGTTTTACAAACTATGTAAGAGGTCATAGATACCTCCAACAACTCTCGAAAACCCTGACAGATATCGATGACATTGTCATTACTTTACCACAGTTGTGACACAAAGACCAAAGATACAACTGGCCTTGCTGAATGATCTGTGGAGTATAAATCTCAAATATTTGTATTATTCATAGATAACTTGAACAGATATCATAATTTTGTTATCTTCAGATTCAAACTGGTAAAAAAGAAATATTATCACACCTTCCTAGTCCAAGAACACAGTTCTTTTGTAATGCATTTCTTTTAGACAATAAACACAAATTAGAAAATTCACACCTGCTCAACCTCAAATGATTTTTTCAATGTACATGATGTAGTGTACTACTTTGGGACAAATTATATCAAAATTATAGAAAACATCATCAGCTCTAACTTAAAATATTGACAATTTTATGTTGATGAGGGGTCTGTGATTCAGTTTGACAGCTTCAAAAATACTAATTTTTTACCTTTTTCAACTGGACCAAATCACTTCTTACCAATAAAATGCATGACCCTTTCCATCTGGAATTAACACCTTTTCTTTTATAGTTCACGAACAAGAAAGTAAAACATAATATTTTCACTGTGGTATAATCACCTGTATATGCAGTCAAACTTGTATAGAACCTTTTTTTTAAAGATTTGAACAATACAACAAATTGTAGGTTTTACAAACTATGTAAGAGGTCATAGATACCTCCAACAACTCTCGAAAACCCTGACAGATATCGATGACATTGTCATTACTTTACCACAGTTGTGACACAAAGACCAAAGATACAACTGGCCTTGCTGAATGATCTGTGGAGTATAAATCTCAAATATTTGTATTATTTAAGGAATGACTGTAATATTTTTTCTGTCTATGAAGAAATAACATCAAAAATGTGGTGCACACTGAATAACCCGCATAGCGGGTTATTTTAAAGTGTGCAACACATTTTTTATGTTATTTCGAATAGACAGAAAAAATATTACAGCCATTTCTTATAATTTAATTCTAAATTCCATTTTAAACCGGAGTAAACCATGAAAAAACGTTGATGACGTCACGGTCACATGACAAAATTATGTCTATGAGCTGATAAACAAAACAACGTCAGCCAATCAGAAGACGCATTACATCCAAAATTAAATTATTCATATATAGATAACTTGAACAGATATCATAATTTTGTAATGTTCAGATTCAAACTGGTAAAAAAGAAATATTATCACACCTTCCTAGTCCAAGAACACAGTTCTTTTGTAATGCATTTCTTTTAGACAATAAACACAAATTAGAAAATTCACACCTGCTCAACCTCAAAATGATTTTTTCAATATACATGATGTAGTGTACTACTTTGGGACAAATTATATCAAAATTATAGAAAACATCATCAGCTCTAACTTAAAATAGGGGCAATTTTATGTTGAGGGGTCTGTGATTCAGATTGACAGCTTCAGAAATACTAATTTTTGACCTTTTTCAACCGGACCAAATCACTTCTTACCAATAAAATGCATGACCCTTTCCATCTGGAATAAACACCTTTTCTTTTATAGTTCACGAACAAGAAAGTAAAACAGATAATATTTTCACTGTGGTATAATCACCTGTATATGCAGTCAAACTTGTATAGAACCTTTTTTTTAAAGATTTGAACAATACAACAAATTGTAGGTTTTACAAACTATGTAAGAGGTCATAGATACCTCCAACAACTCTCGAAAACCCTGACAGATATCGATGACATTGTCATTACTTTACCACAGTTGTGACACAAAGACCAAAGATACAACTGGTCTTGCTGAATGATCTGTGGAGTATAAATCTCAAATATTTGTATTATTCATAGATAACTTGAACAGATATCATAATTTTGTTATCTTCAGATTCAAACTGGTAAAAAAGAAATATCACACCTTCCTAGTCCAAGAACACAGTTCTTTTGTAATGCATTTCTTTTAGACAATAAACACAAATTAGAAAATTCACACCTGCTCAACCTCAAAATGATTTTTTCCAATGTACATGATGTAGTGTACTACTTTGGGACAAATTATATCAAAATTATAGAAAACATCATCAGTTGTAACTTAAAATATGGGTAATTTTATGTTGAGGGGTCTGTGATTCAGATTGACAGCTTCAGAAATACTAATTTTTGACCTTTTTCAACTGGACCAAATCACTTCTTGCCAATAAAATGTATGACCCTTACCATCTGGAAATAACACCTTTTCTTTTATAGTTCACGAACAAGAAAGTAAAACAGATAATATTTTCATTGTGGTATAATCACCTGTCATTTCCTGTATTTGCAGTCAAACTTGTATAGAACCTTTTTTTTTAAGATTTGAACAATACAACAAATTGTAGATTTTACAACCTATGTAAGAGGTCATAGATACCTCCAACAACTCTCGAAAACCCTGACAGATATCGATGACATTGTCATTACTTTACCACAGTTGTGACACAAAGACCAAAGATACAACTAGTCTTGCTGAATGATCTGTGGAGTATAAATCTCAAATATTTGTATTATTCATAGGTCATATCTTTCTTCCCATCTTTTAATAATGAGAAAAGCATAAACCTAACTTTAATTTTTGACTGGTCTAAACAAAAACCTCCATCAATACATAGCAGGCAAATTTTTTACACTGGTTTCAAAATTATGTGCAGTCGTAGATTTCCTTGTTCAAACAAGTGTCATCCAGCTGGTTGCCAAACAGCAGATTTTTCATTCTGTGCTTTACCGTTACTACATATATTCTAGATAGGCAAAAAAGGGGGGCGCACTTGTACTGTCTTATCATTTAGGTATTTCCTGTTATACTTTATATGTATTTCTATATAAACAGACCTCAGCATCCTGTGATTTAGCTATGTCTACCAATGTCTTGGCTGCAGGATGGACAATATCTAATGTCTTCAGAATTGTAGCTCCATCATTTGATATAGTAGCTTTACCTATAATTCATAAAGTTTCTACATAATTTGTTTCAGTCTATATTTATATGCAAGTAGTTACATTATTATAAAATTTCTTTCAACTACTAGATAACTAGAACTCAACAAAAAAAAATGATTTTTTTAGACAAAATTTTACATACATGTACAATGAAGATACAACTTTAGTATTTTGCAATTTAACAGCATGTGTTTGCTGATTTTTTTTGTTTAATTCTTAGAAGAGAGGAGAAAGATACCAAAGGGACATTCACACTTATAATAAAATTGAGATAAGTCCACCTAACTGATGTGACAAAGCCATGGCAAAAAAAGAATCAAAGAGCTGAAAGCTCTAAGTAAAAATGACGCCATTGTCTCTCATATTGGGATATTTTTGATGCAAGTCTTGATTTTTACATAATTTACCTACTGAATCTTAGGCGACGTTCAGTTTATGGTAGGTAGGGTAACTGATAGAATAGATATGAATTGTTTCCACAATCTATAGTGTTTTTATTTGTTTGTCAAGATATATATATATATATATATATATATATATATATATATATGTGTGAAGTGAAAATAACTACTAGTTGTTCTGCTGTACAAAGAAATAGCTCAAGACTACCTGAACAATCTACAATATTCAAAGTAATATGTGAATTTGTTTCCCTTATTTGTAGAATTATTTAACAAAATGATTATGAAGAGCCTGTAGTAAGAAAGCTCTTATACAAAACATAGTCCTTATTCAAGAGATAAGTTACAGGTGACCTAGTGACATAATCACTGTTATTTCAGTTACCTAAACGTGATCAATTTCTGTAGATTTAGACAATAGTATTGTTATACTTGTTTCACAATTACAAACAATGTGACACCATTTATACAACTTAATTTCATTGTGAAGAGCCTGTAGTAATCAAGCTTACACTGAAATCTTAAAATGACAACATAAATTATTGCAAAATTATTTTTTTCAAATGATTTAATGTTTAGTACCGTAGTCATTTATTTCAAATAATTGACCCGTAATAAAATAAGGAGATGGGGTGTGATTGCCAATGAGATAACAGTCTGAGGTACTATCTACCCGAGTCCAAATAATGTGGCTGTTGGCAGTTATAAGTCACTTTCAGACCTCAACAATGTACCAAACCGGTTTATTGTTTTCATGTACCACAGGAAAAAGAGGAGTTGTGGCCAGGTGCTGCCAGGATTTAAAACTATTAGAATTACACAGTTTTGTCTGCATTCAGAGAAAATTTCATGGTGTAAACACAGCCATTTTTGTTGGTGTATATTAGATGAACCTTAAAGGTGGATTATCAGATTATTGGTCACAGGAATATTAAAGTGATTGTTGACTTTTCGAATATAAAAATATGCACAAAGAAGGAAATATATCTGATTCCTTGTGAAAATTAAAAGATAGAACATTGTACTTTACTGGATTTGGTAATTTAATTTCAAGAATGACAACATGTATGATCTGTTACCATAAGTGTAAAATTTGTCCATTAGCTACTGTTTATTATGTTTATGGTTGAACTGCATCTTTGAACTTTGTCAACCAGTCATGATTTACTTCTTAAGCTGTGTAAGAACCTTCTTGTAATTGAAAATTGGTCTGCCATGATCACGATTTCTACAATATTCTGAGTTCCTGACAAGTTCAAAATTTAGCATATTTGCAGTTTACAATACCCAAAGATCAGGAGAAACAACGATTTTGATTGGCTGATCACAGTTGTCTCCCTTGGAAAAAGTTTGAGAAAGTTCGAAATTGGGAACAGTAGAATTTAACAAAATCGTGCAATCGTGACAAGGGGTCAAAATCGAGTATTTCACGCCTGAATCGTGCAAGTTGGCAGGTATGACAGGTTTAGAAATTAAAGAATGAAAATTACAAATTTAAGTCTGTTCCAGTTGTATTTCCAACAAGATGATTGAAAATTGTCCGACGGTCACAAAGGTTAATGACCGCCATTTTGTACACAACAAGACATATTGAAGGGAGACAACACCATCTGTTATTTTAAAATGTACATTTGCAATGCTGGAGTTGTCTTTCTTTTACCAATGTATGAGCATACGAACATTCACTTCAAGTATGTAAAATACGGAACCGAGTTCGGAATGCGGATTGGAAGTCTGGTCAATGGTAAAAGAAAATTGACTGCGTCATTTTCTAATAAAATGCTCCGCTGGGGCGCAGCTTGATACGACCGCAGAGGTCGAACCCTGAACAGTTGGGGCAAGTATGGACACAACATTCAAGCTTGATACAGCACTGAATTTGGATTGTAATTAAATATTTGACACAGCATAGGTTTCTCACACAGAATGAAAGTAGTCTAAGAACTTAAAATTTTTTAATTTACCTATTCAAACCATATCATTATTATTTGCTTTTATATATAAATCAGAAATAACCAATTTAAAATGGAAATTTTAAAGAAAAAAAAGGAAAAAAAAATCCCCCCCCCCAAATTTTTTGAAACCCCCTTATGATTCATCACCCCCAAACTCAATCCCAGCCTTCCCTTTGTGGTATGGTACCTTGCAGTACAATTTCAGAGAGATCCATACACTTGAACACAAATTATTGTCTGGAAACTAGAAAAATGCTTGGGTTTTTTGCACCTTTTTGGCCCCAAATTCCTAAAAGTTTAGGGCAATTACCCCCAAACTCAAACCAAGCTTTCCCTTTGTGATATGGAACCTTGCAGTACAATGTCATAAAGATCCATACACTTACACACAAGTTATTGTCCTGAAACTAGAAAAATGCTTGTTTTTTTGCCCCTTTATGGCCCCTAATTCCTAACATTTTGAGACAATTACCTCCAAAAACAATCCCAGCCTTCCCTTTGTGGTATGGTACCTTGCAGTACAATTTCAGAGAGATCCATACACTTGAACACAAGTTATTGTCTGGAAACTAGAAAAATGCTTATTTTTGGCCCCTTATTCCTAAACGTTTTGGGCAAGTACCCCCAAACTTAATTCCAGCTTTCCCTTTGTGATATGGAACCTTGTAGTACAATTTCATAAATATCCATACACTTACACACAAGTTATTGTCATGAAACTAGAAAAATGCTTGTTTTTTGCCCCCTAATTCCTAAAATTTGGAGGCAATTACCCCCAAAATCAATCCCAGCATTCAAACCCTCAATCAGCATCATTTAACAGTAATATCTAAAAATGGAAATTACATAATAAAGGTATTAAAATAGAAAATGACATCATAGTCATGGCTAAAAATAAACAAAATCCTTAATCAGCAACATTTTACAGTAATATCTAAAAATAAAATTCCTTTGTAACCATAAAAGCCCATTTAAATACATCATGACAGATATTATAATAGAAAATGACATCATAGTCATGGCTAAACATAGCAAAAACCTTAATCAGCATCATTTAACAGTAATATCTAAAAATAAAAATTTCTTTGCAACCATAAAAGTAAAATAGAAAATGACATCATAATCATAGCTAAAAATAAAAAAAAAAAATTTTTATTACCAAATTTTAATTGGAGTTTATTAAACTAAAACAATAAATTTGCAACCATAAAACCCCATTTAAACACATCATAAAAGTATTAAATAATTCAACTACATCATAAGGCTATAAAAATAGAAAATGACTTCATAGTCAAGGCTAAAGGTAAACAAAAAACCTTCATCAGCAAAATTTTATATTGGCAAATTTCCAATGAAGTTTATTATACTAAAATTGTTGGCAAATTTCCAATGCATTTATTAACAATAAAGTTATTGGCAAATTTCCAATTTACATAATTTAAAAGCAGTGTAAGTGAGATATTTAAATGAGTTTGAATTACCAACCTTACACTGCTTTTAAATAATGTTTTGTACTTATTTGTCTATTAACCTGGAAACCCTTGTTTTTTCACCTTTTTTTCCCTTATTATTTAAAGGTTTGAGCCATAACCCTACCCCAAAGCCAATTCTTAAATTCCAATGTAACCTAAATTTACAATATACATAACTTCAATTTAAGTTTTTGATAAAATCAAACCACATCATTATTATTTGCTTTTATATCTAAATCAGAAATAATTAACCAACTTTAAGTGGAAAATTTTCACACATCACGCCCCCCCAAACTCAATCCCAGCCTTCAGTTTGTGGTATGGTACCTTGCAGTACAATTTCACAGAGATCCAATTACTTAAACACAATTAATTGTTGGAAACTAAAAAAAATGCTTATTTTTAACCCCTTTTTTAGCCCCTTATTCCTAAACATTTGAGCAATTATCCCCCAAACTCAATTCCAACTTTCTCTTTGTGATCAGAATTAACCAACTTAAAATGGAAAATTTTAAAGAAAAAAAAAAGGAAAAAAAATCCCCCCCCCCCCCCAAAATTTTTTGACCCACTTCCCTTTGTGGTATGGTACCTTTAATTACAATTTCAGAGAAATCCATACACTTGAACACAAGTTAATGTCTGGAAACTAAAAAAATGCTTATTTTTGCCCCCTTTTTTGGCCACTTATTAATAAATGTTTTGGGCAAACATTTTACAATAATATTTAAAACTGAAATTAATTTGTAACCTTAAAATTAAATAGAAAATGACATCATAGTCATAGCTAAAAATAAACAAACTATTGGTAAATTTCCAATGGAGTTTATTATATTAAAACAATAAATTTGCAACCATAAAAGCGCATTAAAATACATCATAAAAGTATTAAAAAAAATTTAACTACATCATAAGGCTATTAAAATAGAAAATGACATCATACTGTAAATTCAGAAATTATTGCGATGTTTTTATTATTGCGAAAAATGCGACAGGGTTATAATCGCAATAATTTAAACTCGCATTTTGAAGTTTTTTCTATGAATTAAACAGGACTTTTCTCAAAACCGCAAAAATTAAAATCGCAGTTTAGTCTAAAATGACAAAATCGCAATAATAAATGCACGCAATAATTTCTGAATTTACAGTAGTCAGACTAAAGGTAAACAAAAAACCTTCATCAGCAAAATTTTATATTGGCAAATTTCCAATGAAGTTTATTATACTAAAATAATTGGCAAATTTCCAATTTACATAATTCAAACATAGTGCAGGTGAGATATTTAAATGAGTTTGAATTACCAACCTTACACTGCTTTTAAATAATGTTCTTTACTCAATTATTTGTCTATTAAAATGGAAACCCTAGTTTTTTAACCTTTTTTCCCCTTATTCCTTAAACGAAAAAAAATAATTACCCCTTTTTTGACCCCCCCCCCCCTATGATTCATCACCCCCCCTTCCCCCCCAAACCAAGCTCAATAACAGCCTTGCCTTTGTGGTATGGTACCTTGTAATACAATTTTAGAGAGATCCATACACTTGAACACAAGTTATTGTCTAGAAACTAAAAAATGCTTATTTTTCACCCCTTTTTAGGCCCCTTCTTACTAAACGTTTTGGGCAATTACCACAAAACTCAATTCCAGCTTTCCCTTTGCGAAATGGAACCTTGTAGTAAAATTTCAGAAAGATCCATACACTTACACACAAGTTATTGTCATGAAACTAGAAAAATGCTTGTTTTTTGCCCCCTTTTGGCCCCTTATTCCTAAAATTTCGAGGAAATTAACCCCAAAATCAATCCCATCATCGACCCTTTGTGATATGGAATCTTGTAGTACAATGTCAAAGAGATCCATACAATAACACACAAGTTATGTCTGGAAGTTACAAAAATGCTTATTTTCGGCCCCTTTTTGGCCCCTAATTATTTAACTGTTGGTACCATAACCCCCAAAATCAATCCCCACCTTCCTATTGTGGTATTGAACCTTATGGTAAAATTTCATAGAGATCCATTCACTTAAACTAAAGTTAGAGTGCGAAAACCATTGTGTATTCGGACGACGACGCCGACGACGACGCCAACGTCATACCAATATACGACCACAAAATTTTTTTGCGGTCGTATAAAAACAACATACACAATGTAGAAAACTAAAGACTGTGTAAAACAGACTTCACCAAAAACTTATATTTTTAGAATTTATAATATAGCAGATGTTATCAAACATTGCTCTTTTCAAATCCTACTACATGAAATACTTCAAGCCCCATGATCCTAGACAAGTAGTTTTTCAAAAATCAAAAAATCTGTACCAACAACAATCAATGATTTGTACTGCACTTTAAACTATATAAAAGTTCTGAACATTAACCTACTCTAACAGCATAAAAATATCTCATTTTTGTATCAGCATGAAGGTGTCACCAACCTATAATACGTGGGGTGGTTTTTTTAAATAATAAAGGTTTGTGCTTCTTTCGGTTGTATCTGTTATTTCTAAAACTTCATTGCAGTTGTATACTTAATGTTTACTTTACATTCAAATAACTTTTTTTATAAAAAACAGTAATTAATCTTATACATGTTAAATTATTTCTTACCCTTATCATCAATAATGAGTTTGTCCATCCCCCTTGGACCAAGTGTGGTACGTACTGCATCAGCAATCGCCTGACAAGCATTTATGTTACTGACAATTTGAGGTACACCTTGTGAGGTGTCTGTACCCTCCTTCAGAAGAATTATCTGTGGCTGCTGCAATACAATAAAACAAACATTACTTCATAGTTAACTTTAATTGGTATTTACAAAGCTAATTTGGTATGATTGTTAGGTGTTTGTAAATCATGATAGTTGTTACAACTAGCTTTGGTGTATTACACTAAATATTTTAGGTGTAATACCACCAAATCATAGCAAGTTACATCCTGTTGCATACGAAAATAGGTCGAAAAAAAATATTCCCTTGAATTTGAGAGTTGTAGGTAATTAATCCTACCTTTCATTGAAGTAAAACCTTTTTGGTCATAAACATATATCTTGGGTATTTAAAAGCACCATTATTTTTTTTTTGGGGGGGGGGGGGGAGGGGGGGGGGGGTTTCTATAGAATATTTTGGAAACTTGAGGTTACATGGTTACTAAAGCTTGTACACAGTTTAATAAAAGGGGAAAATTTGATTGGTTAACTTCCAGTGATGGTTATTTTCTTATATGCAATGAAATATTATGTGAAATTTTTTCTATAGGTAAAGAACCACTAATTCAGACCCGGTCCGAAAGAACATACAAGAAAGTAGTACATATTTTAAACAAAATAGTTCCTACGCATAGCTGTATCTTTGTCAATAGTGGGAATATTTGGGTAGTTTTAGTATCAAATGAAAGCTTGGGGACTTGGGATCACTGTAGAACCCTTGTTGAAAGTTTTATTTGAATAATAAAGAAGTATATGAAATTTTAATAGGAGGGCTCATTTGGCCTGTTGTTCAGATCAGAAGTTCCTGTTTTTGTACTATCAAACTTCCGGGAACCAGTACGCTCTAATATGCAATTAAATGTATGTTGATTTTTTCAGCACAAGTCAGCATAAGGTACAGTTTTGACATGAAATAACTGCCAATTTATTTGAACTTAAGACAAAGTAGCCATTTATGCTTGAAATTTCAGAATTTAAGATAGAAAGCAATGGGGCTATGAATTAGTGGTTTTATACCTATAGTACTGGACAGGATAAAACTTTACTCATGCCAAGTATTTCTTTATTTGAAACAAAGATAAATTTTGCACATTTTTTTGAAAAGTGCAAATTTAACAAAGATTAATAGGGGAAAATCAATGGTGGTATTACACCTTTAGTGTTCTTTTTTGTTTGGAAAAGTGCATGATTTGAATGATTGTGTGAGCTTAAAAGTTTATAATTATTGTTGATGTTTATTGTTCTAAGCTTTGTAACACATGGAAATAAATGCTCTATATGAATTGATAGCGGATACCTTTGATCATTATGACAATATTCATTATTCATTTCGTCAAAATAATTCACAAAACAATAAAGGAAACCAGTTTACCTTTTTAAAAAGTTACTTTATTTTAAAACAATAAAAAAACTTTACATATTTTTTTTAATTCACTAGGCCTAACCAAAAAACAATTCAAAAATTATTCAACACAAAACCTATACAAAGGATCAGAAGAAGAATATTAAAGGGGGTGAACAAGCATTTGGACAAACGAACCAGGATTCTATATAATTCTATGCACAACATAGAAGATTAATACTGAGTATGACACACTCATTCTAGAAATTTCACAGTTAAAGGGTGGAACATTACTTGGTCCTTTTAAATTAGACTTTTTTCTATTTTTATGACCCCCCCCCCCCCCCCCCTCCAAAGCCTTTCAAGACCTCAAGGAAATTTTAATTCTGAAACACTAGACACAATCAAATTTAAGGATGCTAGGATTTAAAACGTTTCCAACTGCACAGGTTTTTTTATGAACTCAGCCCTTTTTACCCAATTGTTATGATCATTCATATCAAGTAACAATCAATAACTCAATCGTTATTACAATGCATACGGCATACTATTTAAGTATTTTATACAGAAACAAGCTTCGTAACGTCAAGGCAACCCATGTAAAACCCAAGGCCAAAACAAAAATTTTGTTTTAACAAAATCCATGGCAACATATAATTATCAAACGAAACAAAAAAGCGCAATTCTGTAAGAGTTTTGTTCTTTAATGTAATTGAAACATAAATATAAGCTCGCTTAAAAATAAGGAGAATACACTGTTGTTCAGGAATGTTCTAGACTATAGGGAGATACATGTGTATACATGCACTAAAACATGGGCATTTTCATCAAATTAAATAACAAAACGATTATTTGTGTCTACAATTTAATATAAAAGAGACCCTTATATCACCAAAGATGTGATGAAATGTTTTTAAACCGTTTAAATCGGTAGATGATTGTCGATTCTATTTCAGGTTGTCGAGAAGGGGAACCTACCATATTGTTGTCTTTAGTGAAGAATGAATGTAAGGGTAGATAACCAATTTTCCCCGCGGAATATTCGAGTATTCGGAATGTAATTTTTTCAATGTTGAGCTGAGACTATTATACTAATAAATACTAGCATAATAGTCCCAGTGTTGAGGGACAAAAGTTTTTACCTGCAGAGATATGTAAAGTTTAAAATGTTGATAGTTTCTATGAACTTATGAATAGTAATGATAAATTCACTCTTGTTGGATTGTTCGCTAAATTCTGTAAAATTGTAATGTCAATATTTAAGTGATATTTACCTTCCTGGATAATTCTGTACATGTATATATGTTTAATTTTGTTCCTGCATTATATTTGTTACATTGTATTGTTTGTACTATCATGCCTCATGTGAGGTCTATAGTGAAATAAAAAGTTTCAAAAGTTTTAAAAAAGGAATATCCGCATATGGGAACTCCGAAATTGACATTTAAAGAAAATGGAAAATCATGAGCTTTTTTCCGAGAGAAAATTGAGAGATATCATTAAAATTCAAAATTCAAAATAGACACAATAGTTTCAGTTTTCCTTGGGAAGACTGGCTGGACGGACTGATATGTAGGCATATCAGTAATCTGGGACTATCATACCAAGATTAATTAAATTAGGTGTACAGTTGTATTATTATATACTACATGTAAAACTTTGAAATGTTGTTTTGTATATTATCATATGATTTGTAATGGAGAACACTAATGTAATATTAGTTATCATCTGAAAATCTGAGAATGCCCGTATCTGTAACACCTGTAGTGACCGTGGCTTTCAGACGTAATCTGTGTCATGATAACTGGTTTTCTGCAGTTATCATGGAACACTATGGTCTTCAACATCATATACAATTACATCCTGTCGAGACTAAAGTCCTATATTTGCTATGCACCAAGTCGTGCTTTTCTCGGACTTATGTTTCTGTTCGTTACTGCATGTCTGTCATATTTGTTTTTCGTTTACTGTTTGAAGCATAAATTACGCCGTTGGTTTTCTTTTTTGAATTGTTTCACATTTTGCCATGCCAGGCCTTTTATAGCACTCGTTCTGTGGTACAAGATTTAGATTTGTTTTTCATTGTTTGCACTGAATATTCAATTTCCCATGTGTTGCCTTACCTTGTTTTGGATGAATTTATCCGCCATGTATTTTTGTGCTTGTAATTTAAATAATGTGTGTTTTCTTAGAAAAGAACCACAAAGCTGGGTCTGTGTTCCTTATCATATAAAAGGTATTTCGGTTAAGGTAGTATGGACCCGTAGGACTTATCCCTGACCATATGTTTCCCTTTTAACCGGATTTTTGAAGGAAATATCGGTTATTGATTTGGTGATGTACGGCGGGCGGGCGGGTTGGTGGACGGGCGGCTGCCAAACAGTGTCCGTTCAATTAAAATGAAAACGCTTTGATGAAATTTTTTCAAATTTAGATATGTTGTTTCCTGTGACTAAATGAAGGTCAAGTTCAATTTTCACGATTTTAACTTTTCTCCTTGTTGAGCTATCGCCCTTTTTAATATCCAAAAGTGGTATTTATAATGTGATTGAGTTATTTCTCTTTTTACAGAAATGGTCAATTATCTATATAAAGTTTGATTACACTAAGTGTTTTAAAATAATATACTCCTGTTATCAGATTATGACAAAGCATATGGTAAATGTCTTATCTCACAATTATAATTGGAGTAACATATTTATTTGAAAATTCTCTGTTTCCTAAGCGCTGATGATTATAAGCTATATAGGACTGTATAAATATAGTAAGAAATTTACTGGTCATTTTTAGACATTTTGTAGATAATTAAGTCTCCCTAAAACATATATATTTTTACCCCCACCCCCTTCAATTTGAGAATGTGCTTTTATCTTGTAAACGGTCGAGATCCCCACCCCTAAACAATATATATTCTTGTATGGGACAATAAAACAAATCAAATGAAATATTGGGGGAGTCCCCGGGTTCACCCCCACCCACCCGTTCTTTTTGAAAACTTGTAAACGGTCAAGATCCCCACCCTGAAACCATATATATTCTTGTATGGGACAATAAAACAAATCAAATGAAATAAAAGGCGAGTCTCCTGGGGATCACCCCCCCCCCCTTTTGAGCACTTGTCAACGGTCGAGATCCCCACCCCTAAACCATATATATTCCTGTTCGTCATTCAAGAAGATTTGAATGACATACAGAGTCAATCCATAGGCGTCACTTATGCATATCACAAACCAATTTGTACTGGACTTTGCCCAATGTCAGGCGACCATGGGAATGACGAATTATGGGAGCTTTGTTTGGGATACTTCGTAACAGCATCCTGTTACAATTATTTCTTGTTACTGATAAGTTTTATAGATTTTGAAAAGACATTGTATTAATGATAAATATATATACCTGTATATTTTTGTACTTTGCTGACTACGTGTTATCAACATACATAGAGGATAGTGCGTTGTTTCCTCCTTCAGTATGGGCTGAAATTCCTTCAAATTCTAGAAGAACACATAAAAGACTTGCAGCATTCCACTCTCATTACAACAAACAATTTCATGCTTCACGTCCGTTAATATTGAAAATTATCAGCGGATTTTCTATATAGTTTAATATCTAAAATTGTTTTTTTTTAAATCTTCTTTCATCTTTGAAGACCGTTATGTCTATAAACTGTGGACTTTTATAGTATTGGCGAAGTTGAAGAAAACTATAGAAGATTGTCCGTACTGGAGTCAAATATGACGAATCCATCGTCCCGATAAAAATATGAAAACAAAACGTTATAAATTTCATTCGTCCGAAGCACTTTTCTGGATTTACCTTCATCAGGAACGCCCAAAGCCGAATATTTGAAAGCCAAGCTAAACAGTTGAAGAGCGATATAACCAAAAAGGACCTAAAAAATAGCCAAATCAATCTAAGGTCGACTTTGCCTGAGGGAGTTGAAACCTTAGTTTCTATCAATTTCAAAATTTATTAACGGATAATTTTAGAAAGGATTTTTATAAACCATGTCAGTACCGAAGTACTGACTACAGAGCTGATGATACACTCGGGGACTGATAGTCCACCAGCAGAGGTATCGACCCAGTGATGTAAAAAATGATAAATTGATAAATGAGTGATATCAGAGACAAATAATATGTATTATATGTCTCTGTTGATATTATTCTTAAACAAAAATAGTTCTAGGATTTTTTTTATATTATTCAAACATTTTAATATCAGTTAAGCTAGGACTCATGGGTTTCCCATATGAATTCCACATCTCTGTTTAAATTTCATATCAGTATATTCAAATATATTATTTCTCAGTACGTAATTCAAAAGTTCTAATATTTTATCTTTAGGTGGGAAAGGTATGACATATTTAATTTCAAGCATCTTTGGCATATTCCGCCTCAATGATCTTTTATTATTTCGTTGTGTGTGAGTGAATTGTACATACTCGAAATATCGAGGCTACATAATATTATATAGTCTGACACGTTAACTTTTGTTGATGAAAGAAGTCGTTATGGCAAGCCGTTCTCGTCAAAACTATGTTTAAAACATTTTTCGAAAATTTTACACACTGAGAATTTAAAAAAAAACACACCGAGATTAAAAAACCTAAAAATACACACTGAGAATAAGAAATTTCACACCGTGAGATTTCATAAAGACGCATTGAGATTACGAAAAATGAAAAACACACACTGAGAATTCAAAATTACACACTGAGAATTGAAAATTACACACTGAGATTTCAAAAAGACACACTGAGATTTCAAAAAGACACACTGAGATGAAATAAACTGAAAAACACACACTGAGAATTTGAAATTACACACTGAGAATTTAAAATTACACACTGAGATTTGTGCGCATTTTTATGCGCACATATCTAATTAGCATACGTAATCTTAATCTATTACAAGCTTAAAACAACTAGGGGACAGAACTCGTTAGTCCTTCACTCTGACGCCAATGTTTTATAAAATACATTAGAAATACAACGTAAAAGACCAATAGAACAAGAAAAATACCCACTTTCTCTCTTTTTTTTTTAACAAAATATAACCAGAGACGGCATGTATTATATGTCTCTGATATAACCAAATGGTGAAAAACTTTAATAAAATTATAAGAAAACATTGGAACAATCTACAAAAAGACAAACAATGCAATGACATTTTTAGCCAAGTGTCTATTATAGTATATAAACGTAACAAAAATATAAAAGTTACCCTGCGAAATCAGGCGGGTATAACAGTTGAAATACTTTTGAAAAAGGACCTATGCTTAAACAGTTATAAGCAAACAATCCCGATACACCGTTAGCAATAATATTAATCTGATTTATATAGACAACAAACTTATGATATGAGTTAGCAAAAAACGATGTTAAGTCTTGAAATTTATTATGAATGTTGGTTGAAGGAACCGCATTTCATTATAATGACAAGAGTTCTAGAGACCAAGATATTAATCTGTTGAATTATTCATCTCATGAATATTCATTAGTAATTTGCATATTAATCTCAATGTGTATTTTTGAAATCTCACTGTGTAATTAACAATTCTCAGTGTGTGTTTTCCAATTTATTTCATCTCAATGTGTCTTTTTAAAATCTCAGTGTGTAACTTTAATTTCTCTGAGTCGATGTGTGCTTTTCATTTTTTTAATCTCAGTGTGTAATTTTAAAATCTCAGTGTGTAATTTCGATTTCTCAGTGTGTTATTTTAGGTTTTTAAATCTCAAGTGTGTAATTTTTTCGAAAAAAGGGTTTAAACATAGTTTTGACGAGAACGGCTTGCCATAAGTTGTGTCCTTTGTATAAGTCCATCAGTATTTTAAATTTACTGTTATTTGTTTTGTGAAAAATTAAAAATTCTTAAGCTGTTAATGGAACCACTCTTAGCACGAAAACTTAACGTTGTCAGGACTGCCATAAACAACAGAAGACGAACAGCAAACAGTTGATACAACATTTGACAGACGACGACGGACACAAACTGGTTGCACTGAACAAT